CCCAAACCCTCGTGGAGAAAAGGTTTTAAAAGATTTTTAATTGGATAATCTCCGGGATGATAAGAATTTATCAGCATGCGCAATGCACATATAAAAAAATGGTTACCCTAACTCTATTACTAAGATCATTGATGCCAATGTAGTTGTCCATAGATGGGACTAGGTTATTTTTTTTATTTATTTTTTATTTTTTAAAAGCTTATAATTTACAATTAATCTTTGAAACATAAATCATTAAATTAATTTCCTATATAACTTGGATAAATTTTTTTTTTTGAAAATATTTGTTAGTTTACCAAACATTGATTTTTGTTCTTTTTAGTTTGAAAAGAAATTGCTTAATTTAATCTTTCTTGTATTCATTTTGGATTTGAGACAATTTTAATGCTAATGAAGAAATAGGACAAAAATCTATTATCAACAGAGGTCGATTAATTTTATTCCTTTTTTCTCAAATTTAAGGAGTTAAGAAATTCAAATTCAAATTTAATATTGCTCAGGTATTATAAAACAAACTAATCATTATAAATAGTTGTGAAATCATAAATTATTAGATAAGAAAATGAATTATATCATGAAATTTAGGATTACTAAGTCTAATTTAATTATGTATTTAATAAAATAATGCAAATATCTATATATTATTCTTATGCTCTAACATGTATGGTTTATTACAAAGAATAACCCTTTGAAAGAGAATAGATTCCTACAAGTTTTAAGTTGAAGTGGCATTATAAAAACTTTCTTGATTTTCTTGTTAAATATGAGAGAAGTTAATTACCTTTCAATTTATATTAAAGAAAAGTTTGTAATCTTCTTTTTTAATAAAATTATAATAGCATCTCTGGTATCCTTTAAGAAAATTATATTTCTGAAGTCAAAATTTTACGAAATTGTTTAACAGACAACGCAGAGGTTTGTAATATACTGAATTTACTGTTGTTGGATTAACAAACGGCACGTTAGATAGGTGTGGGTCAGATCCTCATAATATATATATAGGCCCATATGGATATTATTTCAAAGTAAGTAAAACTTTTATGAATGTTCCACAAAACCATTTAATTGAATGGTAGGTAGGTCGGAATGTGAAAGATGGACTCTTGTGATATGGAAGGATAGGAGTTTTATGCAAATGAAATACAATTAGAAAGCCTCTACTTAGGTATTCACGATGGCACTAGGTTGTATTGAAATGATTTTTGGGAGGATCAATACGCACCTGTAATCAGAAAGTTTTGAATACCAGGAACTGATCTAACTATCAAAATTAAAGATAATTTACAAACGCAAAATTAGGGTCCAGGGCTTGAAGAATTCTGGGATGGTATCAAATGATAAATATTTAGAATCTTGGTTATTTAGGGATATAATTTTGAGTCTTGCTGTACCTTATGTTAGTTTTTAAATTGAATGTAATTACACTGGAACATAATATTAAATATGTAAAGGAGAATAATCCAAGATGCTTGACGATATCCCTTTTGAAATCAAATCAATATAAATGGTTCCTGGAATTATTTTTAAATTGAAAGGTCCAAGTTATTTTGGAGGAGTTTTATAAGAAATTACAACTTCGACTGCTTGTTTGGACAACTATTAAGTATTTTTCTATAATTTTCTATTTTTAGTTTCCAAATGTTATTCTAAAAGAATGAAGGATGTATAATCAGTTAAGGAAATTTAGAAAAATTTCTCATTTTAATTTACTTTTCTTCACTTTTTTGATAATAAAAATGGCTCATTTAAATATCATTTTTAAATAGTAAAACTAATATTAATAAAAATCGCAATTATAATATTATAATTTATCCTTTATTAAATTATTTGAGCAAAGGATGAAAATTGTTAATTTTATATTGTATCAAAGACCTATAATAAAGATTATAGCTGATTTTGTTAGTATATTTTAATGACTAGTACATTGCTTCTTATATCATAATACTTGTCCAAATTTATTCAGATCTCAACAGAGATATTAAATCAAATTTATCTTCTTTTTTAATTTCTAAACAATCAAGTTTGCATAATCTAAAATTTTTATTCTTTATATCCAAAAAGATCTTGGCGAAAAATGAATTTCTTATTTATCACACATTTACACAATACTTTCTCATTAAATTTGTCAAATGATTCATTTTAAGCTAGAATTAAACTATCGGTGAAGCATTGCATTAATTTGATTATTATTAGGTAATTTGTATTAGTAAAACATTTTTAATATTTAATAGAATTTTAAATGAAAATTTAATTGTCATCTTATGAAATTATTGAAATACTTTAAATTTCTTTAAGGAAGAGTATTTATTTTTTAAGTGGAATTTACCTTGTTAAGTAAATATTTCAAATATTAATCTATGATATTTTATTTTCTTTCTTGTTGATAGTTCTATAGGTTTATTCCAAAATGAATATTACTGATTAACTCTTAGGTGATCAATAGTATATCACTCACTCAATTAAAATAGATTTAATAAATAAATAAATAAATTAATTTTATCATTTTAATGCTGAAACAAGTAATACTTCTGCATCCCTAAATCTTTAGTTCATCGAAGAACAATTTAAAACAACAATTATCGCTTCTAGATTCTCATTTTTATAATATCCTGTGAAGCATGGCCCTGCATTAGGAGTCACACCTGTCTTTACGCCCATCCAGCCTGACTTTTTAAGTAGTTTGTTTGTATTTTTCCATTTGTAAAATGTTGACTTGCTCCCTTTATCAGTTAAGGCATGAGTCTTAAATATTTTTGTTGTTATGATTTCTAGGAATACTTCCAATTATATGCATTTTTCAATTAATTTACTAAATATGATGGAACTACTCATACCTTATATCATGAGGACAGGATACATTCTTTTCATCATTCAAACCATGAACTGATGAGTAATTTGTGTTTTCCATTTTAATTGAATTTGCGTGTTTATTCATTTGATCGAGGAATGTATGTTTAAGTAACTTCTTGTTTCTTTCAATTTGTGGTTCTATGTCGATAATCGCACCTTTCAAATACCTATTATATTAATAAATCTCTGTTTTTTGCAATATCATCAAATATGCTATAGTGAAACCCAATACAAGTGCGGCATCATTTCCAGAAGGTAACATAAGAGCGAATAGCAATTGCTTAATTGTTAATATGCCTCCTGCATTTAAAAAGGCACTAGTACCATCAATGCATTCAGCATGGCCTGGGATTTTGATTTTGATTTATTCAGGCTCAATGTTGCATTCTTTTAAGTATGTTAATGTAGTATAACAGGTCATTATTTTTGTGATACTGGCTACTTCCCCTTTTTAAAATTCTTGCCAGCCAACTTATTTATTAAAAAATTTTTCATTCTTCTATTTCGTGAACATGACCCATCTTTTAGCGCTGACTTTATTTTTAATAGCAGGAATAGCTTAATGAACTGATAATGATACGGTAAGTTTGTTTGGAAAAATCTTTTAGGTCATTAGACTTGTTGCAGTTTTGATAACATTTTTGGGTTACCTCTATGCTAATTGAGATTCTGCTAATATATCAGTTTTAAGAATTACTAGATTAAGGTTCTTTTTGTTAACTTTATGCGTAAACCCTCATTCTTTCTCTTATCAATTAAGCTGGCAGATTGGGCAAAGTAGGTTAAGGATTTATTGAAATTTATTGTTCTGAAAATTCCTCAGACTATATGGTTTGTCCATTGGCGTATTTGTTCTTCTTCTCTTCTTAAGCAATCATATGTAAAGCATCTAAGTAAGTGTCCACAAATACATACTCAGATTAGTTTTCATATCTTCTCTATATCCATAAATAAAACTAAATTATACATTAGCTTTTTTTATAGGATCATTGAGTATACACTATGCGTCATGTACATAAAATTTTAAAACATGTGGAGATCTTTTCGGGGATGCTTTAATTTTTGCACTCTGCAATCCTCTAACCTTTAACTCTGGAAGCGGAGTATTAGGAACATCGCTAAGTTAGTTTGATCCGCTTGTGTTTGCCATTTGAGAATGAACACTTTTTCGATGAAATTTCGATAAGGAAACAGAGAATGCATCTTTAGGGTTAGCATTCATATTACAATATTAAAATATTATATAATAAAAATAAAAAATTATTTTAAGAGAAAGATTTTTCGCTTTATGAAATGATTTTAATGATTCTACATTTATAAACTTATCATTTAAAAGTTCTGTCATTAAAGATTTTAATATCAAGAAATTATTATTATTACTATTACCTAAATATGGCTTGCATGGTGTTAAAAATTATCGTTGTTAATACAAATTCAATAACTAGCTTTTTATTCAAGGCAATAATCATTCAAATTATCTTTTGATTCAGTAATATAATACTATAAATTATATTTATTAATTCAAATAACAAAAATAATGCTTTCTGATATAGAATAAACTTAAAATAGCTGCTAAGTTTGTAAGAAATAAGACGTAGAATTATCAAGATGCTCTTCTTGCAAATAAATTTATTATTGCTCAATAGAATGTCAAAAAAAAGATTGGAAAGAACACAAATTTATTTGTTCTGAAATACAATTGAAATAACAGAGAGAAAAATAAAGAGCAGAAAGAAAAGCATAGGGAAAGAAAGCTATTGAAGATTTCGCAGATTTCGAAGTTTTGGGTCATGGAAATTTTTCAGATATCTATAAAGTTCGAGAAATTGAAACCAATTAAGTCTATGCATTAAAATAGATAAATAAACGAAAGCTAACCTAAGTTAACAAGGAAAAAGATGTTTATATGGAAAAACATTGTTTAGGCAAGCTTACAGATAATCCGTATTGTATTAGGTTATATTCAACATTTCAGGATGACGAAAATCTGTACATGCTTATGCAGTATGTTGATGGTGGAGAATTATGGTAACAAATTCACAATTTTGGAGCCAGGGCTTTTCCACTTTGTCTATACTATATTAGTGAAATAATTAAAGGTAATTGTTAATTTGACAAAAGCAATAAATTCTATCCATAATATTGGTATTGTTCATAGAGACATAAAGAGTGAAAACATACTATTAACGTAAGATAAAAAAATAAAGTTTATTGATTTTGGAACTGCAAGAGACATGAATGATCCAACCATTGAAGGAAGTGGAAATGGTAGAAAAGGTAAGAAATTTGAATTAATTATAAAGGAAAGCAGGCTTTTAAACATTTTGTGGGAACTCCTTAGTTTATGGCACCTGAATGCATAAGGAATAAAGACTCGAATGAAAAATCAGATATTTATTCATTAGGTGTGTTATTTTATCATATTGTTTTTGGTAAGTATCCCTTTGATGGGAAAAGTGATTATTTGGTGTTTTAATAAGCATTGGAAACGGAACTTCAGTTCCCAGAAGGTTGGATAGACAACGAATAATTTAGAAGTCTTATTCGAAAGATGTTGTAAAAGGATTCTTAGGATAGACCAACTCTGGCTGAAATAATGCAGGATTAATTGTGGGGTGAGAATTTCGATTGGAATGCAGAGTAAGGTACAGTTATGATCTTTAGTTAGACTATTAGACTGTTTTAAATGGGTTGAAGGAGATTGATAAGTTTACTTTTGATTTTGCTTTGGAGTTGAACAATGCTGAGAAATTGGAGGAGAAGATTTGCGTCAAGTATGAGATTAATAAGGTTTTGGGGAAGTACGAGAAACTGATAAAGGATGAAGATTATTAGAAACGATTCAATTACATGAAATAGATTGTAGAGTAGAATTTGTAAAATAGAAAAGATGAAGATGAGGAGCCGTAATAATTTAGATGATTACATGAAATACAATTTACAAAAAGAGAATCACTATATTCTAAATTGTTTTCTTTGATTTGAAATGGATTTGACTTTCAAATCGATTTATTAAGCTTCCTATCTAATTTAGACATAATTTCGAACAAGCTTTTCATTTTATAGATATAATTATTCCAACAATTGTAATTATTAGTCTGTGTTCCCTAATTGATAGAATTTGTGTCTCTAAACTCTGCTATTTTCGATGATGGAAAATAATGATTATCGAAGACTATTTAATTCTTGATTTTCGCTTCTCTGATAGGTTTCGTTATTTTGAGCCTTAAACTTAGAATATCTGTTTTGATATTGTTCAAGGTTAGATTGAAGTTTATCAACAATTTCGACCTTAATTTAATTTTAAGGGAGATTAGTACGCAATTTGATTTGTTTAGGCAAGTTCTCTTCTTCCTCAAATTATGTGGAGACAATTAATGAATTTTTGGAAACCATATTGGAGATAGATCGAGTTCGCTTATACTCAATTTACAAATACTTTTGAAGTTAACTTGGTTTGCGGTTCCAATTTATTTTAACTTAAAGAACTTTTGCGTCTGTTTTCGGTATTGAATCTGTGATGTTTTTATTTTACGCTATTATTCGATAACTTTTTGATTAACTCTGTTGTTTATTAATTTAGTGATGCCACATTTTTGGGAGAGTTTTTTTGATTTCTGGCACTAGGAGACCTCGATTGTTTAATTGAAGGTAATTTGAGGTGTTTGTAAATTTGGGGAGATATCAAATGATTCGATTGCAACGGAGAGATATTTGTTCGTGTATTTCTGACTTCAACTGAACGATCTATAGATATTCGAATTCTGTTATTGTTTGAATCTTATCTCCTTTGCATTAAATATTTATTAATAAAAAATATACATTTTCCGTCAATCACTGACCAGTGATACCTGGTGATCTCTATAAACAATATTTAGAGTCATTTGAGATTGAATGAATTAAACAAATTATTTTAATAAAATGAGTCACTCTCTTAAAGAAGCTAATTACAGTGTTAATTAAGTCGAATGTGAAATCCTATAAGAATATTTAGGATAGCCCAAGGCTTAGTCATTAATGTATCATTTCCTAATCAATCTTCTTCTAGATAGTAATTTGCCAAGTCTTCTGAATTTAACATATTGGTCACACCTTCAGGATTAGTGGTATAATGTTGTGGGAACACAAATATCATCAAGAAATTTGGTACTCTTCAAATGTCTAAGGGTACACATATTTGGGAAGTTATAGCAATATATGATTGTAGTTAGATGCAAGTAATCATTGATAATCATTCAAGATTGGAGTGAGTACTGTTAGTAAGCCAGGACAGGAGAAAGTTTACGTTTAGTCGTTCACAGCAAGCACAATAAGAACGATCACAGTTATTCTAAACATTGAATTGGGAGAAGTTAATTTTTATTTGAATGGAAATCATAATTAAAAAAAAACACTGCCTGTTGAAAAGAATGCCATTTACGTCCCTCTAGTATAATTTGCACCACACGGGAAAGTTGCAGCTCTGAACCCTTTTGCTTAGCATCCAAATCTTAATTATCCAAGAATTAAATGTTTGCCACTTAATTTATTTACCAAAACAAATGAGTTTAAGATGCCAAATTAGGTTTTTACAGGCAATCTCTCTAATATCGAACTAAAAGAGTTCAAACCCAACTAAATGATCAAGATTTCAAACAACTTTATCTACTTCCACAATAACAAAATGAAATTGCTGAGACCCAAATTAGGATAATCAAATATTCAAGAAACATAATTGGTTAACTTATTTAACAACAAACCTGAGACTCCACAGTCTTTGATTTCTATTAGATTAATGAAATAGCATTACGAATTAATTTCAACAGCGTTCACCTGGAAGAAATCATTAACCAATGGATTTACAAACCAAAATATGATAGAATAGTTCCATTACTATTGGTTATAAGCAAAACAGTTTGAATCGCAAGTGCTAATTTAAATACCATACATTTTGATGAAATAAATAGTTCTATCTCAATTGGAGGAATATGAATAAGACTTTGGACTTATCCTAAAGTAAGATGAATAGGTGGAGAGCTGCAAAGTTCTAAAGATAGTTCGAGTATTATTAGAAATAGATGAATAATTATATGCCATGACATTAAACAACTAGGAATTTGAAAAGTTCAATTCTACTACTTCATTTAATTTGGTGCCAAGGATATTCTCCTAATTTCATAGATTACACACCTTCCTGGATTCCAATAATTATCCCTATGATATCATATCACTAACAGAACTAGGATTAATGAAGCTCCCTGGTTTCTCAAATCTATTTAGACACTTTACCAACTACAGACATCAAATTGAACCAATAACATATCAGAATGATCTATCTAGTATTTTGCCAGCTGAAAAGATCTACAGTTACATTGATATTCCATTAGCTTTGACAATCAATAATATTCCATATGTAGATTTGGAGCCCAACTTGCAAATGGTAAAATCAGTCAACGATTCAATTTATTTCTCACTTATAAATGAAGAAGGAAGGATACAAGTATGGAATGGAGAATTAAGTTTACACAGATGCTTATAATTTAATCTCAGATCATTTGAAGAGAAAGTTGAAGATTAGAATTCATTGGCTCCATTGTTTGCTGAACCATAATCAGAGAATAATCCTTCATCAAATATTGAAAATCAAGATAGTCAAAGTGAGGAAGCTTAAGAAGCTATTGTTCCAAATGAAGATTTATTAGAATAACTTTACAATATGGGTTTTTCAATAGAGGCTTCAAAGCAAGCATTGATAGAAACCAAAAACAAGATCGAGGAGGCCATTGAAAAAGTATTCACAATTGAGGAGCAAAAAGCTAAAGAGAAATAACAATCACAATAATAAGAAGTTAAATTACCTAAATTAAAACCTTATTGGACTTGCAAGGAATGTACACTACTTAATTCAAATGAAAATCTTAAGTGCTAAGCATGTGATGCCTAACCTCCCTAAGATGCATTTGAAAAGGAAACCGCCATTGTAATCTAGGAACAGCAATTAGAATAGCAAACAGAAATTACAGAGGAAAAGATTTAAAAGATACAAGAGGATAATAATGAAAAACTTCGAAATATTTTCAAAACCTCGAAATTATCAAATCTTATTTAAATCAGTCTATAAAAACCATTTAGACATTTACTATTTGCCCATGTGTTTACCACAGAATAATAATCGTATTTAGTTCTTAACCGATTCTTCCAGAGTATCAAATACTTAGGTTAATTTTTTAGAACAAATAATGAGGGAAACTATTCTATACTAACGAATAAGTCATATTCATAAATAGGCAATTATTAGAACTTGTTAAAATTACTAAATGAAGGAGAGAATAGTAGATTCATATATGAAACCTTATACCCAGTTTTAACTGTAATTATGATGTTATATATTGTTAGCAATCGCAAGAAGAATTTGAATTTAAAGATCAAATCATTTTAGCAATAGATGAAACCATATCAAACCTATTTTTCCAAGACGACATGATTGTTATTTAAGGAGCCACAAAGATTTGGGAATGTGCCTTATTTGAAGGTAAATTATACAATTATCATATAAGGTGAAAACTATCAACCAAAATTGGCAGTTGCCTAAAAGTAAGAAAAGGCAGTTATTACAAATCAATTGGAAGAGGCCATAGAAAAGGAATAGGCTGTTATTTAATAAAATGAAGTGGTTGAATCTTTTGATGATTTGACAAAATTAACACCAGAGGAGATCTCTGATTTGGCTAAATTGAATGAACATCAAGATGTCTACTTCCAACCTATTAGCAATAACCCCATGCTCTTATCATAATAGAAGGGGGATTCTTGGGCCAATATCATTGTAGACGTTGACCAATCCAGTTAGAATTAGATTGAGTTAAATTTGGTCAATTAATAACAAATGATGAAGCTATTTGTGACAGGATTCAGTGACAAAAAGTCTCAGTTTAAATCTGAAGGATGGGTGTCTATTGATGGATTGAAACCTGAGAAAGATGATCAATTGCCCCTTACTATCTTTACCCACAAGGGATCTCAATTTAATGTTCAATAGTGCATATCCAAAATATGCTTTGTTTAATAAGAAATATTCTCCACTGTTTATTCAAAGCCAGAATTTATCTTCAAGCATCTACATGGGAAATTGATGAGTTTTTCTAAGTTCTAAGTTGCAAGTCCAAATAAATTTTAAAATACAGGAGTGCCTCTAGGATCTGGTTTGATATTTATTGGAAACAACGCCAATGACTTTTTGTATTGTTAGAAGTTTTCGAATTTCAACAAGGAAAAATATCAAGAATGGTTAAAGGAAAGGCAAAAGGATATTAGACCTTTGAAGCCTTGGGAACCAGTGGCCTTTTTTGAATTGGGGGCAAATGAAGAGTAATTGACATTTTCCTTAGAGAATCCAAAGATTGGAAAATATGTGTTATTAATGACATTATCAGCAAAATAGACAGATCAAGTGAAGTTTGAGTAAAATCCTTTGACTTTGAATTATTTCGTTGCTTATGGTACTGTGGTGAAGGAAAATATGGGAGATTAATTAGTGTAAAGCCAACAATCCCTTGAGCTATTTAGAGACATTACATTAAAAGTAAATGGTGCTGTTTTGGATAAGGATTAATGTTAATTCAGAGAGGACACTTATGGTAATTACAATAAATATATCTGTGAAATACCGGCATCTTTATTAGCTAATGTTCAAAACATCAAAATCGAATTCCAAAAATCAGACATTAGTTTTCTCCAAATCAGTGGGCTCAAACAAAAAGATATCAACTAGAAACTTTTACAAAAACTTCCTTAGGCTCATCTGATTACGACTCTTATGCACGATGTAACTAAATATGATGAATTTAATTAAAAGTTAATGCAACTAATACATAACAATAAAGCAACTCAATAATAGAGATTTAGTGCAATAAAGGTGTTGTGCAAGTTGTTCTAAAGTATTCCTTAGTTTGTAACCATATGCTATAAAGATTTGGATATTTTAGAGTTCATCAAGTTAAACTTACTTGCATAGTAATAGGAGGAAGAATCCAGTGTCTAAACTTTCTTTTAATTATTCTTATCAATCCCTGAGTTCAATGGTCAATTAGTCAAGGCAGTAAAAGACATCATAAACAATATCTTTACATTATCTGATATTATAAAACCAGCAGGATTCATCCAATTACTTCAGATGTTGAAGAAGTATGCTTCTTAGGACTCGAAAGAATATTATCCTTACATTTTAAGTCATTTAAAGCAAATTGCAAAGTTCATTCACAAGGTTGATTCATCCTACTTCAATAAGTTGAATCAATTTTAGATTTTCTTAATGTTGACTGAAGAATAATTGTTTTCTGATAGATATTGTAAATTAACCTAATTTGCCGAAGACACTCCATTGATTTCTCAAGTGTTAGGAGAAGTATAAAAACAGATTGAAATCAGTAACAAAGAAAAGGTAGACCCTGAGAAACCTAACAACATGATCAATATCGACATTAATATCAAGAAACCTCTATATTCAATCATTGTGTTCTCAAGATAACCTCATTATGACGAATATGTAATTGATCTGCTATCCTAATTCGATGTCCATCAATTCTAATTAGTGTTTAATACTCCTTAGATAAGTTGTAGAGTAGTTAGGGTGACTTTGTTTAATGGTTAGACTAATTAGCCCATTTTGGATGTCACTCTACCAGATTGGCTCCTAGTTTAATTAACAAAATATGCTGATTAGCATTCTGCAAATATGCCAAAGAGCAAACTGAATATTATGTCATGGAATATAAAGGCTTAACAAGTGAGAACATTGAAATTATAAATAACATATTCATTAACTGCAGCTACTAGAACAAAGGAGGAGAGTAACATAGCTCCAAAGGAATTGTGCATCATTCCTTAATTCAAGGGATAATTGAGTTAAAATTTAGAGAAGTTTGGCCAAGACAAGGATCAGATTTAGAGTCAAGTGTTGTTTACAGATGGAGATTTTGTATTCGAGAAGGAGCTAGGTTTTCCCAATTCTTTGAAATACTAGAAATACAATAATCAAGGGTCTATTTACTTGGATTCAGCGCAGGTTTTGGGACTCAAACAAAAATACGTGATATTAAAAATAAAGGAATCAAATAATTTAAATGGTCCTCATACATAAATACAGTCATAATATTATAGAGCCCTACTTGTTTAAAAGCAGAAGGAATTAAAGTAAAAGTTGCAGCAAAACCAAGGCAAAGAAAAGATCCAAGACACCATTTAAATCATTAGGAAATTGTAACTTGAATTGATCCAAGATCCAAATTCAAATATCAATCTTAGTAAATCCCTAGATTTCTTGTATACATATGCATACGAACTAATAAAGATATTAATTCATGCAGATTCTACTTGTCAATAATGGAGATCAGACGTGGCTTTAAGAGAACAAGAAGGATTGAAGATGGCCTAATTAATTTACAAGACCTTTGTGTAGATGAATCAAGGACCAATCACAGATCTTAGTTTTTAATTGCTTAATATAATCTTAAGCAACTTGAATCTTAAGTATTGGATTCTATTTACATTTGCTCAATATCAGAAAATTGACTAAGATGCCAACATTCTAAATACCTTGAAAATACTTCACATCCCAATATGTTAAACTATAATGTACATTTCAATAATTCTGAGCGAAAAGCAACAGATCAAACAAGCCCAATAGTTAATAGGGTTGGTGTTAACTAAGTTGGTGGACAAGCAATTCAACAACAAGGAGTTGGTGGATCCTCAAATGCAAATTAAACCATTGGGAACTCTGAGATCAACAAGTAGTTAAGATTTAGAGATAGGATAGGTGGAGAAATTAACCGATGAATGTTTCGAATTAACAAAACCAAAAGTATTCTCAACTCTATTTTGCATAATGAAATGGACATTACAAAATTAACAGCAATATCAAATCTAAGATGTACAAAACCTATTTCTTAAGACTTGCAATGTGTTGATGAAACTAAACAACGATGAACTAATTCAATTTGTGACTGAGATCACTAATCCCACAGATCCAACACAATCGGGATTGTTCTAACTATTAGCCAATGCATTATAATCGAGTGATTCCAACACAATTCTGAATCAAATCAAACAAGTTATCGAAAAGTTATGCACTCCCCAAACATACAAATTAATATTTTATTTCTTCTAAATTGTATTGAATGCCATCGTTAAGCATGCTAATGAGAATCTTTCAATATTCCCACAGCCATTGGATAGTTCAGCTTGGTTCTAGTTTTTGTCCTTTGTTGTGGGACAACTATTGCTGCTTTCGAACATGAATCTTACACAAGGAGAGCAGAGATAAAACCAAAGGAAGAGGTCAATTAAATATCAGGCTGCTTAAACCTTTTAGGAGTTCTCAGAGAAATTTGAAGAAGGGGGATTTATTTAGATATGCAACATTGAAACACTGTCACAGATGATAAGATTCTTGATTGAGCCAAGAAAGAATTTGGTCAACAATGAGACTTTGGAGAATTCATTGACTTATTGGGGTTTGTTGTTGAATTTGATGAGCAAAATTCCAACCTAATTGATTATGGAACACAAGATATACGATTAATTATTGTCGATTTACTTGAGATTGGATGCCAACAAATAGGCTGTGATATAATTTAGATTTATTGAAATGACCAAGTCTATTTTAGAGCACACTTAAAGTACAGAATTCAATAGCAATCTAATTAAACAAATCTTCTAATATTAGGGCACCACTCTCATAGATGGATTACTCAACATTGTAGCATCTTAGGAAAGGAAAATCAATGCATCCATATTTAAATTGATATTCTCAGAGACTGCTCAGTACTTATACAAGTATTGTAATGTTGGCAGACACGATGGAGTTTATAGTTGTGAGTTGTCCTTGCTTAAAAAATTATAATTTGGAAACAAATTGCTGTAATTAATGAAAAAGGCAGAGTGTCCCATTAAGGTATAGATGCTCATATAGGAGATACCTTAATACGGAGAAATCATCAACAAATACATCCACTGGTACATGCTCAACAAGTCAAATGTGCCTAATGTTACTCCTGCCACTGAGATCTTGGGAAGCATCAGTAAACAAGTGCGATAAATCTTTGATTGGCTATAGGCAGATTAACAATTGTCAACGGAATCCCTGATTCAACTGTTTAAATTCTAGAAAGAGTTTGATGTAGTTGTTTAGGAACAGATGAATCAAATGACAAATATTCTGAGTTATTCATTAATAAAACACACCCAAGAGATCTTTGAAGAGTTGAATGAATTGTGGATGACCACTGATTAAGTTGTTAGGGAAATAGCTATAAATGGAAATGGCTTTGAATATTTGCTTGAAAAAACCCATTTGACTTCTTCGACCTTTGAGGAGAAGACTGAAGCAAGTGAGTAGCAACCACAAGAAGAGGAGTTTGCAAATAAATTGGCTATGATTGATCCTCAGAAACCCCAAGGACAATAGTAACCATAGGTGAAGGATTGGCAAGTGAACAAAAAAGGAGTCAAGGCCAAAGTTCACGTTTTAACTCTCAAAGACGAATTGTCTGAGGATTACATACTTGAATTCTAATTGGAAAAGGCGATTGAATTGAAATAGATCAAAATTGGGTTTTAAGCATACACTCCAGAATATAATGATAGGATTCTGGGTGTTCCAGACATAGTGGTTGTTGAAGTAAAGAATAAGACTTCAGATAATCTGTGGTATCCAATTGGCATCATGACTTTAATTGAAGATGAAGCATACACCTATTATAGTGTGAAGGTGATGGCCTTGAATGTTTGGAGATTATCTGCTTAGGGTAATTTAAATCAACAAATTAAGTCATTGGGTCAATAACCAATATCATACATCAGATTCATTATGAAAAAGCCTTAGATCACATTTTTGGAGTAGATCTCACAATTATCTTTCAAATAATACAATAACATCCAAATTGGAGTGAGTTTCATTTCCATCACAGGATTCGATTCCACAATCAATAGGAACAAGTAAATTTAGACAATTTAGGAGAAGACTGCAAGTAGATTGTTGGGTAAGATGTGTTCTTAGAAATTCAGAAATACTTTGTTTGATATCAGCAATAATCAGAATATTGTGTAATAAATAAAGAAGAGCTTTAAGAATATCAGTTAGGCATTGCATTCAAATGAGTCTACATTGTCGCCACTCTTTATTGGATTGACAAAGTATAATCCAGAGTTTGGAGATTGGGTATTGGAATAAATAATGGACATCACTTTGGAATGGGCACATGCGAAATTAACAGCTGAAATAGTGTTGTAGGACAAGGATAAACAATTGGATAGATTAAAGAAATTCTTGAATTACATTTTAAATCAAATCAAATAAATCGCTTAAATTGCCAAATCATAGGATCAATTCACTCAACTCACCCTTTTGATTGAAGCCTTAACTTATGCGATACTCATCTCAAGCAAGTAAAAGAACAAGGACCCAATATTGTTAGAAGTGGAAGAGGAGGACTTCTTGAATATTCTGTAGGCAGTAGAAGTCACTAGTCAATCCTATGAGCATTGCAACATGATAATCAGGTTGTTCATCACTCTTATTAAATTGCCTCAGCCATATGTTTTGAATATGCAATTGCAATAGACTGGCATCATTGACATGACACAATAGTTGTTGCAAAAACAGTCACTATATAAACTCAAATTGTTGTCCATCTTAGTACAAATTAGCAATGAAGTAGTGAGTCTCATTAAGCCTTACTTACCCAAAATCTTTGAGCAAACAATTGAATCATTGAAGAAGACAGACAACACAACATTGTCTGATTACTTTTTCTTCTTTGACTCCTCAGCCAATGTTCTTGAACTCAAAAACTTCTATTGTGAGAATGATTATCATTTACAAGTTTATGAGAACTTGAAAGTGTCCAATCCATCCAAAACCTTATTAAAATAAATTGATTAATTGACATTGGGTCATATTGTGAACTTCATTGGCAAGATAACATTGTCAAATCCATAAGCGATTGGGCAATTGGCTTAAAAGTTGATTCAGGATATCAATCTATTGTCGCAAATCGTAGATATCAATTATGTAGAAAATGTGCTTATACCTTTATTGAATTTCGAGGAGAAGATCGATTTCACAATTGACATTTGGGACAAGGAAAGTCAGATATTTGTTGGAGACATCAGAAAACTGAGTTCTCTTCACGTTCAAGAGGATGAAACTAATGAAGCCAGTGGATCTCACGAATTGAATGGATTCCAGGCCAAAGAATTCACTCCCCAATATTACGATGCTTTGCAATCAGCTATTTAGAAGGTTATCAAGACTAATTCACTCAAGAAAGGAGGAAGATGGGTTAAAGAGATGGAGTTATCATAGGGAGGTTCATACTTCCATAAGACATTGTCTACTTTGCAAAAGGGACCATTTTTGATTTTGCTATTCGGAAAGAATAACAATCAGAACGAAAATTGTATTATTGGATTGTTCAGTACTTAGAAATGTGGAAATTTGGTTAGTGAATTTTAACATGACTATTACCCAGGAGAAGTGTATCCAATTCCAGAGAATGGAGAGCAATTTGGATTCACTTACGAAAAGGATAAGATCTATCATTTGTTGAATAATGATCGCAAAACATTTGGAGTTGGAATGGATCATGTCAATGGTGGTTCATTCTCATTTTTATTAGAAAGAATCAATTTGACATTCTCTGATGACCAGGAAGTTTCAAGCATTTCAATTGGAATTCACGACTTTGAATTATTGGAATAAAAGCCAGAAGAAGATTACTATTTTGATGATTTCTGGATGCAAAGAATGGAAATTTGGATTTACCAACAACCACAGTAGGTGTCTAAAAGCACTTAGAAACCATTGTTCAGTGGACAACAAGGCAATTAGTTGATTGAAACCAATGACACTTCTACTTTCGGCTATGGAATTCTAAGCAATCCAATTCTGTAGGATAAATACTTTGCCAAACAATCCGTCTATAACTACTTGAGTGCTACACCAGTATATTCCATTCCAGGTAATTGCAATAACACTAACATTCTGTAATGCATTTACGTTTCCAACATGTTCTTGAATGAATAGGCAATCAAGAACTCTACCATTATTTAAATGAATGGCACTCTGATCCAATAACAAACCAAACCATTCCCAACATTTACAGTTGATGGATTAGAATTGTTAGGACAATTAAATTCCCTTACTGAAACTCCATTGTAGTATTCCTCATCGTTGAAAATATTTGAAGCCTTCTAGAATCAGGATGGAGTCAAACAAATTATCTTGGCAGTTTAGGATGCTACTAAAAAGTGGTAGAATCAAGAATTGACTTAAATCTGGAATTCTTATGTATCTGAATTGAGTGCCTTTTGTTCAGTACCACAATTCTTCAGTTACTTTTTGAAAAATAAGAAATCAATGGAGTTACTATTCTAATTACTGGCAGGAACTCCCGATCAACCTAATAGCGATTAAAAGGCTTGGAAAGAAAAAGAGATCGATGCAGTGAAGTTCATCTATGACACCTTATCAGATGTTTTCAAGACACACAACAATCAAGAAATTCGAATTATTGCCATCAAGGACAATTTAATATAGAAGATATTGGATAAAATTGCTATTGTCAGTAAGGAAAAGAAAAGAGTGTATCAAGCTGTTATTGCTGAGGAGCCATAACAACCACCATAATAGTAATAGCCTTAAGCACAGGGGGATAAGTCAGTTGATAGGAAACCAAAGAAGAAGCAAGGTGTTGGTTATGGAAGTGATTAGACTGGACAGAACTAAAAGTGGAATACTCAGGAATATTTAGATAAAAAGAAGGTTCGATCAGAATAATTAAAGTCTCTTTTGGAGATCATTAGAAACTTTTTCAATTATGATAATTGGCATTTAAATTAAGAATTATCATAGATAATAAATGAAATGATATTTGAAAGTGCATTGTTATCCTTATTAGAGGCTGCATTTAGATCAGGTTCATTGTTAGAAATGTCAAAAGACTTTGATCTCAATTTATGTTATCTTCAATTAACAAAAACATTAGCCAAACATAAGAACCTCACTCCATTATTATTAAAAATACCTCCTAATTATATACCGAAACAAATCGAATCTATAGCATAATTATTAAGCAATCTTAAGAACATTGCTCACATATTCTTATCTTGTCTACAAACCAACGAGTTATCCGAGAAGGATTAGATCTCAAAACAGATTGCTACCATTATTCTTGAGACAGATACAAGTGTCCAAGAAGCTATAGAAAGATTCTAATGTGATGAGTCAGAGAATGAATAAGAAGACGCAAAAGAACATGAATTGCAAGAGATACTGAAATTGCCATTGAATGAAGCCTACAGATTGTTGTTAAAGGACTTGAGATTCGACTATGTGTCATTCAAAGGGTAAAACCAGCAATATCTCCACTATTATGAGAAACAAATTACTCAGGCTCCTACTCCAACACCAGCAAAATTGATTCGTCTAGCCTAGGAATTCGCTGATATGTCCAATTCTCTACCTGTTGAACACACTAATTCCATATTTGTTAGAGCTGATAAGGATAGAGTGGATGTAATAAAAGCATTGATTATGGGTGCATCTGGAACCCCGTATGCTCACGGAGCTTATTTGTTTGATATCTACTTTGAAGACTAATACCCCAATACTCCTCCCAAGATGAATCTATCTACTACTGGAAGTGGGAAGATCAGGTTTAATCCAAATTTGTATGCCTGTGGTAAGGTGTGTCTCTCACTATTGGGAACATGGAGAGGACATGCATCTGAGAATTGGGATCCCAAGTTGTCAACCATCTTGTAAGTGTTGGTGTCCACCTAAGCAATTATCATGTCTGAGGATGTGTACTTCAATGAACCAGGGTTTGAAGGGGAAGCAGGCTAATAGGATGGCGAAATGAAGAATGAGGCCTATTCCAACATTGTTAGATACGGAAACATCCAATATGCTATGATTGAGAATATCAAGAATCCTCCCACTGGATTTGAGACTATTATAAGAAGACACTTCTATTTGAAGAAAGGAGAAATAATGGAGGAAGTCAGGAAATGGGTTCAGTATGCTGAGCAAAGACAAGCCTTGTATATGGGATTGGTGAGCGATCACAATAGTCAATGGTGTTCAGTGTTCAAGAAGTCTAAGACTCAGTATTTGGATATGCTCAAGGATGCAACTGCTGAACTTGAAAAGGCTCTCAATAGTTTGTAATAGCCAAGCATCAAGGAGATCAGTCCAAAGTTGAATCAAAGAAGAAAGAAGAAGCAATAGGAGAATTAAGTAATTGTTCAAAAGGCCACTGATGGCATACTTAATTTAGAAGGAGTTGATGTGACCTATGATAGTAATGCTATTCAAGAGCAAGTGATAGATGTGAGTAATGAATAAGTGAGAGATAGATGGAGCAGATACATCGGAGCAATGGGAATTGAAGCTGTTAGGAAGTAAGCAAATGCAAAAGTCTTACTCTGCGGAGTGGGATCCTTGGGTGTTGAGATTGCTAAAAACGTGGTGCTTTCTGGAGTTGGAGTTTTCGCTATCTATGATAACAAAGTGGTGAATCAGGATGACTTGGTAGGGTAGTTCTTCCTTTCTTAGTCAGATGTTGGCAAACCGAGGGCTGCAGCTTGTGTTGATAAAATTCAGCAGTTAAATAATTATGTTAGAGTCAAAGTGATAGAGAAGGATGTGCAATAGTATATAACCACAGAGCAATTCGATATCGCAATATTGACAGATGTCTATGATTACAACGAACTAGTTTGTTGGGATAATCTGTGCAGAGCCCATTCAATTAAGCTTATCATCGCCAATGCCAATTCTGTTTATGGAAGAATCATTAATGACTTTGGAGCTGAATTCAAAGTAATCGATAAGAATGGAGAAGACATTCCTGATGTATTGATTAAATCGATCTAAGCAGATGGAGTAGTTGAATTATTGGATGGTCAGAGATCTCAATTTGCAGATGGAGATTCAATTATATTACTGGAAGTCCAAGGCATGAAGGCAGGAGAACAATCAATCAACAATCAGCTTCTCAAGATCCAAACTATTTCTACTAAGAAATTCAAGATTATCGATGACATCTCTCAATATTCTCCTTACCTTTCGAGTGGAATTGCCAGACATGTCAAACAAACTATTACATGTACTAATAAATCCTTGGATGTTGTAATCAACAGTGATGATTGCTTAGATGCCAATTTGAAGGAGAGTGATAGCATCAAGCTTGTAGAACAGAGTCTAATGCATTTAGCTTATAGAACACTATCATACACCAACGGAGATATTGTCAATCTCCTCGACTCTGTGATTAAATTTGATAAGGCCAATTTCATCCAGTAGAATTCCAAACTAGCTAAGTATTTAGAATTCTATCTCAAAATGTTCCAAAAGACCTTTGCATTGCCAGCATTCCCTCCTTTAGCTGCCTACTTAGGAGGATTTGTGTCATAAGAGATAATCAAAGCACTCACTAATAAGTTTACTCCCATCAATCAAGCCTATTATTTTGATTGCATCGAAGTGTTGCCATTTGAAATCTGGGATGAAAAAGGAGATTAATAGGCTTAGATCCAAGCAGTTGATCAACTTTAATTGACTGGAAAAGATGCATTGACTAAATTATTAGGGGAGGATGTGTATCAGAAGGTGAGAAGTACCAATTTATTCATGGTTGGATGTGGTGCTATAGGGTGTGAATTGCTAAAGAATTTTGCCATGATCAATTTAAGTATTGACGGGTAAATTACTATAACTGATCCTGATCACATTGAAACTTCCAATCTAAATAGGTAATTCCTATTTAGAGAGAAACACATTCACAAACCTAAGTCTTAGACTGCAGCTGCAGCAGCAATTCAAATCAATCCACTACTGAAGGGCAAATTGATTGCAAGAATGGACAAGGTTCACGAACAAACCGAGAATATTTTCCATGATCAATTCTTCGAGTAATTATCCCTTGTTGCCAATGCTCTTGATAATGTCCAAGCAAGAAGATATGTCGATCGCAGATGTGTCAAGGCCAAGATTCCATTGTTAGAATCAGGCACTCTGGGTCCCAAAGGCCATGTGTAGTGTATCATCCCATTCCAAACAGAATCATACAACAGCATGCAGGATCCAGTTGAGGAAGGAGAAATTCCTTACTGCACTTTAAAGATGTTCCCTGAGGAAACATTCCATTGCATTGAGTTTGCCAGAGACAAGTTTAATAAGCTATTCTCCTTAAAACCAAAATTGGCCTAGAACATCATAGAAAATCAATCATTCAATCCATCAAATCCAGAAGAGATCAAATAATTGAAATCTACTATCAAATTACTCCAATAGGCACCAACCAAACTTGAAGATTGTATTCAATGGGCAAAAAATAAGTTCTCAAAGTACTTCATCAATGACATTAAATAACTACTGTACACATATCCAGTTGATGCCAAAACTAAGGATGGACAACCATTCTGGAAATTACCCAAGAGACCTCCAAGATGCTTGAATTACGACATTGAAAATCTCATCGTTGTCTAATTTATATCCACAATGGCTTTCCTTAGAGCCAAACAATACAATCTGCCCACACCTGCCGACTGGAGACATGAGAAGAACAGACGAGATGTAGCCACCTTAGGAGAGAAGATGACAAGCAAGGAGTGGATACCCAATGATTCTAAGAAGAAGGAGATCGAGGAGCAAGTGTTGAAGTTGGAGAACAAAGCCCAGAAGCAACAAGAGGAGGAATAGGAAAATGCCATTTTTGATGACCCCAACAAGTTATTGGCACAACTGTAGGGTTTGAAATAAGCAGGGTATTTGAATATATATATTATTTTTAGAATCAAATTGTTCTCGTAAGAATTCGAGAAGGATTGCGACATGAATGGACACATCGACTTCATTCACTCTCTAGGAAACCTAAGAGCTTTGAATTACGGACTCGATGAAATGGATTGGATCACAGTTAAATTGAAGGCCGGAAGAATAGTCCCAGCCTTGGCCACCACCACAGCTGTAGTATCAGGACTCTAGACGATTGAATTAGTCAAAATCTTAAAGAGGTGCAAACTTGAGAACATGAAGAATGGATTCATCAATTTAGCTGTGCCCATGGTACAATTGACTGAGCCGATGAAGGCGGAATCCATCAAACTTAACGAGGAAGTGAATGTCACCTTATGGGACAGATGGGATGTCAAGTTGGGAAAAGAAATTACCTTGCAGATTTTGTTCTAGCACTTGAAACAAACATATCATTTGGAACCGGCTAATGTTTTCAAGCAATCTTCAGTCGTTTATATGCATGACCTTCATAAGGGTTCAGCCATATTCACCTAGCCTATTATCGAATTGCTGGATGTCAAGGTACGCTATTAGTATTATGATTAGAATGATTATGTGGATTTAGTAATTAATTTTGTTAAAGACGAGCAGATCCTTAAGAATGTCCCAGAAGTTAGAGTCTACTTTAACGAATGATATCTATTATATGTATAAATTATAAAATTCATCTATGCATTTTCTAACTTATATAATATGTTACAATCCTACGTTTATTAGCATAGAAATATATAATTAAAATTTAATGGGTAATTGCTGCGGATAATCCTCAATCATGGAGTGTCACTAGCAATAAATTGTCACCAAGGATCTCTTAGGTGAAGAGTATGCAAACAAGGCTGCATTAACGATTCAATGTAAGTCACCCTTTTTATCGCTCAAGCCTATGTTCGAGGATATTTGATTAGGAAAAAGCATAGAAATCACAAAAATAATAGTGTGGCCATCACAGCGACCAATGAATATAGTTACTCAAACAAACAAAGCAGATAAGAAATTTAGTTGGTCGATTTAAAAGGGCTCAACTCTATCTCCAAAGAAACTAACATACCTCAAAATCTCAAAACTATCGAAAAGGTACCAGAAACGCTTGACAATTAAACAAAATCAGTACATTTATTCTTTAAATTTGATTCCCTTTTTTAGTTGAGGCAAGGCCTACCCAAATTTATTTATGAGGAGTCCCAATTAGAACCAGGCTTGATAACAAGAGGACCCGTGCAGGATGAACTTGATCATATATATATAGGTTAATGGAAGGATAAGTATAACCCTTGGCTATTTTAGTGCAAAATGGGGTCGAGGAATCTAATATTGGTCGGATGGCTCCTACTATGAGGGATACTGGAGGGATAATAAATAAAATGGAAAGGGAAGACTCATCCATGTGGAAGGAGACGTTTACGAAGGCGATTGGTTAGATGACAAAGCCCACGGCCAAGTAAATATATTCCACAAACCATTATAGGGGAAATTGACCACTTCCAACGGAGGATATTATGTTGGCGGCTGGATTAACGACAAATAAAATGGTTAAGGCAAGGAACTATGGCCAGATGGAGCAAGTTTTGAAGGACATTATGTTGACGGCATGAAATTTGGTTAAGGCATATACACTGTTGCCAATGGTTCTCAATATGTGGGAGAGTTTGCAGATAATTGCTTCTGTGGTTTTGGAACTTACAAATGTTCGGATGGAACTAAATACATAGGGTATTGGAAGTAAAATAAAATGAATGGATAAGGAGTAAAATATTTAAACTACTTTTAGGAGTTTCATTGGAATGATGGTTCAAAATATATTGGAGAATTCCTAAACGATTTAAGAGATGGATTTGGCACATTTTATTATGGCGATGGAAGAGTATTTGTTTGTTAATAGCATATTAGATTTATAAAGGGTAATGGAAAATTGGAAAAAGACATGGCAATGGAACTTATATTGGGAGAAACAAAGTGGAAAAATAAGGCAAATGGTAGAATGGAATTTTTGTAGTCTGGGAAAAATAATTTACAAACTCCTCCGTTGGTGACGATGCTCTATTTCATTGAATTAATTTTTATAAACTTTGTAATATTATAAACCAAATTCTTGTTTTAATTAATGTTTTTCTAAATTAAAATTTTGGATTAGTTTACTGGATACAAATATTAACTTATAGAAGACAAGATTGATTAATTACATAGCCCATACAGTTATCATAAATTTATCATGCAAAGCTTTTATAATTGTTAAAGGTATACGATGACATCATTTTTAATGCTTCTTTTGTTTTTTACTTTTATTGAAGCTATTTATTTAACAAGGCTAATCTAGCAATCTCATTTTCTATGTTTAATGTTTCTGTTTAATTGAAGTCAAATAAGTCTTCAAATATAATCATATTTTGTATCAACTTTGATGATTAGTTAATTGCTATTGTTTGAATCTCAACACTCTGATCCACTTTAACCTGCTGCCTTAAAACGAAGGCTATATTTTAAAAGCATTTTAAAGTATCTACATCATTTTTATCAGTATTTTCACATAAGCTTAACATTTTGCAATTTAATAAATTGATAAGACTTTAGGGATGACGGTAAGTTAAAATTGTCTCCCATTCTAATTTGTTCAAAATAAATAAAATTTCAGTATTTGTTTCAGATTGTAAATACTATTGGATGATAAAATAGATCTGAGGTGTATATTGTCCCTTCATAAATATCAAATATAGCATTTTTACAACTCTCTTTATCATATATATTCTACATTACGAGGATTGTATTTTATTTACCACTTTTAAGATATGCTAAATGGTGCTTTAATACTTTGTGCTTTGAACAAGGTATATTTCGCAACTCAACTATTGAAATAATACTTATAGAAGATAAAGACCATTCTCTTAATCAACAGATTGCATAGCTTTGTTGATTAAAGATAAAGCCTTTTGAAATTTCTATTACTTTAGGCAGTAAATCGAATAATGATAATAAATCTCCCAATCTTAAAAAAGATTCCTTTATTTATAATATTCGATGGTTGTTTCAAAAAACTCCTCTACTTAGATCTTATCTTCAGATGTTAGAGAATAATTAATGGTTTGAATTAAATTTATTAATATTTGTCTGATCCCATATTTATCTGCTCCTCTTTCCTCTAATTATTTTATAATTTCTTTAGGATTAGCTGAGCTAATCCCGAAATGAAATAGTCTTTTTTAAAACTCTAATTCTAAACTCAGGAACTCTTTAGATTAAATGTGGTTATTATCTAGAGTATAATTATATTGCAAAAAGATCCAAGTAAAATTATAAGAAATTCTTAGAAGAAGTAAGGTAATTTAATGCTGGAAAGCTTTGTCTAAGATTTTTGAAATTTCACTTACCGTTTCAAGCCAACTTTTATCTAAGTAGCTTCTATACAATTCTAATCTCAAATATGATATGTCATCCACCATATATTACTCATCAGTTAATTCTGTTACAATTTGACGAGCCTCTTCTAATTGATTTAATTCAATTAAACAATCAATTTCAGATAACCTATAACTTATCTAATAATCTTAAGAGTACTTTTGTATTTCTAAACTAGCATTATATAATTATTGAACATTCCCTAATCGAATGTAATACATCTAAATCAAATTATATTACCATTGTTTGGTGTTGGAGTTAATCTCGAGTAATTATTTATCTTCTACCTACCGAAATTCAACTTATTACAAAACATCATATTTTTGTAAAATTTGATTGACCTTTTCCATTGACTTTGTTTTATACAATTAAGCTAAACTAGGTACATTCTCATATGTATTCAATTGATACCTTTACCAAATTTCAGCGTCAGAAAACCTAAGTATCTTCTATTGTTTGATAATTAATTCAATAATATAGTCCGGATTTGCACGGTTATCCTCATATTGACGTTTTAATCGTTCTGATTATTGTTATTAAAACTATTATTATAATGGAACTTTATTCAATCCAATAAGTACATTTAATTTAATGTAATTGTAACTCTTACCATGAATTTGAAATTCAAAAGGTAATTTTGTTAAAAGGCTCTCATTATCCAACATTTACTATAACTGTAAAATTGATAACCCCTTTTTGTATATCTATAACATTGAGAGCAAGAAGGCGTATATATCATTATCGAAAAGATTTTGTTCGCACTCAATTTATGAAAAATTATTTTTTAATAAACCTCTTAAATTTGGTGGCAAGTACTACTTAGTACCTTAAATTAATTGCTTTTCTTTTTATTTTTTATAAAATATTGCACAACCGAAGTCAGCAATCACCCACCCCTTTTAATCAGTATACATTATGTTTGATAATTTAATATCTCGATGAGCTATTCTTAAGGAATGCATTTCCAATATTTATTATAAGATTGAATGATAAATGCTTAGAAATTCATTATATTCAATATCAGCATTGGAAACATATTCTGATAATGTTGCAGATGCAAGTTCCATTCCTGCATAAGTAGTAAAATAATTTACGCATTCTTATATTATATATACTCTATCAGATAGTGCTAAAGAGCTATTAGGAAATTTCTTGTTCAATAATGTCTAAATCTTGTATTCATTCACTTGCTGTAGAATCTCCTCAGTTTAGCATCTTTAATGCACTTTTACAGCACATAAATATTTTGAAATCATATGCCAGCATATGAAAACAGTTCCAAAGCTCCCAGCACCTATTATTGGTTGATTTTCATTTAAATAAGTTTAATTCATTTTTTATGATATATCATATGGTACCTCTTGGGCTATAACAAAAATATCAGGATTTTCAGAAACTAATTTCAATACTACTCTTTGATCGAAAGAATAATTCCTTTCTATGTTATTTGCCAAATTTAAATAACCTCTGGTCTCATCTGATCCTGAAGATGAAATAGACATTGATTCTTAATTCATTAAATAAAATATCTTGAATTAATTAAATTAATGTGATTACAGGTTTTATTGAATACTATTATATGAATTAAAAGATTACAAATGAAATATTATAAGCAATAAAATTCTTACTAATTTGAGGAGATAACCTTTTAGAATATTATTATATCAATTAAATATTTACAATAATTTTCATTTATAAATAATTATTTATGAGAATTTTAAAAACTGAAATTGGTTAATTTGGACAAGCTAGAAATAAAATCTATTAATTAGTAAAAAAGGAATCATATTAGCTATTTCATTTAAAAGTATTGATTATCGTGAATAAATGAATTCTTTGAACCATAATAAATATACAATATCTATATTTTTAACTTATTAGTTAATATCTTTGTAAAAATAACTAATATTTTGACTCAAAATTTCATAATTCTTTATTCTTGCTTTATTGCAATATAACAAAGAATTTAATAGTTATTGTAGTGTAATTCCATGATAATAAATACAATATTAACTGAAATTTATAGAAAAATGCATTCCTTTGCTACTATCCTTTTCATCTTTTTTTGAATTAATATTAATACTTAATATGTTATTTTTTCAACACTTAACCAAATTATAAGATATTCATAATCCAATTTAGTGATTAGATAAAGTGCTTACATCCTTATGGCTATTGATTTAATCTTTCTATTAAGAACCTCTAATTATATTGCTACTCAAGATATGAAATAAATTTTATTTATATATAACTAAGCAATCATCCATAAAGTGAACTAAAATACTAACATGAAATATGAAGTTCACTAAATACAGTTTGTATTGATTATATTGATCAGGTTAAACGCACTAATAGAAAAAAGAGAGTTATTAAAATCAGTGATTATAAATCTACTTGATATTGATAAAATTATTTCTTATCTTATGAATGTTGATTGAATCCAATCCTGCAGATGTGTAAAAAAAATAATGATATCTAATTAATAGATTAATTCTTGAATAACTAATCATTTCTTGGCTTGTTTCTTGCTATCCTTCTTGGGAGCCTTCTTTGTGGCTTTTTTAGTAGCTTTCTTTGTTTTTGTTGCTTGCTTTCCTTATTTTTTGGGGGTGGATGCAGCAACTGGTGTTGAGGTGGTTGGTGCAACTGGTGTTGTTGTCACTGGGGCTGGTGCTGGAGTTGCATCAGTGGTCTTTTTAGTGACTTTCTTAACATTCTTTGTAGCTTCTACAATAAATTAAATAATTGACTTGGTGTTCCAGCCTTCTTGGCTCCCTTGTTTCCTTTTGTTGCTCCTTTTGCCATCTTATTTATGTTTTCTTATTTTTATTATTAATAATTTTTGTTATAAGCTTTAAATTCGAAATATTAAAATTTCGTTAATTTCATTGGTTTATTTGTGATTTTTTTGGATAATGATATTGCAGGCCTTTAATTATCAAATAGCCAAATCTGCCCATCTATTCCCAGTACTTTATTTTAAACATCAATTAATTTCAAAGTTTCCCCTACCAGAGCACCTCAAAAGGTAAATTATTATTCTTGATTTGCACCTTAACCGCATGAAATCATTATGAAACACCCTATACATCAGTAATCTTATGTTAAACAATGAAAATGTTCCATGGCCTACTTTAAAACAAAGTTTGAAGTGGAATTTTTAAAACGTTGTTTTTAAAAAAAAAGTAATAATAATTTTATTTTTTTAATATTTGATCAATTTAATTTAATAATTATTATCAGCCTATATTCTTATTCCTCATTGTAATTAAATTCATTACCATGTCCTTCCCTCACTCAAGTCTTCTACAATCTAAAACTACACAAATTTAATCTTCAGTCTTCTGTCTATCACATAAAACGGTTGTTTTATACAAATTTCTCATGTAAGTATTGTTATGCATTGCTTTGTTCTTTCTCTTAATTCTATATGGGGTTACAATGTTGATACCCTATCACTTCTAAAAACCCTTAAGTTTCATCCAATCCTCTTGATTTAAATGGACAAAATATAATTTAAATTCATAAATAACGCAAAGTTTATATTCTATTTCTTCTCAAGTTGAATATTCATTTATTTTACATATTTCAAATTTAAGTTATGTTTTATATAATAATCTTAAATAAGTGAAAGTATACTCTATTTCAATATCTATAGAATTATTCCACATTAATTTTACACTTGCGATTCTTTTTACTTAAAGATTTTAGTTTAAAATTTGGGTGTCCTAAATATTTGTTTAACATTAATTAATTAAATTATTAACCCTTTGATTCAAAAAACAATTCTTATAACCATTTTTAGAACTTAATATTCACTTTACATTATAAATAATATTATGTTTATTAAACTACTTTTGATTAAACAATCTAAATAAAGGATGTGGACAGAATATCAAATCATCTGTTTCAATGTCAATTCACTCAGTCTTCTTCTTTTTTAAGAAATTTTTTAATTTATAAAATTAAATTTTCCTAATTTCTTATTTTATTTTTCAACATAATCAATAATAATTATTTAGAATAAAATATTGTAAATTAAAATTTAAAGTCATAAGATAATACCTTATTTAATCTTAATAATTCAATTCTAAGTTCAATGTAAAAGCATTACGTAGAATTACAAAAGAATGAGCATCTTTTACTTCTTTAAATATTTGTGATTGTTTCATTCAATGATTATTGAAGAAGGTTTAAACTTTAAAAAATATTACACTATAAGCTTAGACCTATATAATTCTTATAAGTTTAGTATCGTAATCATGGGGTTACAAATATAATTGAATTACAAGTATGATATTAGCTAGAAGAATAATTTATGAAATATAATATTAATTTTTAATAATATAGTTAAAAATAATTTAAATTATGAATTCAACAACTCCAAAATCAAGCGGAATCAATTACGCAAGTATAATTTTAGTTATAAGCTGATGGTAGAATTAAGAAAGCAACGATCAAACTAAGACACTTTACCAAAATCAATGTCAACCAATATAAAAATGGATGTCAATTAGGCTTAATAGTTTGGAGGGATGAAGCACAGAAGTACTTCTCAACACAATATTCATGAAATGGCATAAATTTAGTTGTTTGATTAATGTTTGGTGAAATAAGCAAATTAAAATGAGTTTCTGGTTTTCCTTGATAGATAGATGCAATACTTTTCTCAAACAACTCCAGTAATCAATGATGTCTATAAGCTTAGCAAAACTTTTCATCTTTCAGAGTCAACAATAAAGCGATTTAAGATGAAAAGAAAAAGCTGTAAATCGAACTCCAAAAGTTTAACTAAGAAAACGCTTTTTTGATTAAGGAAATAAAGGATTTGAATAAGACTAAGCAAATGCTTGTAAAGCGATATGATGCCTTGCAAGGTCTGATTTTAAAAGAACGATTGAACAATCAACCCAGGGTTCACTAATATAGCAATCCGAAATTTCAACATCTTTTCAATCAAATTTCGCCAGTTTAAGAGACTATATCATCATTGACTGACGAGAGAGTAACATTATCCATAGTTATGTTATTTAGTTTGAGAGTAATGCAACTTCGCTTGATTCTTCTCTATCATACGAGGATGATTAATCATCTGCATCGTAATTGCTAGATTTATTGTAGAAAAACTCGAAGCACAGATTCAATTTTTAAAAGCAAATGGTATGATAGTATTTAATTTTGTTTTCTTTTTAAGTTTCAAATTGCTTATTTAATATTAAACTTAATATGAAAACAATATTCAGGAAACATTAATAAATCATTTATTTAATATGCCAGTTGCAATTTCTTTTAAAAACCCTTTATTATCGGTCACTTACCTATCTGTATCCCAATTTTTAAGTCTGCTTTTCATTTTTTTTAATTATTTTTTCATTTCTACTATTTTAGGTTCGAAATCTGTGGGAAATTTAAATTTTTCTTCATTTTGTTCCTATATTAAATCTTTGATTTTTTGGTTGTTATCCAAAAACTATTTGATGTACTCCTTCTAAATAAGCGAAGGTAATTTAAAATTCAGCAGGTGCTTGTGTTTAGTAGTAGTTTGTTAGATTTATTTTTTGACTAAAATAACGGAAGGGGATCTTGATTATTTGAATTTATCAAGTGCCGATGCTGCAAATAACTAGAGATTCTCAGTACTTTAATTCTTGGCCATTGATTGTGGAGATTGATGAATTTATTTCTTTCTATTTAAGATATTCTCATAGACTGCTTTTTTATACTCCTCGAATTAAGGTTGGATAGACAGGTCTTAAGAGAGTAATAGGTGTTATCTTTCAGTAGTTGCCTAAATGACCTTCATTCGCAATTCAGCATTCGATCTACTTCTATACTTACCTAAGTAAATAAAAAAGAGTACTGAGATTTCGATCTTCTAGGGAGAGTTTTTTGGGTGGGAACTTCAACTTCATAGGATCATTTTATATCCATTTTTCGTTTGCAGTCTCCTGCACTTACTATATGTTTTATTTTCTAGGAGTAGAGTATTTATCTGCTTAGAATAGCCTATTCATTCTGTCTCTTTCATTAACAAAAGGAATAAAAATAGATTCGCTTAGCTTAGGTTCATTCGAATTTTCTAGCAAAATAAAGTATTTTCATAGTTGTACTATCATTTTCGTGATTCTGAAGTGTAAGTAGTATGGGCATAGCACCAGGAACATTATTGGACATGGGATTGGAAAGTGCACATTTGGCCCTGATTATGCCAATACTCATATTATAATTTAATAATAATGTTATTAAGTTGAAAAAATTCATTTCTCAGACTTCAATATGTCATTGCATCCTGTATGTATTAAATTTAAAGATTGAATTAAGGTACAAATAGATATTATAATATATTTAATTTGATTTATAATTCAATGATAAAAGTTCTCATACTTTTTTAAAATCTCATCAAATTCAACATAATTAAATTCTATGCCTTAATATGCAAATCTAAAATAATATAATCAATTAATAATACCTTTTGCAAATTACTCTGAATTGATCATCTGTTAAGGGCAATTTGTGAAAGTCCATAATGGATCTAAACCTAGTAAAAGTGATTTTGCCTGATTTAGTTTTATCCTAAACATTACTCATGAATTCTATACCTTATCTTGAAAGTGAGGTTTAAGCAAAATCCTATGCTTTCTAACGACTTCACCAAGTCTTAACATAATGGCATGTAAGGCTTCCTCCTCATCTTGAGTCAAAGCATCTCTTGGATCAAGGAAAGTGGGGATGATATGAACAGGTGGTTTCATCAGTGGATCCTTATCTAATCCCTAATTGCATGTATAACAGATAAATTACTGTTTTGGTAAATACGATTTCTACATCCTCTATAAACTTAGCGTAATTGACTCTGATGGGATCCTCAGGAACAACATACATGGTTTCTAAGAGATCCAAACTTTCTTAATCCAAATCTATCTTCATCTGGCTTAGAACTCCTCTAAATTTATTTGTAGGCATCAATCCTTTTCTCAAAGGGTCAAAGTCCTTGAAATAATCACCCAATCTCAATCTCTTCACTTTGACAGCCACTTTAATCTACTCTAATAAAACTGAAGGTTATAACTAAATTAAATGGAAGTAAGTACTTTTTCTTTCTCTTTTGGCTTAACACCAACATACGCTTGAGATGCTCCAGACTCTGTTTGAATTTCCAATGGTGGTTAGGTGTCATTTATAAATTGAACATATCTAATATCTCCATCATCTTCTGCAGCATAGATCTTGACAACTGCTTAAAATTCTTCATCTGACAATATGAAATTAACTGTAGCCAATGTCTATCTAAATTATTTTGGTGACACTTTATTTCTCCCTAATTTGTCCCAATCTTAAAAGAATTATTTGATATCAAGTCTGGTTGCCTTACAAAAATATTGAAACTTCTTTTTCACTACTTCAGCTACTTGTCTATCTCTTTCAGTGATTGACACTCTGCCATAATTATATTAGGTGGACATTAAAGGCACATCTTCTGATGGACTTACTTTTTCCAAATTTTTAGTAGTGAACACTTAATCTACTTAATCAGTGAATTCTTTCCATTGAACAAATCCTTGTTTGTCTTTACAACCAAAATTGTTGAGAATCAATTAGAATTCTGCATCTGACAAGAGGATTTTTGCCATACTCAATCCTTTTCTGAGTTGAGTCACTGTAATTGTGCCACTTCTTAGTTTATCAAAGTCTCTTAAGAATTCTGCAATTCTCTATCGTTATTCTTTGACAATTCTCCTCAATTTGGCCATCAAATCTTCAAAATCATTTGGTTAATCATTCCTAATAAAGGCTTGACTTAAATTATCTGATTTCACATAATTCTTAAATGCATCTGCATGTGATTTACTTATGGCTACTCCTTCATCTGATTGATCTACAATTCTACAAAAATCATAGTAATTGACTTCGTTTAAATTTGCCTTATCTACAAATCTCTTCAACAATAGATTTAATGAAACTGGGTCTGGAAATAGATTGAATTGATTCAGGATTCTTAAGAATTGATTAGTTGTGATGTAACCTTATTTCGTTTTATCAAAATCTTCAAACACTGGTTTTAATAGCACTCTCTTATTTTGAATGGCCTGTTTGTATTTCATTAGCAACTCATCCAATTAAATTGCCTCCTATTCTGTCATCTATAAATATCTTCTTCTGGCAGGCAAAGTAGTCGAGTCATCAATTTAAGGTACTTATGCCTGTGGTTGCTTGTCAATGCCCTTGATAGTGAATATTTTGTCAACGTCCTCGCAAAATTGATTATAATCCACTTAACCATTTGGAATCTTGTCAACTTTGTATTGATTCAACAATATCTATATTTCTTTTTCAGAAACAGGGATATTCTGGATATGCAAAATTCTAGCAAACTAAACCAATTAATTTGATAATATACTTAAGATTCAGTCACTAATCCTTTTCTCAAAGGATCAAAATCTTTAAAGAACTCTCTTATTCTGATTCTCTTCATTACAACATCTCCTTAGATCTTCTTCAATACTTGATGCAATGTGTTGATATTATCTGTCAATTTTTTTGAGGTGAACAAGGTGGAAATCAAATCTAATCCCTCTTTGTCTTCAATGAAGTCATCATCCGGATGGACCTATGGAAATATTATATCATTTTACATCTTTTGGATTCTATTTGATTCCTGTGATCACTCCACTGAGCATTTCTTATACATTATCGACATCATCACAAAACTTTACGTAATTAACTTCCTTTGGATTTCCATTGTCGATATATTGTCTTATAAGTAATTGCAAGTATTGGTCTTTTGGCAATAATCCTAATTAATTTAACACTCTTGAAAATTAATCTATTGTAATATGGGAACATGCAGTTCTATCAAAATCTTAAAATGGCTATTTTAAGAATATTCTTTTTGTTGCTATCTTTCTTTTAATAGCCAACATCAACCTTTTTACTGTGTCCTCTTCATCTTAGTTGAAAATCTAAATATATCAAATCGATACTTGGGGAGCTTGAAATACTTGCGCCTTTGCTTCGTTGTTCAGAAATTGCTCCTCAAGTTTGTTACAAAATGTTGTATATTGTACTAGGCCATCATTTAGTTTGTATCTCCTAATGATTTCCTCGATATCATCCTTTGTAAAATGAAAATTTATCATGGATAATGCAGACCGAAACTAAAGATGAATCACTCAATAATACCTTGTCTTCTGTCACCCAGCCCTTTCTCAATCGATCGAAATCAGTAAAGAATTCTCTGACTCTTATTTGCTTCTTATACACATCTTGCTGTAATCTTGTCTCTATATCTTGTTACACATAGGTTCCAACTGCACCTTTGAATAAGATCAATTTACTTATAGATTGTCCTGCAGAAACTAAAGCTGTAGCCATCCTTCAGTTATCTTTTTTTTTGAGTATATATATTATTTAATTTATTGTCTTTCAAAACATCATTATAATTATAATTTCCCATTTTCAAAATTTGAACTGCCATCTTCTATACAATGATTCATCGATACAAATACCTTCATTTTATTTGCTAATTAATATTATTAAAATTAACTAAACATTTAGTTTAACATACATGCTACCCCAAAGAACCATCCAAAACAAGAAAATACAATTTGTCAATTACGTAACATTTTCCAATCCTGTAGGACTCAAATTTAATAGAACCTAAGCTTATAAAACGGAGAAAAAAAGATCGAAAAAGAAAAATGAGCATTATGATATAAATTTAATATTTCTTCATTTATATTAAAAACTCATTAGCCTAAATTAGTTCACTCTTTATATAGTGTTACAATTTCCCAAATTTAACATAATATAAAGTTAAGAATATAATTGTCACAAAAAATTTTACTTAAGAATATGAAAAAACAATCTTATTTGAGAAACACTGCGAATTCTACTTGATAAGATTAAGCGTTCATTATTCTAATTATTATAATATAATTTAAAAATTACTGAAATTTATTTAAACTTATTACATAATCCCACTTTTGTATAAGGTGTTTTGATTAAACAATTAGGAAGATTATTTAAAAAGCCATCACCAATAAATCGTTTATATATTATTTGTTTAATTCCTATATTGATTTATATTCCCTATAGAATAATTATTGAAATGAATTAATAGATTACAATTAGGTCAACAAATGAATTTTTTATTACTTATAAGCAATAATTAAATAGAAAACCTGAATTCAAATAATGATGGATGTTTACATAATTCACCAAATATATAAATATATATAAAATTATTTTGTAAATAAATAATTAGAAATTGTAATTAACTAGTAAGATTGAATTTTAAATAAAATTATTTTATTTAAGTCATTTCTAATAAGGTTAAGTGAATGTTTAAAAAGCATAATTTGGTTATGCAAACGATGTGAGTTGATTCTTGATTTATTCGCACCAAAATGAAAGCATCATAAAATTATTATTATTTTCATTTTCTTAAATTTCTTGTTATTCATTTTCCTCCTTCTGACTCTTGATCGATTTCTCAATGCAATTCTCTGTTTTTTGACAATAGAGGTAAGTCGACATTTAAGGCTGAACAGGATTTAAGACAATGTCATAAATACGGATTATTTTTTTAAGTTTTCTTACTCTGCTCTCCTTTTTGCCTACTCTTCCCTCTCTCATGTAAGTATTAATAATGGACTTACAGGTAGATTGTAATATATTATGTTCTTGGGCAACCTATCAAGATAGACAAGGTAGAATTACATCTGCTATAGACTTCTTTTCATTTAAGATCTGGTGTATGATCTGTTCTCTTAATTCATTATTTATCTTGCTGTATTGTTTTTTGAGGTCCTCCATAATTGAATTATATTTTTATTATATGATGACAAAAATTTTGTTTAGAACTTAATAATTTCATAATCCTTAAATTAAAATCCGTTCATTATTTGTTCTGATGTTATCTCAAACTTTTAATTTTTCGAACTATTATCTTCATCTGTTATTTTTCAAACCATCCATACTTCTCAAAATCCTTTGCACTAGGCGGATTTTGTTTCCCTTTGTTGATTGCCTCTTAAATTATTTTATCTATGTCCTTGTCTTACAAATCGCACAGTTACAATAAGGTAAAGCATTTCTGTGGGTAATCTTAATCCTCGCTATTGGAGTCCTCATTTTAATTATTCTTAATGTTTATTGTTTAATACTTTGCTGCAATCGAATTTAATTGGGGATTGAATTATTTTAAAACATAGCATTTAGCCCAGGGTCCATTATAGTAGTAATAAACCATCTGCCCTAGCTTTTCTTCGTATTACTAAAATTATTTTAATTCTTTAATTAATTGTTTCTTAAGCCATATTGGTTTTTTCTGGAATAGTTGATTTAAGGTGGGATCGGTTTCTTAGTAGATCTCATCTAAATTGGAGTGGGCCTCTCCAAATTTCAAGGGAGTAATGAAATTTTTCTTCTCGACCTTATTTCTCTTCACATACTTTTTCATCAAATTTATCTTGAAATTGGAACCCCTCCAACAGAATGGCTTAGCAATGTCTCTTGGAACGTGCTGCTTTTCCAGTTGATAAGGTTTACATTGTATGTATTCTATTGTGAATAGCAGGGACTATTACTTTTAAATTGGTTTAGGATGTTTTAATCATTTTCACCTTCAAAATAGAAGTCTTGAAAGTAATACTAAGAATCGTAAGTCTCATTGATTTCGCTCTCGTGTTCCAATTTATATACAACAATATTTGGATCGTTCTTGTGCTAAAATTTTCTCATTCTGAAAATGATGTTAGTCTGATTCATTTTTTTCAAAATAAACTTTCCCTTTTCAGAATTCATCACTTGCAAATCAAGCGGTTTTGTTTTGCCAGTTGGGAATTAAAACGTTTAGAGATCCACCTATTTGATTTCAGAATTAAAGTGAAAGGGTAGAGTTAAATGTGAGTACTCATTCATTTTTAATAAATAAATAATATAATTTAAAATTTTCAATTCTGATAATCACATAGATTATCACATAAATTAGTATATCAATATAATTTCCATAACACTCTTTTATAAAGAAACAAGAAAAAACCAAATAATAAGCTCAGTTCTCAGAAACTTAAGATGTAGATCATCTAACTAATTTCTTTCCGTTTCCCCCTAAACGAAATTAGACGAATTGTGGTTAAAGTGTCAGATTCAATTTCAAGGGCTTAAGCTTAGTTTTGATAAGTTTTTCTCTATATTTTATTTTAAAATAAATAATACAGAATGTCATACAGCTATCTATTCAAATTCATTCTTATCGGCGACACAGGTATTGAAAATCAGTCAATTGTTTAGGGGTTGGAAAATCATGCCTTCTATTGTAGTTCATCGACAAAAGATTCCGACAAAAACATGAGGTGACTATTGGTGTAGAATTTGGAGCAAAACTAATCGAATTAGACGGGTTGAACATTAAGTTACAGATATGGGACACTGTATCCTTATTAGGTTATGCTAGGCTGGGCAAGAATCCTTTAGATCCATTACTCGATCATATTACAGATCTGCTGCAGGTGCTATTGTGGTTTATGACATTACGAAAAGGGAAAGCTATGAAAATGTGGCTAGATGGATGGAGGAAGTGAAATAGAATGGAAATCCAAAATTGTCTATGCTCTTAGTTGGTAATAAAGGCGATTTGGAATCAGAGTAATTATGGTATTTAATATGAAGTCGATAAGTTTCATACAATGAGGCACAATAATTTGCAAAGGAATGTGGAATAGAATTCTTCGAAACCAGTGCAAAGACTGCGAATAATGTGGAGGAGATATTTATCAAGATGGCATAAATAATATTAGAGAAAATCAATCTAGGATAAATTGACCCCAAGAATGAAAACTTTGGAATCAAATTAGGCAGCGAACAAGTCAATTATTCTCATGGAAATTAAAACATTACTAACTTGGAGTAGCAACAGGAGTATTAGCCTTATGAAGAAAAGAAGAAATCTGGTGGGTGTTGTTGAAGATTGAAATTATCAAAATATTACATTGATTTAGAAGTTGATTTATATATATCTTTTGAATTCCAAATAATCGATTCTTAGAAAAGAAGAACCAAAACCTATAATAAATTCACAGTATTATAATAGGTCGTTTATCGTCTGATACTTTGGATTGTCAAGTTTTTGTATTTATTATGATTGGATTTAATTATAAGTTTATAATTATGAATAAAACTGAAAATGTTTTCAAATAAGAAAAAATATAAATCTCTGAATCTTAGGTTGCTCCTTTAGACATAATATCAATAATTCAGTAAAAGTACACCAGAAAAGCTAATGAATGCAACGATTGTAAAACTTAACATTATCTACTAGAGATTATCATTAATGAAATTCCTGAATCATCAAAAATTATTGACTCGACTCTTCAAAAGTAAGATAGCCAACAATAGCTAATATTTCAAAAGGATATCTATGCGAGAAGTTAGTCTATATTTAAATCTATGTAGATTCCTTTAAGAGTGTGGGTTGCATCTGTCGAATTTGTGAATTTTCGGAATATAAAGAAAATCCTCTAATTCGTGTGTGTAAATGCATTAGATCTCAAAAATACGTGCACGAATATTGTTTGAAAAAACTGATCATGAAAAAATATAGAAACAAACTTAATTAAGCAAAATGTGAAATCTGTTCTGATACGTATTAAATGGAACTCCAAATTGAAAAAATATTCGCTCCTGTAAATTACATATCTTATCTTTAGAAAATAGCATGGTCGCAAAGCAAGGATAAACTACCTTTATTTTGTTTATTGGTCTTTTTGATTGTGATGATAGTCGTTGTAATCTTACTTGGAATTCGATTGTATGAACTTTATTGTAATTTAGATCAGAGGCTAATTAAATTACTGATCGGAAAAACTTTCTAGATTCCAAATCTTTCTTAATTTTATTTGTCATCTTTTCAGTGATTATTATTCTAATATTGTTATGGCTGATTGCAATGATAGTCAAAGGGTTGTTAATTGTAGAGAAAATTATACTTTGGAAACTAATAGAATTCAAACCAGTGAAGAAATCTATACTTAATAAAAATATATTAATTTCAGACCTCAAATAATCATTTCGAAAATCTAAACTATGTACTGAATAAGAAACAATGTAAAACAGGACAAGTAGGCATCAAAATACATTTAATATATAAAAACAGAATCATAACTAAGAAGATCAATATATTGATGTTGGTGAAATATCTACATAAAGAAATTAACTAAAATAAGTTGCAGGAAATGTGCTTACTATTTAAACTGATCCTCGTTCAACCAAAAGATCAAGATTTTCAATAATTTGATTATTATTATTATCTTAATATTTCAATAACATAAAATTGATACCCTGTTGATGAAATTTAATTTAATGGTTTAATCCATTATTTTTTTAATTCATCATATAGATTAAAGCACATTTATATAAAAAATATTGAAATAAAGAATTAATTTATAGCATTATTTAAAATTTAACCAGCTAATAATTTCACTATATTTTTAATTTATTATATATCTTGAATAACCTTAATTTTTTTAATTTACACCCAAACAAGAGAACGTTGTTGTAATGATAAACCACGAAATTAAAATTACATTATAAAGAGTATAGAAAATAAATTGAGATTGTTCACTAGTATATTTTAATTAATTAAAAAGTGGGAATAATAATTTAAAGACAAGAGTTTAGATCAATTTTAGAGGAGGTTGGAGGTGTATTATCAAGACGGTTTGTCTCAGAATAAGGGTGGCTTTTGAGAGAAGGAGTGATAGTTCAATTCTTTGAAGGGTGTCCTTTTTGTTTGTCTTCTCGTTAATAATTAACAGATAATTTAAATATATTTATTTCAAAATGAGCATTCGGCAAAGTCTCATTTAACAATTCATGCATACTTTATCTAATTAGAGTTCATAACAGACTATAACTTTATTGGCTCTAATAGGAATTGAAAGTGTGCTTTAGGAGAATGACAACAAATTAGTCAGGGAGCAAATAACTCTCATCAAGAGATAGATAGAAAATATTCAGACGAAGGACGAGGAACACACTATAAAGGTGGTAAAGTCGAAGGAAAGAGCGCTGACCCCGAAGATTACGGAATCCTAGGCTCCAACTCCATTAGGCCACCAAAGGAATACTGTGTCTAGACACCATTTGGATGATCATGCGATGAGGATGGCACTTAGTTAACAGTACGAGGAGACCGAATAAATGAGATCTCCAAAATCGGAAATCTCCAATGTGAAAACCCCAAAACAATCGATTCAATACTTTATAGAGATGAAGAGTTAAAAGCCGAAAAGGGGGCCCGAAACCAAACTGAAGGAATTGCAAAGTAATTTAACTCGAGAATTGATAGCTGATTACCAGGGAGTGTTGGAGGAAATTAAGCTAAACCCAACAAAATACATGGACACTCCTGAGAGCAGTCTTTAGGAGTAGCAAATAAAGGATTACATAAAGTTGCAATAGTAGGTGCAATTGTAGTAGCAGAAGGCAGAGATTGAAAGACAATAGCAATAATTAAAATAACAGTCACAGGACTATAATTAATCTTAGAAGGACTTATTGAATTTGAGAAGGAGGACTGAAACCCAGCCGGAATAGAGACTGGAGAGATCTTGGTAGGTATAGGAGAAAAGGAGTACTTAGGGGATGATGAATTACAAATCGGAACCAAATTAGATGTAAAATTAAATGGCAACAAAGAAGGTGTAATCGACTCCACAATAGAAGGAGTAGAAGTCTCCGAACAGATTTGAGTAGTAACAAGTGATGTAGACGGAAAATACATTTTCATTTTTTTAAAGGTAGAAGACTTAGGGAAATCAAATCAATACTCAATAATCGATTAATTACGACAAACACAGCGGGGGTTTAAAGTAGATGGCTGACAAGCTAATAAATTCGCCGATTATATAGTAAGTCTCTTTGAAGTCGGCTGAGAATGTTTCATCATCGGGGAAGGAGGTTTAGGTTTCATAGTTTGAGGAATAAGGTATGTAAAGTAGAAGTAAAAGTAGATTCGATGAGTTCAAATTCAAGTGCGTTTTCACTATTTTAGCCGAATGAGGAGTTGAAGTCATTCTTTAGGAAGGAGTTGATTAAGGAAGAGAACGACGAAAGTAAGGGTTATATGTAATATAGATCATGATCCGAATTGTGTGAAGTACTCTAATATATTTTTGAAAGGGAGAATGGGAGGATCGAAAGTGTTTTGAATTAATTAAGTATATAATGCAATTTTGAATTACTTTCACTTAATATTAATAATTAAATGGCAGATTATTATACATATCAGAGGAAGAGAAGGGACTTGGGGAAGCCTTGCAATTTTTAGGAGAGTGAAATCAAAATAGCCGGTTATACTAAGACGGTTGCGATTGTTCCGAACTACGTGAAAAGAAATCCAAATCACATTGATTTGGATAACATTGCTGAATATTCGGAGCATTCGGTATGAATTTGATTTACTAAAACATAGGTGAATACAGAGAGAGTATCGACAGGAGACAAGGTGATGTATCATAAAGAAGGAGGGGTATTTTAATTTATGCAACAGTTTTTAGTGGCCTGCAGGTATAGACCCATTGGAGCAGCAAGACCAAAACAAATACAGAAGGAGGTTCGAGAAAGATTCGGCATTTGCAGTTGCTGTCAAGGAGTTGAGCACAACAGTGGAGAAATGCATACTCCAAAATAACCAGATAGATTTGTTTGAGGAGTATTTCTTGGACGAAGAAAGTGAACATCAAGTGGAGAATCTCAGCACTAAGACTTTGATGCTATTCAAGTATTACTAGAATGTAATGGTAGGGATTAAGCAGAAGGAGGAGTCAAGAGATCTGTGTCTGAAATATCTTGGCATCCAGAAGGCCCAATCAAGGCAGCAGTATCTTATGCCATTAGCAGATTCTAACAAATGCCTGAAGGAATGGTGAAATCATCATATGTTTGGGATCTATAAAATCCAAATAATCACGAATCTGAATTAGAAACGAATTCTCCAATTACTAATTTGATGTACAATCCAAAGTTGTCCGATTAAATCGGAGGTGGCTGTTATAATGGTTTGGTTGCTGTTTGGGATGTTAAGAGAGGTAAATAGCCCGTCTTGACATCCCCTGTTGAAAAGTCTCATCACGATCCAATCACTCATTTTCAATGGTTGTTTAGTAAAACTGGTACTGAGTGTGTGACTACATCCACTGATGGTCGTGTGTTATGGTGGGATACCAGAAAATTGAATGAAGGTCCAATTGAATCGTTGAATGTAACTGAAGGAGCAAATCCAAATGATCCATTGATTGGTGCAACAGTATTGGAATACAACACAGAAGCAGGACCAACTAAATATTTAATTGGTACAGAAATGGGATCCTTAATGGTTGCTAACAAGAAACCAAAGAAGGCTGTTGAAATTACAGCTAGATATGGATTGGAGAGTGGACGTCATTTGGGACCAGTCATGTCTATCAATAGAAGTCCTCCAAATCCCAAATTCTTCTTAACAGTTGGAGATTGGAGTGCTAAGATTTGGGTCGAGGATATCAAGACTCCAATAATGAGAACTAAATATCATGGCAGTTATTTGACTGATGGTTGTTGGTCTCCAACTAGAAATGGAGTGTTCTTCTTAACTAGAAAAGATGGTTGGATGGATGTTTGGGATTACTATTATAGATAGAATGAAATTGCATTCAGTCACAAGGTAAGTGAGACAGCCCTTACCTGTATAAAAATAAATTCTAATGGTGGTGCTCATCATAATGCTGGTAAATTGGTAGCCATTGGAGATTAGGATGGTACAGTCACTTTATTAGAACTATGTGATTCATTATACTAATTATAATTTAGAGAGAAAGATGTGATGAATGAAATGTTTGATAGAGAGTCAAGAAAAGAAAAGAATCTAGAAGCCATTAAGAAACAGTAAGATTTAATGAAAAAGGTTGTTCCAAAAGATAATAAGGCAGCCCAATAGAAATGGGAGTAAAGAAAAGCTGAATTGATAGCTGAAGCTGAACAACAATTTAGTCAAATCGTTAAAAAGGATGAAGAGGCTAAATTAAATGATTTGTCTGAATTCAGTCCTAAAACTCAAAAAAAGTAAAGTGATCTACTTATAATCTATTAGAGAAGATAAGAAGCCCTAGTCCCCCAAAGATGATGATAAATAACAACAGTAAGGAGATGATGATGGATAACAACAAGGTCAATAAGATCAGGGACAAGATCAAGGAGACAAAGACGGTGGGCAATAACAAGATGGAGACGATGGTTAACAATAAGGAGATGATGGCTAATAATAAGATGGAGACGACGGTTAACAATAAGGAGATGATGGATAACAATAGGGAGATGATGGACAACAAAAAGGAGATGAGGGAGATGGCCAAAAAGAAGGTGAACAGGATTGATCAAAATAACAATATTAATATTTATCGGAATGCATATACAAATAATTAATCCATCAAATCTTAAGAAGATCCTAATCTATCTTCATTCTTGGTTTCAAATACTCCACAAATCCCATTAGGAGGTCCATCTTATGTTGACTCTTTATTTTCTAATCCACCAACACAACTCCCACTTATTTCATCTCCTTGAACACCTCCATCAAATCATCTTTCTTGTATGTATAAAGTAACTAAAACAATTTATGCGAGTTCTCAGCTGCAAGCAAAGCCAAATTCTTATAAATCCAATCTTGTATGAATTCATCTTGTTCTTTTTATTTTAGTTGGACTGCCAATGCTGTAAATACACGTTCAGATAACAATGGATCTGGATGTCTCATATACAAATATAATGCTTCAGGCTACCGTCTCATCTTTATTAAACAAAATGCTTCCATCCAAATCCTATTGAATATTCCATTACATCATTACCAATTCTTTTCTTACGCTTTTTAACGCAACTCTTCCAATAACTTAAACTACCCTTCGAATTACCTCTCCACTTTTACCATAACTTTGTGTAAAAATTCATTCTTCACTAATTCACTAGATAAATCTTTTTAAACTCTACCCCGCAAAATCCAATTTATGTCAAATATTGTGTTATGCTATTTTCTAAGGGCATCCATGTAATTTAATAGATTAACCATAATGTGATTAATATTCAAGTGGAATGGACAAATGGCAAAAACGTTGGTTGAAAATGCACAAGAATAATTCATATACTCATCTATCAGCTTAGCATTATTGATCCTACCAAAATATGCCTATTCTGCCAATTTTATTAAAACATAAACCTTTGATAAGATCCTTAGATGATAATCTGTTTATTAAATATCTAATGTAAATCCTATATCTTACCTAGTATTTCAGGTAAGAAACCAATCATTGTATTGTTGGATATTTCAATATTAATTTCCTTGCCTTCATTTAAGAATTGCTTAAAGCTCTCTTGTATTCTTTCTGAAAAGACTGATAGAAAGATTTCCAAAGTCTTGATGTAATCAATTTCAAATAGTTTCTAGATGTTTTCCAAATCAAATAAGTATTCGAACAGATCTTTGAACATAGCCTTGAACTATCGATCAGTAAAGAAAGACTCAGGATTTGATTGATTTTGACCAGTAAAACAGAAGGACAAGAAACTTATATACAACTATAAGAATACTTAAATAGACAGGCTTTACATTAGTCTAGAGTTAAAGTAGTAATGTTCTTATTGTCTTCCTCGGTTAAAGCATGCTTGCTTTAGAGAAGACTAAGCAGTGTAATAATTCTTAGATATGGAGTTAGAAAGTCGTTGATTTGTGAACAAACATGCATCATGGGCTCTATGAGATCCTATTCCAAACAAAAATCTATCAATCCTTTTGGATCATATCTTTATATATTTTAAATTGACATTATCAATTTAGTACAAGTTTCCTTATCCTCCATTTCAGTGAACATCTTCAAGACTTTGGTTTAATGCTAATATGGAATGCTCACCTGATGGTATTGGAGTAATTCCCTTAAGTAGTCATAAAACACATCCCTATAACCACACCCTACCATGAGATCCTCAATCGATTCAAATAAGTATTCCTCATTCTGAGTTTAAATTAGGAAATGCATGATAGTCAAAACTGATTACTTATTTTTCAATTATTTATTTGGCAATTATGACAACAGATATTACAATGCTAACTTACAACAAGTCTCCTTGATACAAAAATGTCTTTAAACATCATTTTCAGGAATGTTGCATAATAAAGTCAAATGACCTCTATGTATATCAACTGCAGTTTAGAAACATCTCTCCCACTCATTGTTATCACTTTATTCATACAACAGTTCATCCCATTTCTTTAATCTAATAGATTGCAGTTCGGTTCCATTCAAAATATAGCACTGCTCGTTTTTATAAATAATTTATACTACATTTAAAAATAGAAATCTTACAATTAGAATGCAATTACTTATAATTCAAAATAATATCATTTGATTTTTGAAAACCATCGTTAATTGAATCCATCACACTCTAACTAATTGTGATTTCTTACTTGTTCTCTCTTACAAAAGTATAGAATTTTTGATGATATTGACCGTTTTACAATGTTGAGATATGCTTCTCCTATAGAAAATGCTTTAAAATTTAACCTAAACCAAATGGTACCCCATATTCAAATTATGAGGTTGTGAATAGTTTAATGGCAGTCTGATTTTATTGATTGTGTATAACAGAGTAAAAAGCAGAATTTGTTATGAAATTACATACCATTGGATATTCTCTCAGTTAACTTAAATTAACAGAATTATAGAAATGACCTCCTTGAACTACTTGAATTTTGTAATCACTAGACATCACTTTAAATGCATAGTATTCTCTGTAACCCCAATTTATGATTAACAATACATATCTCTTGTTTGTCTCCTTAAAACTACCCAAACCCCAAGCACACGAACATCTAGTCTTATCATGATCTATTGCTTGTGGCTAATTAAACACTAAATTATAAATATAAGCATCAGATCTTTAAAAATTCAACAATAACTATATTTTTGATTGTTCTTGATTTAATTTATACCCAAAAAACACTTTGACAACTTGGATCTTATTTGCAAATCCAACTGCCATTAAGTACTTAAATGATTACATTAAATCTTACAAATTACGTACTAATTACATACTCATTTGCTTCTTCAGGCTATTCTTATTTTTAGTTTGGGCTGGTTTAAAATATTGATTTAAAAAAATTATTTTTCTTTTTTTTAGTTGGTGATTGATCTAATTGACTGCCTATTGAAGTTGTACTCTCTCTGTCATCCATACATTAGATGAACTCTTCGTAACATGAATCCATGATGGAAACATCTTGAATTACTGATTACTGAGGCATCATATAATCATTTTCAAAAACTTTCTAAAAATAACATTCTGAATTTATACAGCATGTCTATTTTCCTTAATCTTCTATCTCTCGCAAGGTTCACCAAATTTGTAAATAGAAATACTTATTTTCTGTTCTAATGTTGATACATTCACCTCTAAAGGAACCTTTAATAAATAATTGTTTTCCAAATGAATAATGATTTCGTAATACTATTCCTTTCTAAATTGAAGTAAATTGTCAGAACTAATTGACAAAGGCACCATATAAGCATATTTTAGATGTTAGTATCTGTGCTGCAGCACTTCTTTGAAGGACTACATAAAATTAGAATCCTACTCATACCTTTAAACTAAAAATAACAAACTCATTATTTGAATATGTCACCAATAGTAATTAGTTATCATTTGAAATTTATATCATTTTCACTTAACCTCTATAAATTTGAGTATCCTTCCCTAGTAGTTTATATTCTTGCTTAAAATCGTTATCCTAGATGTTCACATCATGCTTACTTATTAGAAGATGTAAATGTATGAATATTCCATTCCGACAAATACTAGATCATTATTCATTGTGATGTAAGTTGGCAATCCACATAATCCTTTCTTATAATCAAAAAACTCTTAAAAATTAGTATGAACAGTATTCACAATCTAATCCTCTATATTCACATTAGAGTTTGGTTATATTTTTATTCTCTCTTTTTTCTATTTCTACAAATATAATGACATATTTTATAATTAAATATTCTAAAAAATGATCATTCAATTTTAGAATCAATATAATTGGAAATAAGATTATAAAATCAACAGTGATTTATTTTATTAAGAGATAATAAATATTAGAATTTAATTAGAACTTAGAAAAACTTAAGAAAAATCGATAAATCTCAGAAATAGCTTACTCTTTAAGGGATAGTTAATCGAAATTAACCTATTTCAAATTGATCATTATAATTACTAATCAAATGACAATTTTAAATAATTTATAATATTAGAACATTTCATTTTATAATATTGAATCAATTTTTAAAATTCCATCTTCAATAGTTTCTGTGAATATTTATGAAAAATTAATAATGTTTAAATAAAATGTATATAAATAAAGTATTCTGTATTTAAGTGATAACGAGGATCTTCAATTACTCTTTTTACCTTTATGATTAGTCTTCTTAAATTCCATATCACTTAAATACTCTTCCTTATTATATCTTAACTTTTTGTAATATCGATTCTTGATCATATTCATAGTTTTTCCTGGGAAATATTTTACAATTTTATTGAAATTGGGACCAAGTTAGATGACCAACTCTAAAATTCTCTTATCTTCAAGATAGGAGAATCTAGAGAAGATATAAACATGAAAATGATGATACCTCATATCGTTGATTCTTCTCTTCTAGGATTGATTTTTATTAGAATCGTTCTCATCTTATGTTGATTTGCATTAGATGATGGAATAGTATAAATGTTCTAAAGATTCCTCTTCAACATGTTGTTGTGACAATCTAAAATGATAATCTTGATCATACTCGTCGAATCCGTCATTTAATATATATTATTTGATTTAGATTGCTTCATCCATTTTATAAATTATATATATATAAGATTTGTAATTTAAATTTATTAGTTTAATTGCATTAGGTAGGGTGAGAGCGAGAATCATTTGGGTTCAAAGAATTCCAGTTTAAACATAGAATGAATGATAACTAATCAAGGAGACATTCAATATAATCAATTCCATATTTAAGATTTAGGAACATTAAATCGTTAAGCATATTTCGTGAACAACACGTGCTCCTTACTTTTAATCTCTTCCACTCTCTATCTTGATTCCAAATTGACTTTGTTGTATCTGTAAAAGGAATTCCTAAACCCAATATGTTAGTCAAATTAAGGGGATATAACTGGCGACCGATATAAATTCTATTTTTTCTTTTATTTCTCTCCAACAGCTCTGATATCCACTTTCTGCAAAGGCGGCAACTATCGCTTCTGTTACTACCTAGAATTTTTTTCTGAATATGAGTCTTCATCAATTTCGTTAATTGGGAGTGGATTGGTTCCTTCCATTTCACCATACAATATGGGTACTCTCTTAAAATTCACTCCGTAGATTTAATCTAGTGTTATAGGGACTGATGAAATCATATTGGCTAGTTCAATATAAGAATAAATTATATATATAGAAATAATTAAATTTTAATTTCAGTAACGATGATTAATCTGCAATTACAAACTTTTGTTCTTCTTCGTCACACTCGATTAATATATATTCAATTACTATTTACAATGCCTGTCTAAATCCTTCATCGAGCTTTCTTAGTAGTTTTCATCGAAAGTTTCGAATAGTACTCGAATATTTAGTGAATAATCTAGGGAAGAATAATTGAATGAGGAGAATTGGAAACAACATTTTTTGAGTCGCCGAAACGGTTAATAATTCAATTTAGTTTATATAATATTGAGTAACACAGATATTTATTATCGATGCATCTTAATATTAATAACAAAAGAAAACGGATATTAGATAAAAGTTCATTTTTTATTATTATTTGTTTAGGGTTTGAATGGTATGCTGCTGAAAATCTGATTCTCCTTGACCTTCTTCTTCTTCTCAATTCTTTTGTGTTCACTATGCAGTCTATCAAAGGGAGTTTAGTCGATCTGAAATTGGGACACATACTTGGAATTATCTCCATTGGCCTTTTTAATGATCTTGTCAGATTGTTTGGAAATAGAAAATTGATTGGGATTTTATTCTTTGATTTCTGAAGCACATTTAACGGCCGATGATTTATTGTAAAGTCTATCAAACACTCTAATTTTTTACTCTGAACCTTATTAAGCAGAGCCATACTGATTTATGCTGGGAGTGAATGTGCATTCATCTAACTTAGCCTAACTTTCATTCTCCTACTATTGTACAAGTTGTTATTGTTGATCAAAAAAGTGATTGTAGAGTCGTTCTTCAACTGGGATCGATAAGTACTCTTGCTAGCCAATTGGTTAGCTCACTAGTTGTGGTTTGAAGGGATAGGTCTTTTCTTGGCTTACTGGCTTTGGCTGTCTTTAGGACAAAGCATTTTAATAGAGACGAGAGAATGGATCGCCTTCCAAGATCTTTGAGAAACTGTGATTGATTTGGGGTCTGAAAGTACATTATTTCAATTCGCTTTTGGTCTTGATTTCCATGCTAATTTGGTGTTTCATCCTTTGATCGTATCCAAATTGGGATAATCTGTCGTAAACTGGGGCAGTGGTATCTAATTGTTGGCTCTTTTTGGAGATCTGAGGTTGGAAGGTGCACTCCTTCAATTGATCTTCGATGACTTTCTATTGGTGCATTATTTATTTCTCTTCTTTCTTTATATATTAATCGTAGAGGTAAACTGTGGATTGGTTGTTGCTGTTTGACAAGGATTTGGACTCTTAGGGAGTGGATTGACTATGTTTGCTTCTGGTAGTGAACTGCTTGGCACTATTTGGATGGATGGGTTTTGAGTTGGTTTATTGCATTAGCCATGTTTGGGAGACTCTGTTTGACAAATCAATTAATGATTGTCGATTTAAGGTTACGAGATGCATGAAGAGCATTTAACTCAGGTCGTCCTGGGTTGATTCAAAAGTTTGATCTTTCTCCAATATTCCTATGGTTCTGCAAAATTCTACAAATTCGTTAACAAATTAAACCATTATTAATAATTATGTTTTTAAGAATTGCTGCCACATTCTTTAGACAACCTTAGTTGAAGAATCAATTAAGGAGATCCTTGACGCAGGCTCCGATGTTATCGATATTAAGAAATCACAATTTATTGATTCAAAATCTGTCCTATCTGCAAAGTTAGTTTTACCAGATGGAGGAGAGCAACGACGAATTGGAGTTACTGTAAGTGAAATTCAATTTATAAAAGACAGGAAGAAGTTCCAGTAGGCAGAATGCAGTGAGACGACTCTCTTACCCCCATTAACATTGTGATCATATTAATATACCAATAATCATCATTACAATATGCATTTCCCTCTTTTATATGTGGATAGTACTTAATTCTTTATAAATATATTAATTCCAAATATTGCTGCAATTTTTATTATCATTCTAACTAAGATCCACATCGCATACATTTGAGACTCCCAATTATCACATAATGATTAACTGATTAATTTTATTAAATCACTAAATATAATGCATAGACCGAAACCCCACATCCGAGTTCAACACGAAAAGGACATTTTGGATGGGTTCAGCAGATTGCAATAAGTCTAACCCCTTATACAGATCAATCCCACTGTGGATAAAATCCCCAATCTCAAGAAAATACAGATCTTGGAAGACAGATATATATAAATAGAAAAGGACAATAGATTGTTATTGGAGAAAATTACAAACATTATGAAGAGTGAAACCACTCGTGTGGGAAGACAGAAACGAGCTTCGAGTTTTGAGAGCAGAAAGAAAAGTGAACAAAGACAAATTTAAAGAGAAAATCAGATGTTGTTATCCAAAATAAGTAATAAAAAGTCATCCTATTCCAAAAATCATTTTGATAAAGAGTGGAATAAAACTAAACAATATTTTATCAATCTTGGAGGGTTGCGTACTTTAAGTTCAAAGTAAAAACAGTTTAATTATTCATTTTTATATTGACTTTTCCATTTCATTTTTGTTTCAATTCTACATCTTATCATTATTTTACAGTATTTAATCCAATTCAAATTCAAAACTATTTATTAATTATTGATTCTCATTCTCATTCAAAATTGTGTTAGTTTAACATTTTTTATTGAATCTTTTAATCTTATTTACATTTAGTAAGAATTAAATCAATTTGATTAATATCAAATGAGAATAGTAAGTATTCTTTAGTTTATTTGTTTATTTTACTTCTTATTATATAATTTTATTAATGAAAGAAATGTCTCTCACTTTTAAAATAATCCTTTTGGGAGATTCTAATGTAGGAAAAAGCAGCATTCTCAAAAGATACTCGGAAAACACCTTTTCAGAATAGCAGGCTCCCACAATTGGGTTAGCATTTTATAAGAAGGTTGTTGAAAGAAAAAACATTAAAATAACGCTTGAAATTTGGGATACTGCTGGTTAAGAAAAATTCAAGAAGATTGCCCCTATTTATTATCGAAATGCATAAGCAGTCTTAATTTGCTTTGATGTATCAAATAGAGATACTTTGGAAGGAGCTAAGAGATGGTTGGAAGAAATAGATAAATATTTAGATCCTGACTGTGTTAAATTTTTGGTTGGAAACAAACAAGATTATGGCTCATTTGAAATTGATTAAGCATTTTTGGAAAGTAATCATATGAAGTATATTTAAACATCTGCAAAAACAGGACACAATGTGGATATGTTATTTCGAAGAGTTGCTCGAACTTTGGCAAAGACTAAAATAAAAAAGATGGAAAATCTTGATCAAAAGGCAATCATAACTCTTTAAGTGTAAGGACAAGAAGAAAAATAAAAAGCATCTCTTTGTTGTTGATTTGTTTTTTTTATATTCCACTCCACTCCAACATTTAATCCAAGTCTTCTGCTATTTAATAATTATTCATAATTCCATATTTACTCTTATGAGTAAAACTCCTTTATTTTCTTTATCTTTAGGGAGTTCAAAATTATGGAATTTATTTTAGAATATATTTATTTTATTTATATTCTAATTAATCCCAGTTTATTAAATAGATATGAATGAATGTTTTGTATATATTGAATGGATTATTGTCAATATGTTCATCTAGCATCATTAGCAGCAGCTACAATATCGGCAAAGCCTGGCTTTAAGGCAGCACCTCCGACTAAAAATCCATCAAGATCTGGTTATTTAATTAAATCGGCAGCATTCTTTTCTGTGACTGATCCTCCATAAATAATTCTGGTGGCTTATTCTGCCTATAAAGATTATTAATCTACAATTACTTATGTTCCAATTTAAGATTTGAGCCATCCTCTGATAAATGCGTGAACTTCTTAAGCTTATTCTGGGGTTGCTGTTCTTCCTGTTCCAATTGCCCAAACTGGTTCATAGGCAACAACAACTTTGCTCCATAGGGCTGTTGTCAATTCCTCTATAGAAGTGGATTAATAAATAAGAATTACTTTTGATTGCATCCAATTATGCTTAGATCACTTGGGTAGTTTAACCAGCCTCTCTTTCGGCTAATTTTTCACCAACACATGCCATGACGCTTAGTTGGTAATCCAAAGCTATTCTGGTCTTCTTTCCAACAATTTCATTGGTTTCTCCGTAGTATTATCTTCTTTCAGAGTGACCCAATATAACCCAGGGGATTGCAAGATCTTTGACTTGCTCAACACTGATTTCTCCAGTGTAAGCACCCACCTTAGTTAGGGATGAGTTTTGGAGAGCCACTTAAACATTCTTTTGAATGTTGGCTTAGACCCAAGGAACATGTAAGAAGATTGGAGCAACAGCGACCTCTGGTGGATATATAATGTCAATTACCAACTTTATTAACATCAAAGACGAGTTTGTTGATGACTGTATTGATCAAACTTTAAGTTTGAGCAATGGTGTTGTTGCATTTCCAATTACCACCTACGAAGTATCTTCTCATAATTAAATTATTTAATTAGAGTGTATAAACTTACTAGATTTGAAAACTAAATAAAATTGATTATAATATACAATTTATATTAATAAAATATATGACCAAATAACATACTTTGAATTATTTTTAGAATTTAATCAAAATATTATGAATTTAGATAAATAGTTGATTGTTTTTATTTATGAAAAATCTTGTAGAAAGTGGAATTCATACTTTAATAGTCTCACATTTCTGAAACTAATAATATATATTAAATCTGATTAAACATTCTTTTTGAATATTTAATTATTATTAAATGTTAAGTACATCGTAAACTAGAAGTACCACTGAAACCATATGTCGTGTGATTATTGATCAAAAATATGTTATTGTGAAAAATATTTACAAGGGACAATAGTACAACCTCTACTTAGGTAATAAATGATGAAGTTAAAAGATAGTTAGCTATTAAAAAAGAATAGTCAGATGATATCAATTCATCCAGCCACTAAGAGAAATATTATCTGATTAAAATGAAAAAGTATATCTCCTCATAATACCCTAGATAAACATAGTAGAACGAGGCAATCCCAGAACTTTAGTTTCTAAATAGATTAAAAGACTGTAACGAAATCATTTCCTACTTTAGTTAATTGTGTTCCCTTTCTCATTAATCATGGGGAGTAAGTGATTAAAGGATCCAAATACCATTATCAGGTCATGGAACGTCACGGTCCTTCCATTAAACTAATATACAATTATTTATCTAGAAACATACCATTACCAATTTTATGTCTGATTGCAATTCAAGCAGTACCACCCCTATGTTATTCTAGTTGACCTGCTTAGAGATAGTTCACAAGCATTAGATAGTCCATAGGAACATAAGACCGAAAAAATTGTTGATCTCTCTAAGTGGCAATGAAATTTTATTAAGCGATTTCAAGTATGCTTGTAGATTTAAAAAATAATATGGATCGCTGATGGTAAACGAAAACTATAAATTAAACTCAAACAAACTATTTCTAAACAAATATTCAAGTGTCAATCAGCATCTTAACCAAGGTAATCAGTAAATATATTTTAAAGTTCCAACACCCAAAGACGACCTTGAATCTCTAGCCTACATTCTACTTATGTATGCCTCCAATTCCACTGTATTCTAAGTTAAAGCTGAGAACAAGGCACTTAAACTCAAAAAGTAAGAGAGCATTAAATTGTCAATTATTCCTGAAATCGTCTTTAAATAAGCTCCTCTTGAATTCATTCATTTCCTCCATCTAGTGAAGACCAGTAATGCTAACGACTATCCCTAAGATTATGAGAAATTTAAGCAACTATTTAGAAAAATCATTTAGCTTAGTGGGTATACTGAAAGAGATCTCTCTTACCCTCTGTTTCATATGAATTTACAAGAAAATACATAACAATAACAATTTCATAGTTAAACTAGCAAGTTTAAGAAAATGCAACACCAAAAAATGAGTTCAGAATCAATCAAAGAAGAAGAAGCAGATGATGAGATGTCTGTATATCAAACGGAAAAAGTGGGTGAAGACAGAACTATTGAACCATTGATTAAAGGATTGGCAACAAAGTAATTTAAACATATTTCTTTTTTAAATTAACCTTAAGCTGCATCATAAATTGTAAAACTTAAATTTACTAAGAAATGATTCTTTTGATATAATATATATGTTTTTTTCTCAATTTTCCTTTTATTAATAATAATATGTATATATTGTGCAAAATTAGAATTATTAAGAATTCATTTAAATTTAGGTTACAAATTGAAATCTCAGAATTCAGAATATTGTAAACCTCTCTAAGGAGGAATCGTTCATTCTTTAAGTATTAGACGTAGTTCAATTATATCTACATAGAAAAATAGAAAAATTAATTATTCACATGGTTCTTCTGTAAAATTCATAGGCTTGTTTAACCAACACTTGATTGTAGGGCTGTACTTTTTAAAGGAGATTTTTGAGAGAGATTTCACAACATCCAGCATTTTCAGAAATCACATTTAAATTTATGCCACCCTTCTCTTGGAAGATAAAATCTCCAGTCAACTTGACTAGGGCAGAGGCAATGACGTGTTCGTGTTCACCTTAAACCAAATTTTGATTCTTTAAGGATGAGTAGTAAAATCTACATAAGGTCTGAAATTTCTGATTAAATCCAATAGCGACACATATTCTGGTCATATATTGTAGGGTAAAGGCATCTTGATCAAAAGGTTTGATTTAATTGAGTTGGATCAATATCTTGCGCACTTGTTTTTCATCACAATTTAAAGTTTAAGTTATTTCTTTAATTCTCAATGGGATTAAAAGAATTCTCAAAGATTAAATAATCAATGCGCAAGCTATTGATTAATATTTTTTTGATTTTACTTTCTCATTTACAGAATTATTTAAGAGATCAACACTCTATTGTTTGATGTTCTCAATATTTATTCCATTTAAAAGATTGCTATGAGTTAATTTAGCAAGCATCTCATCAACCAACAGTATGACTTATTTTTACCTTCTTTTATCTGATTTCTAAAGAGTTATTTGTGGTTTCGTATCATCTGAAGATGAATTATCGTAAATATTCCAATTGAATTTTGGAGGTGGAGGTCTTTAATTAATATTGCAATTCATTTTTTAATTTATTAAAATTTAATAGGGTTAATTCGATTTGTATTTTGATAATTAAATAATGTTTGATCAGAAAGTAACAGTTAAATTTGTATAGAGTAAATACAATAGATGTGGAATTTTAAACAATTCAAATTAAATAAAGAAGGTAAAGATAACAATTTAAAAGAGTTACGTTTAATTAACCGTCAGTCATTAATATTAATTATATAATGGAAAATCAACGGATAATCAAAAGTGTGAAATCTGCTACTTCCTTAAATTCCAAATAGTCTACCAAAATTATCCAATGTAATTCTAAAGTAACACATCAAATAGAACCAAATGTGCTCATTCAGCAACATCCAACACAAATAGGACAGCACTCTGCTTAATAAAACATACCTCCAATTCCTCTCAAGTAAGTGAACAACATATTGCCAACAAGAGAAACTCCAATTTTTAAGCAAACTCAAGAAGAACGATACTCTAACACCAAGTATAAAATCATAGACATTCTAAATTAGAGATGCCACATGTTTAATGGCTAAATTAGATTCACTTAGAGAAATCAAGTCAGCAGATAGTCCCATACGAAGTCATGTCTCCCCCATCCCTTCTACATTATGGAGTGTTGTGGTTCCCACTAAAAATAATGCTACTAAACCCTAACTGTTATAATAAGTTGCTTCTTCTAGTTGTGTAGAACCATTTAAAACATATAACAATAATAAGAATGTTAATCAAACTTAATAGTTAAGCTAAACACTTCCACAAAAAAAAACTTATGAAACTATGATCTAATAACTCATGAATGAATAAGAATTTTTAGTTAAATAATATAATGATAAAATTAAAATACTAGAATAGAAAACTCAGGAGCTTTCAAAACAAAATAATAATTTAGTTGAATAAAATCAATTATTTTTGGATTAAAACCTATAATTAAAGAATGAAGTAACTATATTTCAATAAAAACAATATTAAATCAATTATGAGTATTTAAATGAAGATACATTAAAAACTGTTTTACTTTTGGAACAACAATTGGAGTAAAAGAAGGAAGAACTAAAATAATTGATATAAAATATGGATGAAATCCTCTCGATTAACTAAAAAACAGAAGAAAAAAATAATGAACTTTCATAATAAATAAGTAATATCCTGTAATAGAAGGATAGAGAAATTAATGCTTATTTCACTCAGATCAATACATATAAGTAAACTATCTAAGAGCTTGAATTAAAAATTGCATAATTAATCTAAAGTGATTAAATACAACAATAAATATTGAAGGAGGCTTAGACCAAAATAACATTTCTTGAACAATCAGACAAAAATAAACAGGGTTCATAGCTTTCATCATAATAGTTAAAAGTAAAATATATGTATATTAAATTAGTTCAATGTAAAAGAATCATTTGAATACAAACAATTAGTTTTAGAATTGGATAGTAAATGTGTTACAATTACAGAAAAAGAGAATTAAATTGAAACGTTAAAGATTAAAAACTAAATGGTTTAATAGTAATTGGCTTAAATGTAAACATGCTAGGTTACTAATAAAGATCATCAAGAAGCTTTGAGATAAAAGGAAACAGAAAATGATGATTTGAGATCTTAATTGATTAGTAAAGATGAGGAAATCGAAAGATTAAATTAACAATTAAAATTTGTAAGGAAAGAGAAAGCTAAATTATCCATAAATTTAATGAATGCTGGAATGGCTAATCTTGTGATGTTATCTTAAAGCCAATTTTAATAGGATGAGATTACTGCTTGATTAAAACATACTTATAAAAACAATAACTATCAAATACCAGTTAAAATATCATATTCAAATTCACAATCTATCTAATCCAAATTGCTATTTGCTATATAACCTACTCCATGTTTTTTACCATTTTAAAAGCTCCCTTTATAATGAATTCCTTCCAAATTGTAAAATAATGTTCCCTGGCCTTCCGGCTTTCCATCCACTATCTAACCCGTATAATATAATTTGCTATCTTGTTGTATTTCATTTGCATTGACATTGATGACTTCTCCTTCATATTTTTTGAGCAATTGTAAAATTTCCTCAATAAATGCATTTTTCTTTTCAACATCTGAATTTAATTGCAATTATTAATTAGGCCTTTGTTTTTATGATCCTTGTTTGATCACTTCCTATAATATTTCAATATCGTCTTCTATTGTCGAATATACTTGAAGGACCTTGATAACATTTTTTTAGGAAATTTGGAGTTCAAAATGTTGTCGATGATAAAATGGGACATTATCGTACGCTTATAAAGTCTTGATTCCTGAGATTCTGCAATTTTGGATAGACATTTTGGTTATAGCATTTGAACTTTCCAATTTAGAGATTATCTATGTAAATTCATTTAATACATCTATATCGCTATTACTATTTTTAATATAATAGTTTAATTGTGCAAGATTTGATAGATAATACATAGTGCCATAAGAGTCAACAAAGAAATATGATATTTTGAAGGTCTTGTTTTTTTTTCTTTGTTTTGTAAAAAAACCTGTCATCTGTGTTAAACTTGCCATTTAATTACAAATTATAATATAATAATATTATCACATACTCACTTTCATCATTATTGGATTGTCTATTATTGTGAATTGTTTTGCTCGATTCTTTTCTAAGTCCAATCATATTGATAATCCATTACGAATCGTTGCTTTTGAAATAGATCTCGAAAGAGTTGTCTACAATAATCATAATCTGGTTTGTCTGTAAACTACAAATTTCTACAATATTTGAGATATTATTAGAATTCTATTGGAGTCCCTGCACATAGCAATTCAATACTAGTGGCTATCTTCGATTCCATGATCCTTTCATACTTGTCCTTTTTGTTATTATTTTTTAAATTCTGCCAAGGCAACGTCCCTTTCAAGAAATATATTAAAACATATCCAATGCTTTCCAAATCATCCCTTCTACTTTGTTCTAATCCAAGATGAGTATTGATGGATGCGTACCTTGCAGTGCCTGTCAAATTCTTTTTCTCCCTATACGGAATGTGAGACCCATCCCTTGTAATAAATCGTTTAGCTAGCCCAAAATCAATCATAAATAAGGTCTGTGCCCTTTTCCCCAATCCCATCAAGAAATTATCAGGCTTAATATCTCTATGTAGAAAATCCTTTGAGTGAATGAATTCCACTCTGGTTATCATCTAATCAACCAACATGAGCACAGTCTTCAAGGAGAACTTTCTTTGACATTGTGTGAGCAACTCTTCAAGAGAGGGTCCCAATAAATCCATCACCATAATATTATAATCCCCCTCAGTTGAGCAATAATAGACCTGGGGAATCCCTTTTTCTACAGCAGCATTGTCCTAACTGAGATGTTAATAGAGTTTCGCTTCATAGTATAGTTGAGGATGTTTGGCGCTTATGGGCTCTAATTTTATGGCGACCTCTATATTATTTTTAAGCTAATATGGACTTTAAATAACATTGAAGTACATTGATTCCATGAAATATTTCTCCGAATGCTCCGCTTCCTAATTTCTTTGTTAATTTAAACGTTTTCCCTATTTTAGAATCCATTATTTTGAAATAAATTAAAATATTATAAAATAAGGCTATTACTTCATCAAGGTATCCTTAAAATTTAAAATAATTTTAAAGTATCCAGACAATTTCATCTCAACAATAGATAAAAATAATGAATTTTTCATTTTAAAAATTACACTCGTAAATGAATGCCAAAGAATTAAGTAAATATAAAGTGGTTTTTTCATAAACTTTTAAATTATTTACCCATTTTATTTGATAAACTGCTTAATCAAACTATTTTGTGTTTAAATACTTCTATTTAATCATTTTAATCTCAAGAATTATTTTTAAAACAGAATATATATTATAAAAATGATGTTGGGCAGTTCCATATGGTTATTGAGATTAATAAACATAATTTAATATTCATAAATGCATCAATAATTTGCAACCCCTTATTGTTATCGTATAGTTTGACTATTGAGTAGTGTTTCCGTTCTTGAATAGAGACATCGATTTATTTTAATATTGTCTCTTTATGTGATTCAATAGTAAGAATAGAACAGTATTTTGATAAGTTCAAATATTTTGTAATACTGCTTGGTGATTTGTTTATAAATTTATTTAAAATAGGAGAAAAATGGATTATGATGTTGACTATTACCCTTCTTAAATCGTAGAGACAATTGGCGATGTAACATTTAGCAGTTAATTTGATGCTGGAAATTTGAAATCTGTTAGGAAGGAATCCTACAATAAAGTAAAAGGTGTTGATTTAGAATCTAGTATATTTTAACGATTTGCAATGACACAGGAATAAATGGGAAGAGTGCAACATACCGGACTTGGTTTTATTTTTCAGTGGAGGGAATGGATAATGCAAGTTTAGTTACATTTGTTATATCGAATATGCAAAATTAAGTAGTAATGAAAAACAATTTGAGATTGGTCTGTTCAAGGATGGGATGCAACCTGTATTTAAGACGAACAATGAGTGGCAAAGAGTGAGGTATCCTTGTCAGTACCGTTTGTTACCAGATGGGTTGTTTGAAGTTACATTCCAGCATCTATTCTAAAGCAATCAGAAGGTGTACTTCGCCTTCACATATCCATGGTCAAACCAAGACAGTGAAGTATCAATTGGCAATATGTAGCAATTCATAAACTAAATGATGTAATAAGGCAGGCAGTAGATCAAAGATCTCTATATAAAATTGAATGTGTTGGGATATTCCAAAGAGAGAAGGCCAATCCATTTGTTAACCATTACGAGTAATAACAATTCCACAAATAAAGTGGAGGATCCAATCAATAACGTGTTTCCTGAGGCATCCGAAAGTCGTCCTATAGTGTAAAATCTATGAATGGATGAATTTAGATTCAAGAAGAAATACATATTCATTTCGGCCAGAGTCCACCCAGGAGAACTACCAGGATCACATGTGTTGAATGGGATAATCAAGTTCTTGTTGAATCCGAATGACAAGGCAGCAGAAGTAGCTAGAAATGAGTTTGTTTGGGTCATTGTTCCAATAATAAATCCTGATGGAGTATACAGAGGGCATTACAGAACGGATTCGCTGTGCCAAAATCTTAATCGTTACTATCTGAATCCAAGTCTGAATGACCATCCTACCATTTTTGCAATCAAAGAATACATATTAAGACTGCACAACACAGATAGATTCTATGCCTACATCGATCTCCATGCTCATGCAGGTCATAAGGGAATCTTCATATTTGGAAATCAATTGCCAAATCTGCATATGCACACACAGAATTGTCTCATCCCTAAATTATTGACTCTCTATTCAGAAATCTTTGATTATGATGGATGCAATTTCACTGAAAAAAATATGTATTCAGCTGACAAAGGAGATGGATTAAGCAAAGAGGGAAGTGGAAGAGTGGCTCTATACAAAGAAACCAACATCATCTATTCTTATACTGTGGAATGCAATTACAATTCTGGCAAGATTACCAATCTATTACCTAAATCTAGTTATCTCTCAGATTAGGAAGGTTTAATTGTTCATATCATATCTAGACATTTATTATACCTATGGGAATGAATAAATTGATGATTAGATTGTCTTGGGAATACCATAGCAGACCACTACCAATAAGACATACTTCTATACCATTAATGATTATGAGCAAGTTGGCCAAGGCATTATCATGGCTCTTCTTGATGTCAACTTACTTAATCCTTGCAGCAGAATACCTGACTCGCAATTTAAGACTTTAGCCAATCTTAAATCGTTTCTTGCTTACAACATCATGAAAGTCATGCATTTCAGATTTGAACCATATCTAAGAAAAGTCCTTAAGTATTTCATCTTCTCTAATCTATAGGAATATTAACAACAAAGAAAATATACCAAGGACTTTGAAGTCTTTCTATGATTACATTAAAAGTAATCAAATCAGAGACAATTTAGAATAAAATGAATAACAATAAACCAAATAGCAATTTCCCAGGAAACCTGTATAATAAGAATTAAAACTATAAAAACAGACACTCCAATTGTAGTCTTAAAAGTTAGAAAAACTACCTGAAATATAGAAGAAGTCTATTGAATAAAGGCAAGTCTCTCAGGAGAATACTAAGAATAGAAATACATCTGAAGGGAAAACATAACCACTCTAATAATAATTTTAAAAATAGTATAAGTCCTTCAGAATCACCAAGAATTGTGCAAAAGCTACCCAATAATGATGATGATCAATATTATATACCTATAAGTTTTATTATGATATTCTTTTCAGTTTATTATAGGATTCTTAGACCCCATTATTGAAAGAGTCATTCAATTCTTTATAATTACTTTAGCTAAGGAGTCAAATAAATTTAAAAACAACATAAAATATTAAATCATTTTTTCCAGATGGAGGATATGGATAAATAATCAAGGAGTAAGGTAGGATAATAAGATTTAAGAGTATCAAAATCAAAATAGCAAACCTATTCATCATTATCTTTACATTTGAATACAAGTAATTTGTTTTACATAAGATGATGAGAGATGATGCATTCTATTCGAATTTTGCCATCACTTACCTAACACTTAGAATTCTTATCATAATACTTTTGATTCAGTAAATTAAACTTTGGTAAATCCGTATATTGACTTTTATATCCAGGTGGTAAGGAAGCTTGTGGTTTGTAAATAAAGACTTCATCATCTCTTCTTTTCTTTTATTCCTTCTTCCTAATTACAGTTAACATCTCTTAAATGAATTCTTTTTCTGTTTTGTAATGGCCATATTTAAAGCTGCATTCTGTATTTTGTAATGGATACTATTTTTGTAAATACTTCTATGATTCTATTTTGTAGTCATTCTTATAAGAAAGGAATTCTCTATCAGATTCACTCTTCCTTGGTCGCCCTCTGCCTCTTCTTATGTAAAATTCATAATCTTCTTTATCATCATATCTATCTATAAAATGTGTTTGAATCGAAATGCTATCCTAATTTTTGTAATGGTTAGTTTCTGGTAAGAGTTTATAATTCTATCCATTGGTTTGGCCTAGGAGAGCATATTTGTTTTCAGATGTGTATTTCCTATACACTTGACAACCTTTGTGCATGATGTGAACTCTAATTTTAATATGGCTATTTGCTTTGTAAATTTTAGTATGATAATTTTTATAATTTTGGCATCTTTCAAATCTGGTGATCAATTAATTCGAAATTCCCTCAAATGCAGTTTCTGGTTCCCAAGTTGATTCCTATTTTGAATATCCTACCCATTTAATATAGTATTCAAAGCTGTTTTGATATCTTTTGCCGTGAACAAATTCGACATCGAATTGTTATTATTGAAATTCCATGTTGTAAATAGTTACTAAATGGTTCCTTTATTTCCATGATTATTTTAATAAGAATAATTAATATATAATATATATATAGATCATTTAGGTTTTTTATCCTTTTTGGGTGGGACTACTACTGAAGGTTTGTCTTCTTAAGCTCTTGATTTGACTTGTTGTCTGACTTCATCCATATCTTTGCAATCTTCATCTGAACTGTCCTCCTCCTTATATACAAATTTGATGTTCGTTTCGCCATTCTCATTGATTTCTTGAGAGATGTAACTCTACAATAGAGAGAAAGATTACCTTTGGATTGAGACAAATAAAATCTTCAACTTTGTTATATCTGGGATTAGTATTAATGGACTCTTCATTAAGAAATTCCTAAGTTTTGGACAAGACAGTGAGCATTCTCTCAAGTCTCAGTTGAATGGTGGATGCAGTAGCAACCAAAGCATGTCTCTTAATTTCGATATTCTTGGGTTTCAGTCCCTTGCCACTCAATTGATACATGATTCTTGACAATGACATGGTGACTTCATCAATAGACTTTTCAACCTTTTTGACTGACTTCTCCTTTTCTTAGAGTAGATCCTATTATTTGGTGACTTCTCTTTCTTATTCATCCAAATTGATTTAGGCATCCAAAATAGAATTCTCCTATTCATATTTCAATTTTTTGATTTCAGCCCTTAATTCCTCATTTTGTCTTTCATATCTTTCGATTTCCTTGCCTACATATTCTTAGATGTTTTTCAATTCCTGCTAATCTAAATCCATATTGAGTTTGTACTTCTGCATGTCTTCCTAACTAGCAATGCTGGTGACTACTCTCAATTTTTGAAACATTTATTTCTACATTATTCACATACTTACTTTCTTTTCCAATTCCTATTGAATATCATTTTTTTATTTATTGATATTTTGAGTGGCATTCTCAATAGCCAATTTAGCCTTATCCTTTTATTCACCCTTCTTCTTCTTTTCATTCTCCTCCTTGATGGCAATGATCTTCTTCTCCCCCTATTACACAATTTCCAATGCTTATAGATCACCACATTTTGATAATTCATCTTCTAAAATCTCTTCAAGCATGGGATCAAACCCTCTTTTAAGACTTGCACCAAAAAAGTTCTGTTAATTTTGAAATTCATTTCTATATTTTGAAACAATCTTTGACAAAGACTCCAATTGCTTCTTGCGACTCATCATACTCTACGAAGAAGCCTCATATTATTGGTATTTGATTTTCAATCCATCATAGGTGATTTAACATTGTTTTTGGACTTCCAATAGCAATTTTCCTTGATTTAATTATTCTAATTACTTCGCTTTCCAAACATATCCCTGAGTTTAGCAATTTCATAGGCTTGCTTGGCCATCTTCTCCTCTTGCATTTATTCCTTCTGCATTAATTCCTCAATTGATTCTTTGACTTCAGTGTCATCATTTTGAATCGCCAAATCGTTCAATAACTCATCCATCCTTCGACTCTTAATTATCATCTGCTTGATTTCATACAGCAACCTATCCTTATACAATCGCTATTTATTCAATTATTCCTCCTTTCTTTCCAAAGCTCCTTAGATTTTTGGCCTTGATTCCAAATTTTGTAAAGCTGTAACGATTCTTTTATTATATAAATCATGGCAAACTTTTTTATTGTTTCATTTCCAATGTGAGCATATAAATCTTTATAATGATTTTACACTAAATCCTCATACTCCTTCTTTATCTCCTCAATCTGTTACTACTGAGATTCCTGCAGAGGTTTGGGTTTCTGTGTCTTATCCTTATCCTTTTTCCCAGGTGCTACATTAAACACTACCACATACGTAGTAATTTAGTAGTTGCCTGTTGCAATGCATCTCGGAACAATTCAATCTTTTTTACTTTCGAAAGGGACTTCGGAGATTGCTGATGTCCTGGCTACGACGACTTTTGATTCACACTTTTAGAAGCATTCTGATTGTTCCCCAATTACGGCAGTTTTGAATTAGATGTTTAAGTCTTTTGTGGCTGTAACTGATTTAATCAATGCTTAATTACTTCCTTCTATCCTTTGTTGATTGTTTGCTCTGGTTGTTTCGAAACATTTATTTTCGGTTACACCAATGATACTGGTGCTGTGAGATCAAATGTAGAACCGCCTCCATCCATTAGTTATGTCATTTATAATTAATACTAATTGAAATTTATTCAAATCCCTTACTTATCATTATAGGCAACCTTTAAGAAAAGAGTAACATGATTGATTACTCATTTAGAGTACAAAAATCATCATAATCTTGAAATACACTGTAAAATTACAATGAATTAAACTTATATTAGTTGATGTTCAAAAACACATAATAAAATTGAATCATGAGGGATGGTTAATTCAAATTAAATAAGTCGATTTCAGAATGATTGATTTCTTAGACATGAAGAATAATTCTATGAGATTTATAAATTATTATGTTTTCTTAATGAAATACTATTTTGGAATAATATTTTTGGTAATCATTAGGATTATTGTTGATTTAATGAATAGATACCTGAAGAATGTAAAGAAATAGTCAATGATTCTCTTTTGGAAATTTTATACAAAGAAGACTTTTAATTATTTAATTTAATCTATTTATATACTTTTTTAAAGTAGGTTGATGATCATGTTAAAATTGGAATAAATGTTAATACTATTATTATTTTAATATAAAGGTAGAAATCTTCATTTAGGTTGTCCTAAATAAGCGAAAACAATGTCATTGATGTTATCCTCACTTCCATACATTTCTAAAAATTCCGTTGCTTATTCGAATGATATTTGTACACTTTCCATCAATTACAAGATTTTCTCATCCTTAATTTATTACAAATCCTTTTTCACTGTGATTACTAATGATATTTTTTTGCCAAAGAATTTGGTTTAATTCTACTCATCTTAATAAGTCAACTATTTCAATCAATGATGTATAATTACTTAAAATTCGTGTTTTAAATTCTAAACTTCTTTTTTTGGCATCTAATAAAGAAGTGAGAATTTAGCTGTTTATCCTGGATAGACATCATTTGTTAACTAATACTTAAATTATTTAATTTACTTGGATTTTAACGTTTTTAAAAAGTCCATTAAGACCCACAAATGCTACTTGATTTCTTCTCCAAACTTAGTTACCTGTATTGAAAACTTCAAAATTCCATTCAAATTTTTCATTTGCTTTTTTGGTTATGATAAAGTCTTGTTGCTTTAATTCCATTTTATACTGTGGGTATTATTAAGCCTATGAATTCTTAGGTTATAATATTCCATGATATTTCAATCTATTATCGATTCGTTAAATGATAAATTATTTAAACTCCTCAGAGTGATAATCGAATCCCAAAAACTCCTACTTTTCAATTTGTTTGATAATTCTAATTTATATATTCAATATACTCTTAGGCTAAATTAGTTTCAGGCTTATTTTCCTCAATTACAATTTACTATTTCTAATCTGTGAATTGTTCTTGGTTTTGTTGTTTGGATTCTTGAAGGAAATTCATGACTGTAGATAGTTGGACATTGGATTGAGTGATTACACTCTGATTGAGTAAGGAAAGGTCGTCATTGGTTAGATTAGGATTGGTGGAATCCTTAACTAGAAATTTAATGGAAGTCCAATTCATCTGGGTGTAGATTTATTGGATTCTAAGCAAGGCTTCTTGGTCCTAAATTTTGAAGGGCTCCATTTCTATAAATATTTAAAAGTTTTACAGGGATGCAATGTGACATAGAGGTCGAATCCTTTCTCTAGATGTTTCGGGTAGAGGTTTTGGATTGCGTTTTTGATAGTCTCTAGGGTTTTATGTGTTGTTGAGATTTTGTGGGTTTTGGTGTTATATACTATTTTAATATTCATATCAATTTAAATATTGATTAGTGCAATTTAATAATAAATATTGAAAATGTAGAATATATTGATGAAAATATTTATGCATATTAAGAAATGAAAAATATAAATATAAATATATGAATATTTCAAAAAGAATAATAAATTATTTTTGTGTTGTGGGAACAGGAAATAAATTAATCCCTCAGAATACAGAGTTCTAAAAATGTACTAAATAACATTCTCAAACATAGAGCACACCTTGACATCTTTGGAAATATAGATAAGTCAATTGAGTGAGGACATCCCCATCAAGGATAACGAAAAATGGGTGGATCTCTGCGGCAACAAGCAAGTGTGGTTGAGGTGCATTTACGATCAGAATTCTTAACCAATCACATCTCTAACTATAAAAGAATTAAAAGTTGAAGACAATGAATTAGTATTTGAGTTTTATAATAATACAGAAAATACCATTAACAGAAGACATCTATCCTGTGCCAATCAAGCGTAAATTCGATTAGCTCACACATCAATTCAAGGGAATCAATAATGGGTATTCCTTATATTAAGGATTTTATGACATCTCCCAATACACAGATCAATAATAAAAAAAAAATCATCATCTCGTCCTATGCTATAAGACCCAGAACTAAAACAACTATCAGCAACCAATTTGTGACATCCAAATGATATTGGCAGATAAAATTGATAAGAAGAAATACACGTCCTCATTCAGCGACATGAGACTAGTGATCCCTAAGGATTTTCATGCAATTCAATTTCCATTAAGCAACTTTCGCTTCATCATTTTCAAATAAAGTAAACCTACTAAACTATAAAATTTATTAAGAATAGTCCCCATTCAAAGTAGCTTACATGCCCAAAATAATTGATAGATATCCTCTAGTAGATCATCATGAGAGTCCGTTATCTCACATGATAACTATGATCCCAATGGTAATTAATATAAGTGAAAATCTAGTTTTGTTTTCCGCAAGGCATATACGTTGAGAAAAGCGAGATAGATCCCATCTCTAAGGGTCAATAAATCTTCAACTTTGTATTGACATCAGAAACTGGAAAAAGGACATATTGTATATGTTTGATTTTTCATGAAATCATACCTGCAGATATAATGGAATAATTGGGACATATAGATAAACAATAGTTAATTTGCTATCCTAAATCATTGTGCTTACTGAGTTCGCATAATTACCCTGAGTAGATGAGAGAACTGATCAAATATATTTACAGATGCTCACTCTCTAAAAACAACATCCCAATTGAGAGTACAATATGCAACATCATCAATAAGATTAAATTCCCTCAGCAGATCTTTGAGTAAGAAAATATATGCTTGAAGTATGTATTGCCTTCCTATGATATCTGTTTTTACACCAATTACAAATATCCAGTAGGATACAATGAGGCTTTGGAATGTCTGTTCAGATTATTGGATATAAACAGAATCATAAACATTTACAGTGCAATTCTATTGGAGAAGAAGATACATTTTATTTCAAATCACTTATCAGTGCCAGGACTGGTCATCGATGCATTTTTATAATTATTGTTCCCATTTCAATTCACGTCTATTTTGATTCCAGTCTTGCCTGATAGTTTGAGAGGGTATATTGAGGCTCCTGTGCCTTTCTTGATCGGATATAGCCAAAAGAACATAATAGAGCAGAATCAGCATACTTAGGTTGACAGTTTGTATGTGTATTTGGATACTAATTTTATTGTGAATTGCGAAAATTTAACTGCTATACCTGAAAAAGCCTTAAAGAAACTAAAATCTAGTTTAAAGCCTTTCAATAATTTATTTAATGATGATTACTCGAAACAATACTTAAGAAGAGTAGATTAGGCTTATCATATTTATATGGATGATGACAATTACGATCCTGAATTCAATAAAAACATAGATTGGTATTAAATAAGAAATGCATTTTTAGAATGTAACAGTATTCTAATGAAGCAATATAAAAAATACATTATTTCCAATTCAAATAATGAAGGTGATTTCACTGAGATCTTCTAGGTTCAGGGTTATTATGATCATTGGAAGAAGGATAAATTTATTTAATAATTCATGGAAACAAGAATATTCCAGTATTTCATCTAAGAACGCATAAAGTTCAGTGAAAATGAATCACAATACCAATTCTTCGATAAATACATAGAGGGCAAGGATCAGAAACTGAAATTCATGCTCCCAAAATAAATAATCGAAATTTAAGTGCCTGATGAGGACTAACTCACAGACACCATTCATAAATATGACAAGTTTCCATAATTGAATCACGATCTTATGAAGGATTTCTAAGTAGATGAATAGGAGATAAATCAAGAAATATTACAAGAAGACATTCCTTAATTGGATCAGTAGAAATGGTCAAAGTATTTGTTAGAAACCATGTACAAGATTTGGTTCTTAATTTTTATTGTCAACGTGAGGAATAATCAAGACAACAAGATATTCCAACAGATGACTGAAGTAGCAATCTTAGTCTTGGAGTACATGAGAGAAAAACATTTGAATTTGACTGAGAAACTATTTCGATATGTACTAGAATCATGTGGCTATTTTCAAATGGATTCAAAGGCTTTGTATTTAGTGAAGTTAATGAAAGAAATCAAATTGGAAGCATCCCCAGCAACTCATGGAGTCTATTTCTAAGCTGTAGCCCAAGCGATGAATCAAAAAGGATTGCCAAGTGATCAACAACAACCCTAGGAAATTCACCAAACAGATGTAGTCTTATTGTAAAGAAATGATGGATAAAATGCTTATACTAATTCAGTATACTCTCTACATTCCAACTGTCCAAGTTGCAAGAGGAAATTGCATTTTGAAGAGATCCTAGATTCCTATAGAAAGAGTTACTATGAGAATACCATTGAGTGTTTGAAGATCAATTAGGGTTGTGGGTCCACTTTCATACCCAAAATACAAATCACATTCTATTAAGAGGAAAACCCAATTGAGGCCGAATTGTATGATATTTACAATCCGATACAAATACTCAAGAATCTTGAGAACATTGTTAACATCAAAGGAGATGCTTTCTTGATGAGTGACTAATTCGAAAAACAGTATAAGAATTTATATGTTAATGTCATATTTTATATCAGACTAGTGAAGTTGCCATATTGCCATTTGGTAAAATTGTAGGATACAAACGAACTGTAAAGCCAAGTTGATTAGACAATGAAGATGTTGCAGATGAAGAAGTCAAAAACCATTTTCTAAAGAGTGGCTCAAGAATTTGATTAGTACAGAGGAAAGTTGTCTTAGCAAGGAGATTCATCGGGAAACTCAAGTTCAAAATTCAAGTAGGATGATTACAATACAGCATAAAACTATGGGAGCAAATATATGAAGAAAATGTTCTCATCTCTTATTAATGATTAATTTTCACTCCAGAACAAACGACAAAGCTCAAGCAATTTCTAATCATTACAACAGTTTGATGAGACCAAAGCCGAAAGCCCAAAATGAACCTATATAATTTATTATTTAAATATGCTTATTTTCATGTCTTTCTATTGTGGAATAGGGGATGTTTAACTTGATTCAAACGTGATGAAATTTTGAAAGATTTTGAAGAATTTATACAAACTTAATTATTTGCGGAGAGTCTCCAAATTAAATGACAGATTAATAAAGGATGTTTTTCTAACATTAAGACACAATATTTATAGTTCAAGTTCAAGATTTTCAACACATGATTCTGTTTTTACGCAATGATTTGAGAAATTATATAGCTTATTAAGGAGATTTATTAGTTTATATTAGTTTTTTCTTTAATCTTTAATTTGTCCGTTCTTTTTTTCCATTTAATATGGATTTTATTATTTCTAATATGCTCATTATTTGTTGCTCCTTCTCATGTTTGCTCTGTCCTTCCAAGAGACTCATGCACTTTTTAGCCTTTAGTTGTAAATTAACTTCTAATGGAGTTTACAATTCATTATTCAGAATCAAAGTCTATTCCTTTTGTATGATTGACGAGTCATCCTTTTGATCATTCACTTCGCTTAGCGAAACTATCTCGAAAGGCATGGGTTTATATTTCAAAGGGTTTTCGATCTATTGCGAAGTTATTTAGGTTAATTTATTTTTGCTGATATATAATTATGGGAAGGTTCTGATGTATGATTATTGCTTTAATTAAATGATCGATTCCTTCAGACTGTAAAATCTAAGCGCATCCTCCATGTATTAATTATTATTAATTATTAAATCAACATGATTTTCATTATTTTACTAATAAATATTCAATCATCATAAAATAATCAAATTTTATATGTTATTTCAATGAACATAGCATAATAATTTAATAAATCAAATATCTTTACAAATAATTATAATGGATAATTAATTGTTGATCAAGAAGTAATGGCTTATTAAATCGAGACCTGAGAGGATCGAAGATATTTATGAATCTGATAAGAAAGTAAGGCTAACATATGAAAGTCTAGGAATTAGGTTCTGGAGCCTATGGCAGAGTCTTCAAGGCTAAACACAAGGAATTGGGATTGGAGAGAGCCATAAAGATGATTCCTAAAAAATTAATTGCAAGTCCAGATAGATTCAAAAGAGAAATCGAAATTATGCAAAATTTAGTATTGAAATTTAGAATCAATATAGGATCATCCAAACATCATTAAACTATTTGAAAGCTTTGAGGATTAAAGGAATATCTATTTAGTCATGGAGTATGAATATATATCATTTATACTAAAGAATTTGTACTGGTGGAGAATTATTCGATACAATCATTGAGAAAGGCCATTTCACTGAAAAGGAAGCTTAACAAACATTCCTGTAAATAATGTAAGCAATTCACTATTGCCACACTCATGGAATATGTCATAGGGATCTTAAACCCGAAAACTTTTTACTCCTTAGCAAATAACCAGATGCTCCAATTAAAGTCATTGATTTCGGACTTAGTGTGTTGTTCCATGATAGCCACTACAAAAATGTAGATGGAAAGACACAGATGAAATCAAAGGCAGGAACTGTATGACTATCAAACCTAAAATAGCCTTATTACATATCACCAGAAGTTCTAGATGGAAAATATGATGAACTCTGTGATGTTTGGTCAGCCGGTGTTATTTTATACATTCTGCTGACAGGATTACCTCCCTTCAACGGTAGAACTGATGCAGAAATTTTGAAGGCTGTTAAGTCTGGCGTTTATAAATTGGATATTCCTCAATTAGAGGGAGTTTCAAATGACGTTAAGGATTTGATTTAAAAGATGTTAACCAAACCTGATCAAAGATTAACAGCTGGACAAGTATTATAACATCCTTGGCTTACCTCAGTAGAAATCCCTCATTCCATATTAACTTTAGATTTCAAATCATTCAAAGGATTCAGTGCCAGCAACAAATTAAAAAAAGTAAATTATACCTCCTAATCAGGTAACACTAACCTATATTGCATCCTAATTATCTGAAGTAGAAATCCAAGAATTAGGAAAGTTGTTTAAGGAATTAGATATAAATGGAGATGGCATTCTTACCTTGGAAGAAGTTAAAAAAGGGTTGCATAATTTCCAATAAGAGAGTTGGGGTGAAGTCATTTAAATTTTGAAAGCTATTGACACTGATTGCAATGGAGTCATTAATTATACTGGTAAAATCTATATTATTAATGAGATTAGAGTTTGTTGCTGCAACAATGGAGAGAAATATGTATATGAAAAAGGAGAAATTATTGTAAGCTTTCAAGATGTTCGATGTTGATGGAAGTGGCAAAATTAGCAGTGAAGAATTAAAGAAATGTTTGGGAAGTATTATTTAATATATTTTACAGATAATGAAATTTATGGTTAATCTGATCCATAATTATGGCAAAATTTGATCAATGAAGCAGACTAGAATAAGGATGGAGAAATAGATTATCTTGAGTTTGTAGAGATGATGGACAAAGTTGATGCTAAATGATTTATTATTGGTTCAAATCATATAAAATTAGTATTGTTATTAGTTATCAATAATATGATATAAGATCTATATGACAAAACCATTATCAATATTCCATACTATTTCATTAATTTTATGTAACTATTATTGGGGATGATCAAATAATTAAACTTATAAATAATAAACAATTTTCAAAATCTTAAAATTCTCTAGAGAAATTCATAAAAAATCTCCTATACCTTTTTGAACTAATTTAATAATGGAAGTAGCTACTTTTGTATTTTGTTGTTCATTAGTAGTTAAAATAGTTTGAAGTATATTTGATAAGCATTTTGGTTATGTAAGTAAAGATAAATGGAAATCTTGTTTTAGTTTTGAATCTTTGATTAGATAATAGAAAAGTGGTTTTTTTAAGTGAAAAAAATTAAATATATTGTAATATTGATTCAGTGTCCACTTTGGAATAATTTTATCCGTAATGTTTAATTTTAAAAAACATAAAGCTAATTTTTTTCAGTTAAATAATAAACTAAAAATTGATAGTAAACATAGTCTCTTTTGAATTATAATAATAATTGGTATTTGTCTAATTGTTTTGCTTGATTGATGGAAATATCACTAAATTGACCTAGAAAATCTTATATAGGTTAAAAATGAAAAATTCTAAATGTATTCATTACACAAAGTGTTTCTAAGTAATATGATTAGTTTTCCTAAGATGAATATCAACTCTATTACTTCTGTTGTCCTACCTTTTGTAAAATTAATTTAATATATATAGGTATATTCTAATTTCAAAAATAATTGTGTTTCTATTTTAAACTTCGTTTTAATTTAACGAATCTATCATAATTATATGTTAATCTTGTGATTCATCTAGATACTTAAAAAAAGGCGAAACATTTGGCTATCAATAGCTAGGTCAAAATTAAGTAATTTTAATGTTTTGTTATTAAACCTTTATGTATTATATTCTAAATAATAATTTATAATATTCTCTAAAGATAATTTAATTTATATATAAATAATGAGATCTAAGCAATAATTTTATAATTATCATGTTATTATATAATCATTATAATATGTTCAATAATTGGATTTTGAGGCTTAGATGAAATCTATTCTTCTCAACATTGAGCTAACTGTGTGTTCTAATTCTTGAATTTAGTGGTAATATTGGCCACTCAGATTTTAGATTTCTTTAGTACTCAATCCTGAGAGTGTTCGATTCACTTTAATTAAGTCAGCTGCATTCAAAGATGGTGTTTACAGCTTTCTTTACCTCATACTGTTTTGATCTTCTTTCCAAGTATTGGCGTCAAAAGAAACATAACTTTGTGATGTAGATCTGTCAAATTTCTTCCAATCTGATAAGGATGCTAAGTGATGGTGTTATGATATGTCATGATCGACATGCAACTTCTTACTTTGTAATGGGCTCTAATTTAATGACATCAAATTTTTATGATCCAAATGAAATGTTTTAGCAATTTATCTTTACTTATCTTCTGTTCCATCCATTTTAGCTTAAGCAGCTTTACGCACATAATTTCTAAACTCTTGCAATTCTTAACGGTTCATATTATTTGTATTTGTGTATGATAGATTGGAATGATTGTACATTTGAAGGATTTTATATAAAATAAAAATTTATTTATGAATAAATATCTAAATATTGCTACTCCATTTAATGAGAAAGATTTAATAATATTATTTTTCAGAGACGTGAGTAGATATATCTATAGAAATAAAAAATTAATATATTCTACTCATATTTTGATATCTTAGATTACAATATTAATAAATTAATATGAGTTCATAGAAAAAGGATTACAATATCACCCTTTCTTTCTTTGGAAAGTCAACCTAAGTTACTATAGAAAAAAGTACTACAACCTTAGAACTTTACTAATTTTTAGAGGAAGCCTATCCATAGTATTCATCCATTGTATTATATTAGGGAGTTTGAAAAAGTAAAATACAAGAGTCTTAAATTCTTCTTGCCTGCTCAGAATAAATTTTTAAACATTAATCAGTCGACTTTAGAAACCGTTTTTGATAATTACAACAATTATATAATGGAGTTGAAAGAAGATCTGCCTAGGAATGACTCTAATTGTTTTGCATCATCTAATGCAATTCCTAAAAAGCAAGTACAGACTGAATAAGAGATCCAACAGAATTTCTAACCTTAAGACATCTAGCATTAATAGAATTAGTAAAATTAAATATATGCATAATAATGGGAATAACAATAATAACTCTATAATTAGAATGTAATTTAAAACAACAATCAATAAAATTAATAATTCTAATATAATGATTAGACTCAATAACTGAATCAATAAGCATAAAATTAAGACTATAATCAATAATAATTTTAATAATGGAGTATGCAATAAGATAATACAAATAATTAGAAGAATTAAAAAAAGTAAATTCAATATAATCATTTTTAGGACTCTCAGACTCCAATACAAAAATAATTAAATCCAATAAGTTGTTGATGAAACACTAACAGTAGATGAATTATATGCTCACTTTTATGATTAATTTAATATTGAAGGGGAAGTTAAATTGTTTTGGCAAGATTTGGAGTTATCTTGTTTGGAGCAATATGGAAGTATTTTTAACCAAGGAATTCAAAACGACTCCATAATTGAATGCATAAGGTTTAATATTGATATAATTATTGAAATTTTTGATCGTCAGAGATAAGTGAGCCTCTAATAGAACAACCATTCATCTTTATCAACAATAAACGAAATCATATAAGTCATTTATATATACCTAGGGAAGACAGAGTACTTTATTTAATAATTCTAGAGAAACCATTAGTATAGAACTCTATCTCAGTAAAGACAATTCTCCAATATAACAGCAGAATCAAAACAATTCATCAGCAACATAACTAAGTCAATCTTTTGAAAATGAATAACAAATAAGAGCCAATAAATATAATTGTACCCTTAAAGAGTTGAATTTAATTGACAGCCCTCTAAAATTTAAGGCTAAAGTAAGGTATAATGGAGGATCAATAAAATCAATTTTAAATTGATTTTTTTCAAGTATTTTATTTGATAACAAAAAAAATCTATTTTAATTTCTGAAAGTCTTTAAAGCAATTATTGAACTGAGTCTTCATGATTTAATTAAGAACTTTTAGGGAATCTGCATACTCTTCAGAATTCAAATACTTAAGTTTGTAAAATCTTCATGAATCTGCTTTAAAAGTAAAATGGTTTTACTTGTTCCATTAAAATGCGTCAGTAAGTTCCATTATATGTATTATGCGTTGAATTAGCTGCATAAATTGTAAATCATACAAAATATCTGAAGTTGATGCTTGAAAATAAATTCCTGAATTTGAAGTATGCAATCTATGAGATGGCTGCTCTAAAGCCACTCTGTTAAGAAGAAAGTATATAGGACTTATCTAAGAGTATCACCAGTGATGGCTCTCAACTTAGAACTCTATTGAAAAGGGAGTTTAATTTTTTAAAGAAATCATTAACTTGAAGTTTTAATAATGCTCGAATAGCACTGGATAGGATTATTTAAACTTGAAATAATGGATTTCATTAGGAAATCATATGCTTCTGATTTCTCAGAATAAAAATTACAACCTATAAAGAGTTAACATATTTCTAATCTATTCTCACTTATTCAAGCATGTGTTTAAAAATGAATATTATAATTAAAATTATTATCATATGATTCATAATTCGAATAGAAATCCAATCACAGATCCTTATTCTTTAGAGGATCAATTAGCAAGAGAATTGCAAAAACGAAAAGTTGAAGAGGAGAAAAGGAGAAGAGAAATTGAAAGAATTTGCGCTGAGAGTGAGGAAATCAAACTACTTAAATAAAAAGTTTAGACTGCATATGTGACCAAAGAGAGAACTTAATAATTGGCTGAATAATAGTTGAGAAGAATTTAAGAGTTGGTATATATAGTCAGTTATATTTTCAAAATAGAAATAAGAAAGTGAAATAGAAGCAGCGATTCTTGAAAAGTTGAAAAGAGAACAAGAGGAAGAAAGATCCAAAGAGAAATTTAGACTCCAATAAAGACTAGAGGGGAAATATGTATTTGAATTCATCATCATCAATAGACATTATAAAAATAAATGAAAGAACATGAGCAATTAAGAGATGAAGCTAGAGAATAATACATTTATGAGAAGGAACAAGTTAATAGAGTCATTCACTAATTAATTAATGAGGATCGCAAGTTTTTAGAGGATTAGGCAAAAAAGAAGAAAATTGCTTTCTCAGACATGTAAAATGCTTTAAGAGAAAAGGCAGAATTGATATTTAGAATGAAATAACGAGAAAGAGAGGAGAATCAGAAATATTTGGATTTTATAAAAGAAAAGGATAGATAGGCTCATGAAATTAAGGTGAAAAAATAAGAAGAAAATGCAGCTAAGTATAAGTTTTTACAATTTCTTTAGAGATAAGATATTTCAAAAATTGAAGGAAGAGGAGGAAAGAAGAAGATAAGAAGCAGAATTATTGACTGAACTTAGATTTCAACTCTATCAAGAATAATATGATGCTTAGTAGAGATAAAAAGATATTGATGAAGCTAATAAGAGAGAATTTCAAAAAAGAGAGATGTAGTAGGCTGAACAAGAAGCAAGATTAAAAAAGTAAAGATAGAAGGAGGAAGAATAATAGATGGAAAGAGATTTCAGAGATCAAATGATGAGAAAGTTTGCTGAAGATGATAAACTTGAATAATTAGGATAATAAAAACGAAGAATGAAGGAAATAGAACATAAAAGAGAAGTTGAAAGATTATGGCAATAGAAATTGGAAATGTATTAAATGGAAAAGCAGAAAGAACTTGAATAACTAGAAAGATAAAGAAGAGAAGAGGCTTATAAATAATTAGTGGTAGAGGAGGAAAAAAATCGTATTCTTCAAGAACATTTACAATAAGTTGGAGAATTCATTCCAAAAGGACTCCTATTAAAATAAGGAGATTCTCAATTTATTAAGTAAGGATAATCAAATGCAAGTTATTAATCTGGTTTTAGAATATGAAATTATAAATTTTAAATATTTACAATATAAACATATAAGATTTTGTTAAAATAATCATTTTTATTACATTTTAATCTTCTTATATTGTAGATGTGATAAATTTATAATTTAATTGGAAAGTTAAAATTAGAGTAAATATTGTAGAAGAATATATGATTATGATAAAATCTAATAGATTTATTAAACATATCCTTTTCCAACTCAACAAAGTATATTATAATCAAATTATTATATTAACATAGGACCAGAGCTTTATATTTAAAATTCGTTAATTTCAGGGATTTAATCATATCCTAGACCGTTGTTGTAGATCATTGTTTTTTGAAGAGCTTTTTTGAGCATACCTTTAGAATAAATACTATAAATACTTAGATTTATGTAAAAGTGCTCTCTCTTGCTTTTTACGAAAGCAATTGCTTGATCTAAGGGAATTTGTAAGACAGATGCCAAATATATCACTGCAAGTGAGGGTGCTCTTCCAATTCCTGAAGTACAATGAATGTACACAAATTCATACTGGTTAATTAGTTTTTTGAGAATTTATACTGCTTTAGTTATTTTTTTTTCAAAATCTTAGGGATCCATATCAAAGATTTCAAAGTTCTTCATATAAATATTGTGTTTCTTATAACTAGCTAATATTTCATCCCAATCTACTCCTCGGTGATAGACATCCAATCTTGTTTGTAGATTTAGGACAGCTCTGATTCCATAGTTACTCAAGTTGATTATATCTTATTCATTTTATGGATAAGGACCTATAATAATGTTTTCATTTATTTGAGTGATGGAGAATTGAACAACGAAGTTCCAATCCAGTTTGTTCAGTCTTCCAAAGGACTCATAGTAAAAAAACGAAGGTTCCTTATCCGAAAATGAATAACCCATACTAGTTTCTTTGTTAGATTTTTGTTGCTTTTCTGAACAAAATGATCCATTTTTTTTATTGTGATGTCTCAAATGTTAACAGGCAGTCAACAATTGAGTTTTGATTTTGATTGGAGATTTGGCATACTGATCCTGAACTTATCGAAAGGATCTGAGATCGCTTGACTTCAAAAATCTTCCATTGCCTCTTTCCCATATCATTGAACCCGTGTCATCATTCCTAATGACGTAAAAATATCGGAATGAGAAATTCATTGAGTCTACGATGAAGGAGATGGACCATTGTTACACTGACTCCCCGTTTACTAATGTTACTGAATCAAAAATTACATATGTCTATTTTGGTTTATTATTTCATTAGTACTGGGTGAATCCATTAGCCCAATTACTCAATACTGCCTATAACCATCATTCTTTGTTTTTCAGGTAAGTTGTAATTTAATTTCAATTTAATTGTTCTATACCCCCAATATTCACCTTTAATAATTAATTATAGTAAATACAATTAAAATATTCAGACTTTGTCTCATTCTAAATCATATGGTTGGTGATTACTCTATTTTCTCCAGGTTCCCATAGTATATCATTCATAGTGGGATAATCGTAATTGTTAACTATGAATTTGTACTCAATTTTGGAATATTTAGATCGATCTATTTTTATACATATTGTCCATTCATCATTCTTTTTTAAATATTATTCAAATAATACCTCATTCCATTATAGTCGTAGTCCTTTAGTAGGAACCCAATTGCCAAGAATACTGCAATCTCCTACAATATAAATTGCTCTTCCAGGTTGAGTGTGATAATGAATTTTGAAATACACCTTAAAATATGGTATTGGAAGCGTTGCAGTTGTAGATATTGATTGCTTTTTCATTTAATATTTCTTTTGAAAATTAATTTATTATATAATCAAAATCAATCTAGCTCTTCGTCGTAAAATCTAGAAAATTAAAGGAAATAGCTTAAACAATGTGTGGAGAATGTAAACCTTTAATTTCTAAAACAAGGAGTGGCTAGCTCCATATACTTGGAATTTTTAAATTTCTTCTTCAATTAAATCCTGAAATTAAGATTATATTTCATAACTCATTTTCATGATTCGTACTTAATTTGTTCCCTTAGTGATAATATATAATCTATTTTCATAATTATTAAATTCGAACTTTAATAAAGCATTTTATAAATTCCATCTTGTATAATATTCTTAAAATGTAATTTCAAATAAGTAAATAATAAAGGCGATATCATTTCAAAACGAATAATAATCAAATAAACAAATGACTGATGTGTCGCAAAAAATAAAAATATTGTTCATTAAAATATAAATTCTGATTTTTTAAGTAAGTACCTAAGATGAAGATATAAATCTAAATATTTATCATAAATCATTCAGTTTTCAATCTTCCTTTAGTAGGTTAAAGAAATTCAATAATAGTATGAGGAGCTATTCTTTTATCAGGATCAATAGTAAGCATTTCTCGAAGTAAGAGTCTAATTTCTAAATCAACTTTAATTCCTGTTAATAAGCAAAATAGCAATACCTGAATAATTATTGTCCAGATAATAGTCTAAATTTTTGACCACATGAATTTGTTTGTTTATAATTTAATCAAAAGCCCTATTCTTAACAGCAAATAAGCCTTGCTCAATTACTTCCTTATTGTGATGCTTTACAATGATTTTATTGTTCAACCAGAGAGGAATCCCATAAACAATTTCTAAAATTACACAACCTAATGACCATATGTCTATAACCCAAGGTTTATAGTAATTTTGTAAGACTTTGAATAGTTTTACATCATAATCCTTGCCATTTTCATAGAGGACGTAATTTAGGATTTCTGGAGACATATATTCAGGAGTCGCCATAGAGAACTGGGAGAGATCATCAAATATGAAACTACTCCCATAATCGATCAATTTGGTTTAGGTAATTTGATAAGATCCATTAAGACATTTAGATTTTTTAATGAGTATGTTTTCTGTTTTAAGATCGCAATGGACAATCCGTTATTCAGTTAATAATATTAAAGCATGAGCGACATCTTTGATTATCCTCTTTAAAATATTGAGATCTTATTTTAAACTTATGTATAATGGTTTTTAGATCATCTTGAATATTGACATGATTAATTACTTTGTATACAATTTCATTTTTAATTTGTTATCCTTTCAACTCATACAGAGTATTTTTCAGATTCTCTCCACATACCTCTGTGAAAATCCAGGTATCAGTACTTCCGATTTCAAATCCCAAATATTATACTAGACTTTTGATTCCTAAGGTTGACTTGAGTTAAGGTTTTGGAATCCCATTGTCAAAAAAATGAGATCCAAACCAAATTTCACGGAGGTAAGTTTGATTTGTGGTGGATTATTTAATTTATTTAATTGCAACCCTCATTTTGGTAGTTTTATGTTCTCCCAGCCAAACCAAGGAGAAGCCACCCTTCCCAAGAAGTTTAATCTTTTGAAACTGCAAAGGGAAATTATCAGGACCTGTATCATCCTCAAGGGAATGCTTCTGACTACTACTTTTCTGTCTTTTACTAGTGTTATTAAGAATATTGTTTTTTCTATCTGCACTTTTAGTAGATGTGAATGCATTGCTGAATGATCTAGATTTAGATTATTTATTAGTAATGTAGGAGTCTAAATATAAGTAATCATCTAATGTGTCCATTCCTTATTCTGTTTTCTAAGTTAACCAATATCATTACGAGTCTTTTGCTAACGGATTTCTTTTTGCTATTCATCATACTCACTATCGCTTCCTTTTCGAATTAATCAATTTTGCTAGATAACTATGGTCGTGGTCTGTCCTTCTTTGCTTTCTCAATCGAGCTCTAACGCATTTATGGCTTTGTTCTCCCATTGTGAGGACTCTGATTCTTCGTTTTAAAAAAACTATTATAAAGCATAAATTAATTAGAATTAAACCCATATTATTTCGTGGATGTTCTAACTATATAATTATTTATAATCAATTCATTCACAATAATTATGATGACTTTAAACGCTTCGACATGAATATAATGATATAACACTTCCCGACTGAAATATATTTTTATTTTCAACTCCCTTAGAATACATCAATGCCAGTAATAATCATAATCCAGTTTGCTTCAAGCCCCACTAATCCAAGCCATCTCCAGTATTATCTACAGCCCGACAATCCACTACATCATGGATAGGCTTCAAGTAGTCCTGCATCAGTTTAGCACTCTAAGCCTTCTCCCTTTCATTACTGGCTGTATACAGAATCTTGGCATTCTAAATCTTGCTTATGATAAATTACTCATCAAAAAACTGTCTATTTTAAGTATAAAACCAATACTTTTGATTGAAATTCAAATTCTGAATGAATGTATGAATACTTGTCTTTGCCCATTAATATTTGAATTGATTTACCAACACTTCCAGGCAATTTAACACATATTATTATCTTTATTTCATATGAAACTCTTTGTTATTATACTATAAATGAATAATATTACTAGAAACTATTCAAAATCATACAGAATTTCATATTCATATGTTTCGATTTATTACAATGAGTTTTGTTATTCAATATCAACAAGTTCCAACATTTAGGCAGTATTTAAATCATCTATAATTTTCTTGAATTCCTTCAGTGCGTTGTTAAATTAAAAGGTTTTAATATTCAATTGAATTTTTAGTATTTCTATAATTTAAATGTGCTTAGGAAGTTAACAGAGTTCAAAAATTTCAATAACCAATTGATCACATTCATGTTACTTCAATTGATACTTTGTGATTGACAAACAATAAAGGATCTACAATAAATGATAATCATAGAATTTGTTTTTAAATTCCTTAATTAGTAACTTAATTTTATTCAAAGCTGTGAATATTTTATTATCATTAGTTAGATATTTGAGTACTAAGCACATAGCTTATTAGCAACTCATCTATTCTTTTTATGAACTCTCTTCTGCTTTCACTTTTTTGTTCTAATCTCCATAAATCTATTTCTCCACTTGATGCAATTGTTAACCCTACTTAACTTATTAATTTACTTTAGTCTTTTTGAAAAGTTGTTTGTCCAAAACTCTCTCTGCTTCCGTTCTGCAGTATTGCTCCCTATCAGTTCCTCATTTCGATTATTATTCTTATTCAAAAAATATATATTATAAACTTAGAGTAAAATAATCAAGCAAATTTAATAAAGATATAAATAATTTATTAGAATAACAAATGTCCCCATTACCAGAACCAAACAATAATGGAATTCAAACACCTGAGAATAGAGAAGTAAATTTAACACTAAATGTTAGGCCTACAGATTTATTTACAAGAACAAGGAATATGATTTTACAGAATATGTTCCTAAACACCCTGCAGGAAGAAGTTTCTTTGATAAAATGAAAGATGAGAAATAAGACATTACCGAATATTTTAGGTACAATTATCCCTATATTTTAGCTGTCTACATTCAAAAAAGGCATTGAAAATATTAAAGTCCTAAAAAGTTGTGCGTACTGATCTTAAGGAATCAGAAGACAGCAAACGTTATTCTCATATCAAGAAGTAAGTCAAAGATCTTTTCTAACCAGATTGGACCATTGAAATCCTTCTCCTCGTAGCATTGAGTCTTGGATTATATCTTGGTGTCACAACTGATTGGTACATAGCCATACCGACAATTGCACTAACTTAGATAGTGGCTGGGTATTTATATGTATCATATATCACTTAGATGGTAAGGCCATTCCACCAATCATAATCGACATCCATTGTTGTATAAGTTCTCCATTCCCTATGGTATCCTCCATGGCTTCTCCGCAGACTGGTGGTAATTCAAACATAATAACCATCATATCTTCACTAACAGAATTGGAAAGGATGATGACATCGATCACACATATTAAATGTGGTAATACGGATTCCTCTATTTAAAATGGAAGGTTGATTCAGTCATTGCATCCTATAATAAAATTGACATTCTCTACGTGTTGATGCATCAAGTTATTGTATTCTAATAAAAAATTTGGATCTATTTGGTTGCACAATATATCGCAGGATTCTTCAGTGCATGCATTCTCATTGGAAATCATGAAAGAGAATATAAATTCTACAAAAAGATTGACAAGCCATTCATTGAACATTAAATCATCACCTCCAGAAATTATGACTGGACAGGTATTTTAATTAAATCTATATAGATTGGTTATCCAATTTGATAATGGGAGGCATGCAATTCTAAACAGAACATCATTTATTTCCTCAAATCCCATTTTATAGATTGCCTCATGCAGCCAAAATTATTAACAGAGAATTGAATAAATTTGGATATAAAATTCGTGTGGATAAGATATTGTGATATATTTTTATTAAAATAAATAAAATTTGAAAATTTATATTCAAATATAGTCTAATGATTCAATTTAGTAATTCTCTCTACTCTTCAGTTCATTTGAAATAAAATACATTTTAACCATAATCCTATAATTTTTATTGATTATTTTTAAATACTAATAATAATAAAAGATTCTTATCAAGTTGCATCATATTCATTTTCCTAAAATGTAGTCTTACTTTTGCCTTTATTAGTTATCCAAAAAATCATTAAACTCCAAATACTAGTCAACAAATTAATTGCATAATTCATTTTTTACTACTGTTTAGTAAATTAGAGATTTTTTAAAAAGTTGATTATTATATATTTAAAATCTAATATCAATAAAATTTTACTTCTTTAAAATTAAATTATAATTTTTATTTCATATTAATTAAGTTTATCGTTTTATTTATGAAGTGTTGCATGATCTAAAACAACTGTTTTTTTAATGATAGCAATGCTTATGAGACTTTCTAGATACATAGATACTATCTAATTTATTATTCATACTTATCTTTATTTGTTAATAGATATTTCTAATTGATAAAATAATTGTTATATTAATGTTGATTTTAAGTTTTTGATCAAAAATTATCCAATCCTGATTAGAAAATCTGTAATTTATAACTTATTTCATCTAAAAATTTATTGTTTAGAATCAAAAAACCATAAAAAAATTTATAAATTTGATTTTGGAAATTACACTATTTTGTGGGGAGTATAATAATTCTAGATTTAAGAGACTCTGTTAATAAATATAAAATAGACTATTTATATAGTTTAATGTCAATCTTTTTTAGTTTTCTTAAGATTCAAATATCGAACTTCATTTTCTTCATCTAAATCGTTATAAAAAGTAAATGATTATTTTCTACTTTTTTATCCTTCTGCCTCTTACTATACATCAGGTATTTAGGGATGAGAATCTTTTTAGGCTTCTTTTTCCGATTTTGGTACATTTATTAAATCAGATAAACTCAATTTTCTGTTGTTTAAATACTTTGAAATTTTTACCCTGGGTTATTATGAGATATTGAATACATGATAAAATGAAAGAAGGACTCGTCATTTCCTGGTCTTGATTCTTCACTTAATTTGTGATCAGAATTTGTAGGGTTATTTTTTTCTTGCTGCATTGATTACTGTTGTATTTATTATTCATCATTTTGATCAATTTGTTCAATTTCTGAAATAGACTTATAAGCATTTTGAATCTATTGGAGAGCCATGATCTATCCCTTTTCCTTATGTAGATTGCATATTTCTTTCAGAAGTTCATCTGGTATTTGAGACATATCTGATACATCTTAGAGTTTTTTTTGTATTTTCAATTATTATTACCAATATAATGTGACTTATTCCTTAGTGGGATTATATATTTGTTATTCAGGCAAATTGAGGTCTAGGATACCCTATTGCAATTGGGCTTTGATTTATTATTATTGTTGATTAGACTCCGCCTACATAGACTCTGCGTTTAATTGGATTTCATCTTCGGATACATCTAAAAATAAATATATAAAATATAAGTGCATACCCATAATAGAGTTATTCTTCTATTTTATTTACATTTATTCATCTTCAGAATATTAATGGAACATCTTATTCACAAAGATTTCTTTAATCTCGGAACTCTTCAGTCCATTAATTTGTTTGTGAAATTCTTTCTCCAAACGATTGAAAAATTTCTGAGCATGAGACCTGAAGTAGTTATCATTTGTTAAGATACCTTATTTATGCTCCACTTCTTGTACCAACATATTCTTCTACTTTCTTCCAATTCTTTCCATGTAAACTCAATGCTTCAACAAATCTCTGATGTTCTTCCTTAACCCACCTACCTTATACTACTTCACCCTATACTATCTCTTAATTTGATAATTGCTACTTCACTATCATCCAAAGATTTAGATTACTTCCTTTTATTAAGTTAAGCCATATTAATTAATTTTATTAAAATTGAATTCAAACATTTCTAAACCATAAATTAAAAGATGATCAATTCAGACAATAGAAACCACACAATCTGGAAGTTCTTCAAATATGACTATTCTTGATAGTTATTGTCTACTCACACTGAATTGACTACAGGAAGGTGATTAAATAAGAGATGGCTGATAAAAACACATGAATATAAAATAACTTCTCATCCCATTAGAAATAATCATAACAAGAATCTACATGGATAAATCAGACAATAGGTGTCAGTCATTGATTAATATTATAAATATAGTTATATTAGAAACTCAACCTTATATAACCATTTGGTTAGATAAACTTCTTGAGATATTTGTTTCTTTTGATAACTAATAATAATTATTGTAATTTAAGCACATTAAGCATGCTTAACTAAATGATTGCAGCTTAATTTTACTCAAACAGTGTTTAGAAAGACAATAAATTATATAATGCATTTTTGATTGTCTTAAGAAACTGCTAAATTTAGAATTATTGATATTTTATTGCAATTCAAAAATTAATTTAAGATTTGATAAATGATTGTATCTAGATTCAAACTAAGGATGATATCTTCAATTAAAATATTCATGGCAAGTAAATACAAATAATTAATCATACTGATCATTTACAAAGTTTATAAGGTTTCATTCCAATAATTTCTTCGCAGGATGGACAATAATGTATAATGTCCCTGCATTCCGAAACAAAGCATGGAATCCAAAATAATGGCCAGAAAATCAGTAATATCAAGAGAGTGACAATTAGTGCACCACAACCATATTATTTCTCGATTCTAGAGATGACTTATTTTTAACATTTTTGACAGAATACTTTGGTTGGTTGTTCTTAGTCATTAGCATTCGTTGGCAAGTTTTTACTAGCATTTAATGCATTATTTACCCTTTCGATTCTATAATGCTTTATTCGATTATTCTGTCGAAAGAATAATCTACCCGACTGGGACTATACGGAAGTGATTTCGATAAACAATTGCTCTATTCATTGAGAAACCCTATCGAGGTACTTTGTGATATAATTAACTTCGGACTGTTCTAATTACTATTATTTAATTATTTAGTTGTATTGGCTCTCTAGAATTCAGACTTCTTATTCATTTTATTTAAATATATTTAAATTCTTTATAAAGTTTTAAAGAGCTTAAATTAATCAATCATTGTATCCGAACCCAATTACGAAAAAATTGTTTCTATTTATATTTTGTTCAATTAAGAGAAAATTTTGAAATCAAGCTAAACAATAATCATACCTTAGCTAAATTATCTAAATTTACTACATTTTTCCTAGTTATTACTTAATTAATCGTTAGAGACTTATCTAAGTATCACCAGTTGAAATATTTATGAGGAACTTCCTAATAATTTACTGAACGGAATCTTTCCATTTTTTTAATCATTGCTTCTCAAAATCTACTCGTTATCTTTATTAAAATAACAAATCCCCACTAATATTTTCTATTATTTATCCTCATCATCTAATATATAATTTCTGATTCTTATATTTGAAAATTATATTAATGGAAAAATTACTATTTTCTTAATTCCCTACATTAAATCGTCTTCCTTATATAGATCAAGCAAATTACAACAGAATATTGACACATCAGCACCTGCTAATGTGGTAGATAAAATGCATTATCATTAGTTTATCATTGATCTTTATCTGCAATCAATAGGAATAATTACTTGCTTTGAAGTCAAGACTTATAATTGAGAAAACTTCCATTCCCTTCTTATTTATTGTATTACTACTCTCTATTCATTTTGATTCTGAAAAAGTCACTCATTCCATAATATGCCGGTAGGACATTAAATTTGATGGTAAGCAAAACGAATTTTTAATTCATATATTTATTGAACTTTAATTATCACCTTCTTATTATAAGATTATAATATATTCTCAGCTTAATATATAATAGCACTAACAAAAAATACATATCTATCTTTTTATCCAATAAGAACTGTAAATGTATGGATTGGTCTAATGAGAGATAAATAAGTAATAAGCTAAAAATAATATAAATTCTGTTTTACCCTAAAAATCAAAGTTCTCCTTAAAGGATCGATCGAAATATACCTAGTTTGTGTGAAGTGTAATTGTCTATGAGAATCACATGTCTATTCAATTAATAAATATTCTAAATTAAGATTAATTATATCTATTGTCCTATACTATAGAACTAATGATTTTTTATATTAATTTATTGTTAGGTAATTTTAAAAGTCATAAGTTAAGTTTACGTTAATTAAATTGATATGATAAAGTAAAAATAATTTGACTAATTTGACTAAGCATTTCTAATTACTTTTAATGTTGGAATTGTTCAATACACAACGAAATTGGATATAAATTAAAATTGCATTTCATAATAAAATCATAGATTTAGAATTAATAGTCAATTGTAAAGAATATATTGATACTTATAATAGAGGATTTAATAATCAAATAATTTTAATTTCACTCAAGTCTAACCAAACAATAAATATAATATCGGTTAAGGTAACTTTCATTGTATATGAGGAGTTGGTTTTCAAATTTAAAAAGGTCAGTTGTCCTTATGAATAAGTGCAGAGAACTATGATAATGATTGAAATTCAATATACTTTTATCCCCATCTTAAAATGAAATACCTTTGTCCTTTCCTTAAACAGCCCCATTTTCAATTTCACTATGGTAAATACATTTGTCATTAAAATTCATGTACACGCCATGGCCAACTGTTTAGAGCTACTCTCCAGTAAGGATCAATCCATTTTTTTCAATAGATACTCGTTCCATAGCTCCTATACCTATTCCTACATAGTCACTCTATATCTTAATGATCTCAAATCTAATTTGAGTGCCCTCTTTGAGTAATTGGTTGGTCATGACGAAGGAAGGATCTTAAATGGTATGGTATTAATACATCCTTCTAAGTGTTTTGCTTTTTGATTGACGATTTCAAATTTGGTAAGTTAATCATAGGCTTGTGGCATTTTTATGAATTGTGGTTTCTCAGTGATGGCGATTGGGATTGCTGCAGTTTGAATTTGGGATATTTTCTTTTTTGGTGATTGAACTTATTGGACAGGTTAAATTGATTCTTATTTTGTATCTGCACTAATTAAATGAAATAAATCATCCAATTCTTTTTGAATTTGAATTTGTAATTCACAATATTAAGCAGTCTGCAATTCTAGGGTTTCTGAAATGTTATTGGGCAGTGCTTTGACTATTAAATCTATTGCCCGTTCATTTAATAAGGAGTATTCGGAATTGATAAATTTGGATGCTGCCTCAATCAATTCATATTTTTCACATTTCCTTTATTTTAAATATTTGTGATTCATACTTCTGATAAATTTCTTATTTCTTCTGCAAGTATTCCGAAATAATTTGAAATTTAGATTCAATAATTTGTTTGGTGCTTGCAGTGATTGGGAATTCAGGTATGACATCTTTCAATTTCTTGGTGAGTTATCCCAGACTGGAGGAACTATGGCCTTTGTGATAATCGAGTTCCTTTATGGATTAAATTAATCGGGATTATGCTTGACAATTCGGGGCTATACAAATTCGAGTCGAGGGTATCATAATTAATTAATAATAATTCGATAATAATGAATAGTAGCTCAAAAATCCGAAAGGGGTCTCGCAATATGAAGTAGAACAATCCAACTTAATCAATAGGTACAAGAAAATCAGTCACGACCAAAGAACTCACATAATAAACGAACTTACTAAAAATGGAAAGACCCTAAAAGAAGTAGATTTAAGAACCATATGACTGTAGGTATCCGAAGATACTCAATTGAAACCATCAACTGTGAAGGCAATTCTATAGGTCTATTTGAAGGAGGGCAGAATAGGGAAAAAATCCACCAGGGATAGAAAAGTCAAATTACTCAACACTACAGTGATCGCATTAATAGACAAAACTAAGTAATTTTCTATTTTTAACCTAATTTCAAATAGAAATAGCGAATATGCTATCGAAAACTTATAGTTCATCCACCCTCTGATTCGCATAAATTAGCAATCTTCTGAGATTTCTCATAATGGTTAAACACTCACTGAGACTCAATAGAATCTAGATTAGTATTCGAAATAGCTTGTGATGATGCAAGTCAAGGATTTCCTACGAGAAAAGAAATCAGAAATAGTGGACTAGTTGGCTAACCCTTTGGCTAAATAAAATTTCCTAAATTAGTTAGCCTAATTTGAAGTGAGTGAGCAATTGCCATTTCAAGAATTAAAGAAAGAGTAATTGTCTGCTGAAGATGAATCGTTTTTAGAGAAGATAACATATCATTTAAAATCGAAAGTAAAAATCTGATATAAATAAATAAATAATATTTTTATTAAGATCATAATAAGTTAATTTTTTCAACCTTTGCATCTTCAATGACATTGATTTCTGCATTCTAATTAGAAATGAGTAAAGAATCTAGGTAATTTTCACAATTTTTTCCATTTTTTCCATATTTTACTTTGTCTATAAATGTAATAACCAATAAAATTGATTGAAATAATTTAATTTATCAAGATATTTCTGTCAAAATAGTAATCACCTTGAATTTCAGAAGAATATTCTAGTATATTACTTTTTTCAAAATCGATAATCGATGAATTATAGATGATTTTTATATTTGGATCGAGATCATTAATTTATTTATTATGATTTTATAATATCATATTCCTAAAGAGTATTGTTTAATTATCAATATTTTTTTGTTACAAATACTACCTTTCATTTGAGGTATCCTAAGGAATATTAGGAATCCTTTTGGGTAAATCTGAATAAGTGAAAATCTTTTATTTACAATTATTCTTAATAATTCGATTTTTCAAAATCAATTGGAGAGTAAAAGTAATCGAAAGCGATGGTAAAAAATATTCAATTCCTAATCAGAATGAAGATCCTTCTATAATATTTCCAAATAAAAACATTTATTATTTATGTTAAAATTAATTCAGCCAATACTTGATTGTACATTTTATATGACTTTTGGAATTTACTTTTCAGGTCAAACGAATTATGAGCAATGTTATCGAATATTTGCATTAAGTAAATACCATCTTATACAATTAGTTGCTAGTCTATACTACATACTTTTCTTTCTTCCTTATAAATTCAACAAGATCAACCTAAGTTCTAGATTAGTGTCAATTTGTACGGGAGGTATTGGCATAATCAGCTTCATTCTGAGTGTGTTTCTCAGTTATGAAGATGCATTTTTTGCTCGTTGCTATTGGACAACACTTGCAATAAGTACTGTAATTGGCACATACTTGGTTAAAACAAAAATGAAATCAGAGTGAATTAATAATAAATAATTATATACATCTACATTTTCTAACTGAAATTAAATCCTAAAGAGAAGCCTTAAGTCAGATCGTTTTAGGAGATTGGAGTAGAGTCAATAAGAATAATCCTCATTTTCGAAGCATTAGTATAAGAGTATTATTCCTGAATTTTGTGATTTTGTTACTAATTATTCTTTAATTGATAATTTTAGAGTCAATTTTGTATATTCAAATATTAAGAAGATTATAATACCTGAAGCTTTGTCTAAAATCAAACTTTAGACTATTTTGTTATAACATAATAGTGATATAATTGAAAGAAATTAAATGTGTGTGAAATATTTTCTTGAGATAATAACATATCAATTACCAATAAATTCTACTAAAATTTTATCAGATATCAAATAAATTTATGATGCTCTTTATTTTGGTTGATTTTAAATCCAAAGAAATAATGATGAAAATCAACAAATTATCTACCATAAGGAATTAGAATAAATATATTATAAATTCATATATCTAAGATTGATAAATTAAATTGAACTAGCTTGCAGGTCTATAGTATAATAGATTATTATATATGCATTGAAATATCTTCTAAATTTTAAATGTGAACAAATTTAATTATACAATCAAGATACTTGGATTATTCAATTTCATATTGATTACAATTTTTAAATATGCTATTTTGATTAAATGTGATAATCAAAGAGTTGAACTCTCAATCTTAAAATTTATAGTAGTCCTAAGCGAATATATTGTTTTATATTTTGTATTTGAAAATCATCCATTCTATAAACTTCACTATTACATAACTATGTTAGTATTGTTAAAGGAGTACCTCAAGGTATGAAAAGATATAAGCTAATTTATAGAAATGGAAACAGCTGTTAAAATAGAATAGAGATTATTAAGGTTCAGAGAATTTTAATAGACAACGTATTAAAACGATTTCTTTATTCGTGAATTTAATCTAAGGTTTATAGGGTTGCTTACAATATTTAGCATATTATTTGATTCAATAGATAAGAATGAGGAAATAACAGAAATTGTGTTGCCAATTGCAAACAAAAAATGTAGAAGATTATTCAAAAAATGATGAACAAAGTTAGATGAATTCATTTTAAGTTAAATCTAGTATAAAAATTAAATAATTATAGATTATTGATATTGGTTTTATGATTCATCACAAAAGCAATGCATTTATAGTTTACTCTATTTTTTTCATTTGATCTTCTATATAATTTAAATCCTCTTCATTTATCTCGAATGTATGAAATTTATAAGTTTTATTCACGACATCTTTAGACTATAGCACATTTTTAGATGTATTACCTTAAGATTCATAATGCAAACAGGTTTATTTATGTTTTTTGCTTTTTTTGAGTAGAATTGGTTATTAACTGACCACTGAAATTTTTCAATCTAATATTCATTGTATTAATAATTACTTTTTATCCTTGGGTCCTCTTTTTTATGTAATAGGATAACACTCTATCTTTCTCAGTTAACCATGTCTAGTGTAATTCTTAGGGTGAGATTCCCTAAAACAAATATAATGATTTCATACATATTGCTCATAGGTTTGCTCTGAATCATTTTAGATGAGATCATCGATCAACTATTGGAAAATATCTACATTTTGAGAAAATGTTTCTTCATTGTAATTTCCTGACTCTTTCAGATATTCCTTCAGTTAATCAAGAGTAATTTCCTCTTAATTGTCTGTATATTTCATTATTAAGACACCACGAAATATTGGTTTCATTATAATTTTAATAATTCAGTTTATCTTAATTAAATCACTTTTCTGTTTATATTGTGAAAGAACTTGATATAAGTACATTCATTATGTGATGAGCATTGATATTATTGGAAATCAAAATAGTCTCTCATAAATCAAAATTTTAGTATTCGCCTTTTTTCAAAATTTGTTTATAGCCATGATAACTACGATAATTTCAGAACAGTCATATAGCATTTATGGAAATTATGTCCCTCCTTAAAGTATACAAATGATAATAAATAAACAAAGAGAACCTGAAATTAAAGGATGCATATCTTGAATAATAAATTTTTAATTCTATTAAGGAGGAATAAGAGATCATTGAATAGATTTCTTAATCAGATGAAATAAAAAATTTAGATTATTGGAAATCTATAAAATGAAAGCATGTTTCAATTAAGACATGTCTTTAATTCAATATTTCAATTGAATTATAAATTCTTATTTATACTAATAAATAGATCAATGGTAATTAAATCATAATAAATTTAGTTAAATTAATTTGTCGTTTAGTTTTCGTAATCATTATAGAATATAAACTAATAAGAAATTATTATTTTTAATTTGTTAAAATGCTATAATTTTTAATTTAGCATACATTTCTCATAATGTAAAGATCAAATATAGCCTACCAAGGAACTTGATCGTCAAAGATTATCTATAGCATAAAACATATCATTGAGAAACAAATAAAAACTATCCCAAAAAAGGTATAATCAGATTAGCCTTCTCAAAATTTTTGTTTTCCAAATGAGAAATTTAGAAATCTATGTTTACTTATTATCTGTTCTATACATTTTAACCTCTACTGATTAAAGTATGTAATCTCTAAAGTATAAAATTAAAACGGGCTATTCATATTTTGTTAAATATTAATTTATTGATATGATGTTTCCAGAATATTATGAAATCGACATTTCTTGCTTTGAGGTAAAATCTTAAACTTCTTTAGCCTAAAATACCTCTACTTTAGACCTTTTTGAATTGTTAACAATAAAATTTCTAAAGTATTCAGAACTTTAATTAATTTTAGCATGTTAGGAAATAGCAAGGATTATAAATTTTTCTTACCCACTTTGAATAAATATGTAAGCATTAATGGAACGACATTAAACAGAATTTTGGGAAATAATAAAAAATGTGTATTTGAATTGAAGCAAATTCTTAAATACCTAATAGATATATTAATAGATAATAACGAATTATTTATTTTAGACGGTAAGACTTATAACCAACAAGTGAATAAACTTTAAATGAATAAAAAAAGTTGTTTCAGAACTGAAAGATTAATTTGAGAAAAAGGAAATTTTTATATAACACTTGTTATTAGTTTGTTAATAAATATATTTATAATAAGAAATTCGTTCAAAATCAGTTGAGGAATAAATTGATATATTAAATAAAGAACTTAAATAATTAGATAATAATAAGAATCTTACAAATAATTAAAAATAGTATCTTTAACATTAATATTAATAATAACTAATTACAAAATTAAAAGATTATGGCAAAACTAAATCAATCCCTCATGTGAATTAGAATATTGATGTCTCAAATCCTGAATTGGCACTTTTTGTTTTAAAAGAATCATTATTGAGAGACAAAATCTAGAATTATTAGTAACAAGTAAAAAATATTCCTTTGGATTTGATTCAATAATTGGATATTATGGCTAAGATTAATCTTGTTTAAAAATAAGAAATACAAATCTTGATTATGATAAAATTGTTAATGATTAACAATTATTGTAATAACATTTATTAGAATTTAAGTAAAAGCTATCAAGTTCACTCAATATTTCAACTGATTAAATTGAAATTTTAGGAGTATCAAAGGGTAACTTTGAAATTAGCTTTAATATTTTAGGAAATGATATGAAATCGATTTCATAATAGATTTAAAATAATCCAGAAGCAAAGAAATTCTTAAATGAGTATTGTAATGGAAATGTAGAATATGTAGCATACTTTGATCAAGCAAATATCTAATCAAAGGGAGTCACTCTTTCTTTTGATGATTTTAATCCTTCACACAATATGAGTTTGGATAATTATCAAGAAAAAAAGAATAGAGAGGGCCTCCTTATCATAGATATGATTATTATTTTCCAATAGGTTGTTATGGATTTGGGTTAAATGTAGAAAAGTAAGTAAAATAATATGGAAATGATTGGTTAAAAACGGATGGTAATCCTAATGAATGGAGAATTATGTATTATGGTACCAAGTAAGCTGCTGTTAATCAAATTTTGAGAAATAATTTAATTGCAGGTGGAGCATAAGATTACTAAAATACTGAATGTATTGATGAATTTGGAAATAAAGTTAAAGTAGGACGTGGAATTTATTTTTCAAATAATATTAAGGTCTGTATTGATTATCGATATACTAATTACACTTAGATTGGTAATAAATAATTTGCAGCTATTTTAATGACAAGAGTAAGCCGAAAAAAAATTAAATAAAGTGAAGGTATGAAATTGTTAAATTATTTCGTTGTTAATAATTCAAAAGATGTGAGACCATATAGACTCTTATTGCATGAAAAACTAAAAGAAGGATATTGTTTTTAATTTTGAAAAGGAATTAAATTAATATATATCTATAAGTAATTTTAATAATACCATCTATCAACACTAACATTAAAATTTGTTATTTAAATAGGAAAGCAAGATTAAATATTAGAAGATTGATTGAGCACAAATCTCTCAAATTGTAAAATCCAAATAGCTCTGCCAACAGACATGATTAACAAAGATAGTCAATAGCATAAAACAAATCGTAGAGAAATCTCAGCATTTTAAAAATATATTTTCGAGTAAACTCCTCAAAATTTTGTTAAGCAAATGAAAAGTTTTAGATATTATCTTAACTTATCTTTCTGTTCCATACATTTAACCGTGGCAGCTTTATGTACATAATCTCTAAATTCTTACTATTCATAACTGTTAATATTATTTGAATCATTGTACCTATGAAGGATTTTCTACAAAATAACATTTTATTTATATATAAATATCTAAAAATGCTGTTCCATTTAATTCGAGAAAAATATAAAACAATGTAAAATATTTAATATAGGCTTATTCATATTTTGTTAAAATATTAATAATTTAATAGAATTCGATGCAACAATATTATAAAATCAAAATTATTTTAGTTGGGAAAACAAAGCCACTTGTGTTAGAAAAATAAGACACAACCTTGAAAGTTTTCTAAATTTTATAAGCAGAAGAAGAGTATTTATAATAGTAATTAATATTAGGAATGTAGAAAATTTACAAAAAGAAGAAATTTGAATTTCTTCGTTCCAGTTTTGAATAGATTTGTCAACATTGATGAAACAAAATTAGAATACATTTTGGAAAATACGGAAAGCTGGTCATTTGAATTGAAGGAAGATCAATCATAGAAAAAGCAAACTAATAAATACAGTTGAATTGACAAAAGTATTAATACTGATTAGATATATTAATAAATAATATTAGCTACTTAATTATTTTTACAGTAAGGTTTAAATTCATCAATTAAATTAATAATAACATTTATTAGAATTTGAGTAAAAGCTATCAATTTCACTCAATATTTCAATTAATTAAATCGAAATTAATTTTTAAATTATAGGAACTGATATGAAATCGACTTCATTATATATTTAAAATAATCCAGAAGCAAAGAAATTCTTAAATGAGTCTTGTAATGGAAAAGTAGAATATGTAGCATACTTTGATCAAACAAATAGCTAACCAAATGGAGTCACTCTTTCTTTTGATGATTTTGATCCTTCACAAAATATGGGTTTAGATGGTTTTCGTTAGAAAGTATAGAGAGGGCCTCCTTATCATAGATTTGAGTATTATTTTCCAATAGGTTGCTATGGATTTGGGTTAAATGTAGATAAGTATGTAAAATAATATGGAAATGATTGGTTAAAAAAGGATGGTAATCTTAATGAATGGAGAATTATGTATTATGGTACCAAGTAAGCTGCTGTTAATCAAATTTTGAGAAATAATTTAATTGCAGGTGGAGCATAAGATTACTAAAATACTGAATGTATTGATGAATTTGGAAATAAAGTTAAAGTAGGACGTGGAATTTATTTTTCTGATAGATTATCAGTTTCCAAAGGATATAAAAACCCTGTTTAGACAGGAAATAAGAAATTTAGTGTTTATTTCATGTCTAGGGTAAATCCCAGAAAATTAGATAAAGTGAGAGCGTGAAATCGATTTATTATTTTGTTGTTAATTAATCAGAAGATTTTAGACCATATAGAATTCTAATTTAGGAAATCAAATGAAATGAAGTTTTAATTATAAATGTGTATTATTATTCTTATTTGATCGAAGTATATTTCAATATATAACTTATACTCAATTTATTTTTCTTTACTTTCATTACTTTAACTTATAAATACTGACATATTATTAATATTATTATACACTCCTGATAATTTTATGTAAATTAAAAATATTATTACTGTATTAGAACTATTACATTCAGCATAGATAAGTACATAATTACGCTCTCTTTTTAAATATCTATGATTTTACTGATAATATATAAAAATATATATAAATTATTAATCAACAATTCATAAAAATGATCTTTTTAGATTTATTTTTAGCTTTTTTGATTGTTAATTATTTTCACTTTTATCAGATTGTTTTAAATCCTATGAATTTTGATGTTATTAAATAGGTTCATAAGTGGAAACCTACTATATTTGTGGTTTTTTGTTTAAAGCAAAATCATTTGAATTGATGTCATCATCTATGATAACAATATCAGGAGATTTTTTTTTTTCATCTTCCTCAATTAAGTTTAAGAGCTAAATTAAATTAATAGAGTACTTCATCTAAGTAATCATCATGCTCTTAACCATTTACTAATAATTCTTCAATCTCTTTTTATTTGGCTGAAATTAAAAATAATAATTTACCAATAAATTCTTGGTTTGTAATGTCAACAACATCCTCTTCCTGTCTGATGTGCTTCTAAAATTCAAAAACTTAGTCAACATGAGTTTCGATTTGTTTGGCTAGAATAAGTTAAAGGTATACGTTTTTCAAATAATAGTTTATTGATTTCTTCGATATCAACAAAGTGAGCAACTTCTTCAATAAAGTGTTTCATATACTGCAGTTTTTTAATTTCTTAGGCTATGCAAATGAAAGGGTCATTTAATTCGCTCATAGTAGTTGGTAGCTTTTTGCACAATTCTTCAATGTCATCAGTTGACAATACCAAATCGATATTGATGATTTAATTCGAAGCATCATTCGTCATTTCTTTGTAAATATTCTTACGAACTAACATCAATCTTTCACGCAGATCATTAAATTAATTTTCTAAGCAATAGCCATATTGGTTATCATATTACAATTTCTTTTATTCAGTTTCGATGTTATTACCATTTTACCAAATGAAGTCTTTTTGTAAAGCATTTTAGTTGGTTTATAAATTAATCCCATTGTTATTTTGATTATTGTTTTCTTTTGATAAGTACTTTTTAAATAAATCATTAGTTTTTTGATCTAAAGACTGATGATCTCTTGTCCTTTTCTCTTGGAATGGATATTATTACACTTTTTAAAGATGTTCCTGAATTAGGAGTTAAATAAACAACTTTATTTTTGAAATTACCTTTAACATTGTAACATTGTACTTTTTAACTTAAAGCATTTTAAGCTCTTAATTGATCCAACAAGGGATTTATATTACGAGGATTATGTTTAAATAATCCAAATATCTATTCAACATTCTTTTATGAGTTATTCGATTTCTTTTTATCTTGCGCTCCTTTTAAACATTAAACTAATTGATTCTCTGTCAATGGGTATTTATCTAAACAATCAAGAATCTTAAGAGCTTCATTGGTTAAATTGATTTTTTCTGCATTTTCATCATCTCTTTGACAATTATCACATTTCTTATTGCATAATGTTCTGTCAAAATTCTCGCCCAAATAAGAGAGTTGCAAGACTCTTCTACACGAAAGTCGATCATAACAGAATTGTTGCATTTAATCAAGCTTTTTAATATTATATTTTTTCATCTGAGCAGTCATCTCTGTGTTTTAATCCATTAGATACTAGAGATATAAATAATAAAGTATTACTAAATTAGTTTTATAGTCACTATTATTGTAAAATAGAAGACAATGCGCTTGTTTACCATCTCGTCCTGCTCTGCCACTCTCTTGATAATAATTTTCAATTGATTTTGGCATTTAAAAGTGAATGACAAATCGACAATCCTTTTTTGTCAATTCCCATACCAAATGCTACTGTTGCAACTATTACTTGTACTTCATTCATCAACCAATTTTTGTGAATCCTGTGTCTTTCCTTTTCAGTAAGACCAGCATGATAGAAGTCTGATCCTATGCCATGATATATTAGATTTTGTGATAGAGTCTAGCATTCAGATTGGGTCAAACAATATATGATGCCAGATTGTTTTGGATAGGTCTGATTAATAAATTCCTTGATTTCCTAGACTGCCTTCTTGAATTCTTCTCTGCATCTTACCTCATAGACCAGATTTGGTCTATTGAAAGAAGATTATAGATATAAACAACCTTTAATTTAAAGAACGTCAATAATGTCTTCTTTAACTTCTTCTGGGGCAGTTGCAGTCAAAGCGATGATGGGGATGTTGGGATACTCGTTTCTAACATTGCTCAATTTCAAGTAATCTGGTCTGAAGTCTCTTCCCCATTTACTCACACAATGTGCTTCATCGATTACAAATCTTTTGATCAGTTTTCGATTGAAGAGATCGCCCAAAATTTATTTAAATTATTCAGATTTCTCAATTTTTTCTAGTTTGAATTTAAATAATACCAGGAGTAGTATAAATTAACTTTATTTTTTAGTCCAGAATTTATTATGCAGTCAACAGTCTGTTTTAACCACTCATGTTCAGTGATGGAATACCAAGACTCGTGAGATATTGCACCTAATCAAATATCAGAGAAATCAACGGCATTACGACAATCGAAACGCCTAAATATCAGGTCAAATTGTACCATTTTCTACAAACGCAGGAATTTGAAATGTAATGCTTTTTCCGTATCCCGTGGGCATACAAACAAATACATCCTTCCCTGCCAAAACACAATTTATTATTGCCTTTTGATTTGCCTTAAATTATTCCTTACCAAATGCTCCCTTTAATGCTTCTAGTACTTTTGCATCCCAATCAAATTGAGTGATCGTCCAATAATGAACATCTGCAAATTAATAAGGTTTTTATTTCTTGGCGGCTTAAGTTATTACAATTTTTTTGCAGGATTTTTTTTGAGCAGGAAGTGTTTCAGGTAGTTAATTTTTTAGAATTAATTATTCCAACTGTGCTCTAGATATTTGAACTAATTCGTCCTCTTCTGAAAGTAATCTCTAAAAATCACCGTATTCCATTTTTACTTCAAATTATATTATTATATTATTAAAAAAGTTAGGAACAAATTTTCATAATTTTGAAATCACTAAACCCCAAAAGTATTTACACCGAATTTCTTAAACGCCCATTTCAAAGTTGAACTCCAAATATTAATAATTTTATTGATACTAATTTTAAATGCCAAATAGTTGTAATTTGATCTAAAATTGTAAGAGATCTTAAGTATAATATATAAAAATTGGTAGGATAATCAATAGCAGGAGATTTGATTTCTGATTCTAATTTTAATTCAATGATAGGTATAATTAATATAAATAAATATAAATACATTAGTCATTTTAGTTTAAGTAATCTCTGAATGGCTTCATTAGTCTTAGAGGTCTCTTGTATAATTTTTTAGGTAGTAGATTTATTGCTGGCATTGATATTGTTTTAAGAGTTTGTATTTCCTGCTTTTGCACTGTTTCCCTGGCTCTTATTTCTTTGTGAGGACTTGTGCATTTAAGCATTGCAAATATCAGATATGACATTGAGTGTGCTTCTCTGTTTTTTGGTATTGGCAAATCCTCCTTTGAGTAAGTATTGACTTGCTTAAATAATCTGAGATCTTTGAGTGATTGATTAGGCATGTGATTTTAAGAGTTGATTATATTTGATAAATAAGTCTTATTCTTAGGAATTGCGATGCTGGATCTGATTGTTGAGTTTGCCTGATTTGTGATGTTAAGACTGGGATTTGAAAGGAGCGGAGTGTCTCATGGAGTTTTGGGAGTGCAAATTAACACTGGAAGTGGGATACTCACTACTATAATCAACCTTCTTTAATCTGTGATCTGAATGACAAAACTAATAGATTTATGTCAGAGTACTTTTTGTCTTTGATTCTTCCATTGACTTCTCCTTCAGTGTGCATGATGGCTTTGGGAGGGTGTTCGACAGATTCTCTTAATTGTTCATTTTCTTTGATGAGTTAACGATAAGTCTCGTTGGATTTGCCCAGATCCTTTTTCAATAGATGCATTTGCTTATGCATTTATTCAATAGTCTCTTTGTGTTGTTTTTCCAAGTCTTCAATTTTTTGCTGCAGAGTTTCACTATACAACTTGAGTTGTTATTCGATCTTAGAATAAGTATGGAGAGTCTTACACTGATGTGTCCTCTGATTTCAGCTTCGTGCTTTTGGATGATTTGCTCTAATTTCTCATACTCCTCTTCAGGATGATAACTTCTATAGGAACTGTTATCATTGATATTCAGTTTGAGTTGCGTGATTTTTTTATCGACTTTCTTCATAAGGGTTTTGAAAACGTTGCCGATGATTTTCACAAGGCCTGCCAATGAATCGTAGTCTTTCAATTGGTGTTCGATCATCTTCAAATCATTTTATCCCTCAAGATAGCCTTCCAAACAGAACAACACCTTAAATGATGATTGATTTGGTTACATCTTCAAGCAAGGCCTTCAGAGGAGCCTCAATTAGGGATTCATTGATTTCACTCATTCAAAATATAAATTCAGTTATTTAATAAATGAATACAGAATCGAATGGAGCTTCTTTTGGTGATGTACCACAACCTGAATATTTTCAGAAATTTTTGGTCGGATAGAATCTAGTTGATTCTTCTACCTCATTCGCAAGACTCAATAGCAAGACAGTGACTGAGAGGAGTATTCGGGAATCATTTTGGGAAGAGCAGAATTATGAAGTCATCCTCCAATAGATGTTGGCTAGTAATATAAGATTGATGGATGAGATTGCCAAATGTTAAGTAACTGTGATCGAATTCATCAGCAGAACCTTGAAACCCAGGTTCAGTAGTTACAACGAAAGAATTCCGAACTCGCCACTTAAATTCAGCATTTGCAAGACACTAACGCCAAGCTACTACACGAACTAGACTCTTGTAAGAAGGACAAACAGACTCTTCAAGAAGAGATCAAGAAAATGGAAAGAGAGAATAAGAAACTCTACTTACCTGAATCTAAATTTAAATACAACAATTTGATGGATCTCAACAAAATCCTAATGAACAAGACTGAGTCCTCCTTTCAATTCTACAAGGACCATCTGCTTTCCTCCAAATTCACCAGTCCAAAAATACACAACTCTAATCCCTTTATCTACACCACCAGACCTCAAAGTCCTTCGACCAGTGTCAGATAGAGTACACCAACCAAATCCGAAATAAAGTCCCCATTCCTCGTGTTTAACAACACTGCCAATTCCTGGAGAGACTCTTAACAAAATCGAAATGCTGTTGAATTTAAGAAATTTCAAAAGACTATGGAACAATTAATGAGAAAACCCAAGAAAATCACTTGAATATATTGAATTCATGCATCACTCAATACATATTCTTAACTTATTTAACAAAATACAATGATAATCAAATAAAATCTTCATCTTCATCCTTCCAATCTTCCTATTACACCAAATAATCCATGTCTATTTTGAATCGTAAAAATCCTCCCAATCCACTAAAACCTTTCATAAATTGATTTCCTTCAACACTGTGATCTGTAATTAATTGGAAATCTAATCCATAATCCTTAAATTTCTCAGACAGATGCTCAACCAGATCCTCCTTTACTGAAATGACAAACTATTCCCCATTCTTCTCCTCAATTAAACTGCCTGGTTCATATCCCTCGTTTCCTTTCACGTATTTAATTGCTTTTTCTAAAAAATAACATGTGATATCATACATTCAGTCTATTTGCTCTAACATTCCAAACGTAAATACTAAAGAGTGTCTACACAGACTAAAGTTTTGATTGTCTATGACTCAACAGCTCTCATCGTGTCCTAAACACCATACACCACCAAACCTGTATCTTTATCGATGTTTTCAAAGAACTATCCTACCAGATTCTTTTCTCTGATATATTTGACTTCCAACAAGGACTCTTAACTCAATTAAACTGCTTGATTCAATCCCTATTCACCACCGTAATTGATGTCCACAATTGAAATAATCAATGGTTATAATCTCTTATCAAAGAATTGACTTCCAGCTAAGTCGTTTTTGAAATCAGCTGAACCTGCCAAGACCAAACCCTTCACATTGGGTCTGTCCTCAGCAATGAAACAGGTCGTGGCTGTTTCACATACCTTTCTTAAGTAATTATGTCTTTTTTCCATACGGAGACGTGCAAATCTGACTGAAGATTGACCTCCCTTGTTGTGCTTCTTTGGCAAATCAACGTCAAAGGATTTGATAATTTACTTGCTGTTTCCTTGGATTGTGGCAAACAAGGATCCATTACCATCCATGATGATGAATCCAAAGGGGGGATCAATGTTTAGCAGTGCCCTTAGTTCTTCCACGTGGAATTGGGGATCACAAAAATAGAGAGACAAATCCAAAGGTCTGTATGGTTCAATGACAACTGAAATTTTCTTCTCTCCTTTGCCATCTGCTTATTACACAATACCACAAAAAACCACTAATCCATTATTTGGAGCCTTATTGTATGGTCTTAGTCCTTGAATAGATAATGTATATACTTAGTATGGCTGCTTAAATAGCTTCTTGCACAGATATTCTGTTTCCTTTGTCCTTAATGGATGCTGCTTCTGCATATTAGGTATTGAGTCTATTCGTGATATCTGAAATGATTCTTTTTGGAGGAATATACACAGACACAACACTTGTGCCAGCAGTTCTTTCTTGACTCAAAGTTTTGATGAGTTTCTTAAGTCTGAATTGTTCAAGTGCTATTTCAGCATCGCTAAGTTTCTAATCCATAATTAAATAAATTATTCAAATAAATTATACTCAGATATTCCAATTTAATTATGACAATATTTAATTATATTATTAATATGAATAACAATTCATTCTCCACCAACTGCTTACTCAATAAACCATAAACTTGATACAAATGCTATGGCAACCAAAAAGATTATGTACTTTTCCCATTTGTACTGTGAAATTGAAAACTCCTCTGTCAATGTCTCCATGGTTGAAATGTAAATAAATGTCCCAACTGAGATCGATACAAATATCCCAGTGTACAATGGCCCTTTGTCTGCCATGATCCATCCAATTCCTATCCCAACCGGATTCATTATAGCCTGAATCATTATCATGTAGGTTGATGTCGTCTTATTTACCCCTGCTTTCCTAAACGCAAGACCCAACGTCATCCCTTCAGCCTATAATATAATTTCACATTTCTAATTACCCATTTGTGACAACAAACCACCACGGCTATCCCTATACACAAAGAGACCTCCTCCTGAATGCCTATTGACAATCCCTCAAAAACCGCATGGATACCCACAGCTATTTATAAGATGTAAGGAGCCCATGTATTGACATCCTAATAAACTATTGAATTTTTAGGATCTTGTGCTATTGATTTTCTCACCATTTGTACGAATGAGGCTTTCTTTGCTACAATTAACTAACAAAATTGACAATTTTAATACCTAAGTGTTGAGAGCATCCTTGAATGTTTCCTCAGTATCCTTTTTGTTGCTAACAAAGCTTCTGCATCCACACTCCCATTCACAAATAGTTGATTTTAATCTTATATCTAAGTATTTTTAGAATTGCTCCCGTGATGATGGAGGTCCTCATCGTGTCCGTGATCGTGATGATGATCTGTTATTATTTTTTCAATAAAAAGGATCAGAGCAAAACTAGCTATAGATATTGCATATGCAAATGGAAAATGCTCCTCATCGTCATCAAAAGATTATTCAAAGTTCTCTGCTGCCTCTGGTAACAAATGAACCAAACCTACTGCCAGAAATAGACCCCCAGAAAATGCCCCCATGTATGCCAAAAGTTTCTATCCGTTCATGATTTACTTGTACCTTATTTGACTTGAATGCTTTGAGTCTTATTGGGAGACTACCCACAATAAGAATTAACATAAAAAAGGTGATCATGCATCCCACTTTGGTGATTGCAAGAACAACTTGATTCGAATCGTCATCACTCATTGATTTAATTAAATGCCAACATTATACTATATTTATGATTCTTATAATAACTCTTCATTAAACTATGAATCACTTTCTATATCCAATCTATGAACCAACAAATTACCCCCCCCCCATATATTCTACTCATTCAAATAATATTACTATACTCAAACACTTTTGTTGATTCCTAATATTATCATAGATAGAAGTGTTGAATTGAAATTGCATATCTATATATTGGATCTAAATAGAACTATTAGTAAACTGGAGATTTCAAAATCACAACAAAATGGTATAATTATGCATTAATAGTTTATCAACATATAAAAGTCAAAATAAATTCTGTATTTAAATGAAAAGTTATTCTCTCACATCTAAATTCAGATTTTCTGTTGACTTTAATTATCATACAATATAGTCAGTATCTGATTATGCTAAAAGTAGGATTGATAGAAGTACTTTACTAAGATTATGCTAAATTATACACTCAAATTTCTCAGATATGCTATATTATTTTACACATATTCTAAAAATATGAATTGTAATAATTTGCTAATGAAAGAAGACTCAAAAAGACTCAAAAACCTTCAGATTTTCAAGATAGAGAGAGGGGATTTTATATAAGTGATGGATTTACATATAATTATTTATATACAGTGATCAAGTTTAAATCTAATATTAGTGTATTTTGTGTATGCTTATAACAATAAATGCACTAATCCTTGGTTGCTATATGAAATGCAAGAATAATTCAGAATAAGAATAAAAAATTGCAGAAAATTGATATTTCAAGAGAAGCAAGGAACAATTTCAAAAAGAGACTTGTGAAGGATTAGAAAATTATAATTTGATTCCTTCATAAATATCAAAATATAAGGCTAAAATTTTTGAATCCTTTTTAAATAATGACTATTTAGTTAAGCTAAGTAGTATGATGAATCATTCAGGATATTCTATAAAATGGAAAAAGTAATAAGGAGATGGATAAACCTTAAAATTAAGTGAATTTTAATTATAATGAATATTGTATATTTATAAATATATATTAATTATATAGAAAGAAATACTGTCACTCTTCAATTTTTACTTTCTATTTTAATTTACTTCTTTCTAAATAATAGACAGGGTTGAGATGAAACTATTTAAAGCATTTAATTGTACAAAGCGTTACATTTATTTTATAGTATTTATGACAGCTTTCACAAATAAAACTTGATTTGTGGACTTTTTGATTATTCTATTTTTAACACACTTTACATCTATTATAACAATTGTACACATACTTCTAGGAATGCAGACCTCTCATAGGGAAATGCAGATTCTTTTCATCCTTGAAAGGAGCTAAATGTGTTGAAATCACTTATTTAATTAATTTTGTTGCTTTAATTTTTTTTGTGTATTTTTTAGGGTATTAATTTTGTTAGATTAGTTGGAGATTAAAGATCATGGTATCAGTCTCTTAATAGGTAAATTTAGGCAAATTTACAAGTAATCTAGCTAAATAATAGATAGAATTTGGTATATCATGTATTAATGTAACATCTTTTATTAAAGAATATATGTTATACATTTTTACATATTACTCGTTCTAATCTAATTACTTAGCAAATTTCTCGTGGATCTCATCTACTTTTTTTAATTAATTTAAAGTGAATTTCTCATAGTCTTCTAGTTTTTCATTATCCTACTAATATTTAAGGATCACATGTTAATTGGAATGTTTAATCGTCAAATAACCATTCGACGAATTGGCTTAATCTGTATTCTTTATCCAGATGAAAGCCTTACAGCTGGGATGAGGTAATTCTAACAATCGAAGTGCATGCTGAATTGTTTCTTTTTGTTCTCCCAAGAAATCTGGACCATAATTTTTAAAATGCAAGCAAACGAAAATCCTATTAACAAGAATTTCAAGAAGAAAGAGCTTAATAGCATCATAGTACCCATTTTCTTTGGATTTAAGTTAATCTACATCAAATTGTTGTTGTTTAATAAGAGTGGAAGAGTTGGAATTGTAAGCATAAAGGAATATTGAGTTAATTTCTGATATAAGTCTTTAGAAAACTATTATTGTAACAAAATTGTTATCCTCTGACTCATATTTATTAGACAATTGTATTTTTGATTAATAGGCTAATTTTACATATAATGCAGCCTCGACGGTGTCCATAATATAAGCAACATCAGCAGATGAACTCATCTATTTATCTTTAATATTTTTTAATCAAATTTCACTCAGTGTTAATTTAAATAACTAAAATCAAATATTCATACATCCCCCGAGAAATATGTTTTTTCAATTCAGCCCTTAAATTTTTGGGCCATACTATTTATGAAGCAAAATAGAACGTGTATAATTTACTGTAATATTAAATCATATTCAATGAATTGCATTTTATTAGAATGATTTTTGTGCTGTGATAATAATTTGATTAATATTCTCTAATCAGCAAATCTTTGATTTATTTCCTAGAATTCATAATCTAAATAAATTATATCCTTTCTAATAATTCCAGTGTTATAGGTCTCACTTATTTGAAGTAACCAAACACATTAGATTCAGAAGATCCAATTTCAATTAATCATACATTTGTATTCCCTCAAAAGCTTACTACTTTCTTTATGGATATACTATTTTATCTTAAAAACTAAAATATAACAATTTTCCCATTTTCCATAAAAAAGCTTCTACTACTTTCTTTTCAAGTATTTTTACATATATTTTATATTTTTATTTTCATATTTATATACATAAGCATACTAAATAATTCATTTATTTTTTGTTTTTAAATAAAATTTATAAACTTGAAATAAGAATTTCTTTACATCAGACACACACTTTTATATATATTATTTTTAATAATTCTATTTCCTATGCAACATAATTAACCTGCATATTATGTTACTGTTATAAAACTCAATAATAACAAGTAATGTGTGAATGTAGTTTTAAAATTATTTAGAGACTGATCCACCTAGAAGTCTAATTAGAATGTTGATTCTTGTGTAAGTCAACATTCTAATTATTATACAATCATACTCTAGTTAGTTATCTATTAAATTAATTAAAAAACTTTGATATATTATATTAAGAAAGTATGTAAAATGAGATAGATTAAATACACAGTCCCTTACTAAAAAATGATAGAGAATCAGAACAGAGAGCGTAAATGATAGAGATGCAAGTCTTTAGGAGTTTGAATTAGAATGATTTAGAGAAACATTAGAAAAAAGATGAAATATTAGAAATTGAATCAAATAAATTATAATAGATATTGGAAGCAAAAAGTTAATGGAAAACACTCCTAAAAGGATGGAAGAAAGATGGAAATAAATAATAGTAAAATGATGATAATTATTTTGGATTTTAATATAATAAATTATTAGAAATCTTTGATCTGAATTAAATAATTAAAGAGGCTCAAAGCTCTTTATAAAAACATGATCAAGAGAAGGACTTGATAGAGAAAAGATTGAAAATTTAGATTGAAAAATTAAATTAATTGGGAGGTATTTATGGTCTACAGAACTTTTTGAAAACTTGTATAAAGCAGGGTTTGGATGATACGAATGATTACGATTTGAAAATGAGAGAGAAATATTTTGGTAAGAATGAGAAACCTCAAATAGCAATAAAAAGTGTACTACAAATAATAATTGAATAATTTCAAAAGGAAAGGTTGTTTTAATTATTATTGATAATAACAACTATTAACTTAATAATCTATTTCCATGAGAATGTGTAGATTTACTCATTGTACATAATAATGCTAATAATAATGGTAGTGTATAAAGGAGTGATAAAATAACAGTATAATAAGGAGATAGTGTAGCATTAAAACGACATCAAGGAGAGGAGTAAACATTTAATAAAGAGATGTAATGTATTAAGAAATGGAGATGACTCAATTTAGATTCATAATAGTTAATTGGTGGTTGGAGACATATTGATTTTCAAGCAAGGAGATTTCATATAATGTGATGGTATAATCACTAAGCTATCAAATTGCAATGGAATCGAAGTATTGCAACCATTCCCTAATCTTTTTAACACTCACGAGGTTAAAAACGTAGATGAAGTAAAAGATTTACAAGTTATGCATGATGAATAGATGCAGCCTAATATATGTCTGATTGATAATTTCATTTTTGCTGGTTCTCAAATAATAAAGGGGTCTCTGGACAATTGCTAGTGTGTAGTGTTGGGTAGAAATCATCTGATTACATATAGTACAAGTAGTCCTTTTTGGAGGACACAAAAACAGAAAAATAAAGAACAACTTATTTGAAATAGAATTCTATGTATAATCCTTTTGCTTTTAAAATTGAATCACTCATGAATAAAATTGGAATACAATGCATAATCAGTCTACTTATTTTACTGATAATATTGCTATTCAGGAATACTTATTTAATTAATATTACTCAAATTCTTTTGTATTTGTCATAGCTATCAATAATTACTATACCATCTTAACTACTCCAATTGATAAACTTGTTTATGATCTATGTAATAAAGAAATGCAGACAAAGAAGTATTTATATCTAGGACTATTTATCGTTGTATTGGTTGGGGTAAGTTAATGAAATAATTATTGATAAAATAGATAACAAAGTTTCAATGTTCAATAAATCATAAATAAATATTAGATATTTCACCCAATCGCAATTAGAGGATGCATAAAAAATAGCAATTCAAACAGATCTTGTGAAAGAGGATGAAGTAAATGATAGGTATATCGAAGGTAATTTGTTAAGCAGTAGTTTCGAATAGAAAAACAAATTTATGTTTCTGAGTAGAAGACTTGTTTGCCCAACTTTGGATCATTTAAAATTAGAAAGGATTTAGTCAAGTAAGACATTGGAGTGGCTAGAATAACAGAAATAGAAATTCTAGTTTTAAGGAATTGTTGATTAATAAAAGCTGTATGAGGAGATTAAAAATAAGAACATTATCATTGGAGGAAATGCTGATAGAAAAGAACAATTGATAAATTTACTTAAACTCTATGACAAAATTATATTCATAAAGGGAGAAGAAAATGATGGCAAAGCTATGGAAATGGCCCATGTTAGTATTGGACCTCATGAGTCTAGATCATGCATCAAACTGTTCAATCATCTAGAGTAAAGCGATCATAGTTACATATCATCCATGTATGAATGCATCAGTTAAGGGAGGGCAGTTTATTTTTATATTCTGTCATATTCTTATGCTTTGGCTTGCACTTCATAAACCATCATGATCTTTGCAATCTCTTCAGCCATTTTATCTGATGATATTTTTATTATGCCTATTCCAACTTTCATCATTTTCTATCTCACTTTGAATCATTTTTCACATTAGATTTAAAAACAATGCAATTAGGATGTCTAGACCTACGTAATGCATCGAAGTCCCTATACGAAGTAGGGTAGAATTATTGATAGACATACAATGAGGAAACTATACAAATTGCATTCCATTTTAATTGTTGAGTTACTTATCGCTTCTTACTATGGCTTTTTTCAATCTGTTTAGGATATCTACATTGGATTATTATTTAGCAAACATGTCTTTATTATGGTTAGACCTATTAAATAAGTGTTACAATAAATTGAAGGCATTATATATGGATTATTAATCAATCTAATCAATTAATTCATAACTTATTCAAATTAAGATTATCAAAGCATCTCAATACTCTTAAGAAACTATTCAATTGGTTTAATTGTTGTAGCATTTAATTTATTTGTTGGTTATAGATGATCGCAATATATCATTTTAATAATAATTAATAAATTTGATATCTGTTTAATGATTTTTACATTTAAATCATTTTTATTCTTGCTATTATTCATTTTCAAGTTATTGATTTTAATCGGCTCCTTCCTCTTAATCCTCTATTTCTTCCTAATTATCATTGTCTTCCTCATATTCCTCATCTTGCTCATCTACCTATTAAGTATTTTTGAGTTTCTGCATCCTCGATAATTTATCCAAAAAATCAACATTGATACCAAACTCAGGTAGACTCTTTTTACATAGGTTTTTTATTGATTCCAATTATTTTACAATCTTTTGATTCTCCTCACTTATCAAATCTCTCTCTACTTATTATTATTATAATAACTCCTTATACTAATTCATTAGTTTCTCTTTCTAGGCAATTTCCTTTGAGCAAAACTCCTCTGTTTGGATCATGTCTTTCAGTAATGTTTCTTTTTCTACGAGTTTAGCTTTTTTATCATTCAACTCTTTCCATGCTTATCTATTGATTATATAGATTCTTACTGCATTTATGTCTCCATTTATTTCTTGATATCAGCAATCTAGAAAGTAGTATTTCCACTTGAATAATAATTTTTTAAGGAATCCTCATTATTTTCAATTTCCTTTTCAAAGTCTTTTAATTTCTTTTCATATTGGATTTCAAGAGAACCGATTTAAGTACTCCACTTTTCTTCTTGTTTGGCTAGAAATTGCTTTTTGGTTTCAATAATTGATTCCAATTCACAAAGTTCTTGCTTTAATTCCTATGAGGCATTGGAGTGGTCTGAAATGCCACCGATGATAGATTAGGTCGATTTAATCTGTTTCATCTCTTTTTTAATAAATGCTTTACATGAATAGGGAATGATGTCTGTTCTGTGTTATTTCAATTTTTAATGTACTTTCTATTCACATGAGTAACACATCTTTTCATTACAATCTATACACTGGATTGTAGCTGGATTTATTTGGCATTTTGGACATATCCTTAGAATATTAGACATTATTATTTAATTAAAATAAAATTTAGAATTAAGTTGAATGACTAATATCAAATTTTATAATTTAGAAACAATTTATTATACAAAATAGAAATCAGGGGTTCATTCTTCATCTTTTGTTTTTTGTAATCTTTCTCTTGAATAACAAAACGTATGGTTCCTTCTCAAAAATTGCATAGTGCAACCATCCTCGACTCTACTACACTTTCAGCTTTCTCCATTCTTTCTCTTTGAGAAGTCTTTCTAGAAAATAATAAGGAAAAATTACATTCCCACTTGTAATCTTGCATGAGTTTGACCGATTCCTTGCCCAATCTGATAATGCGATATACGTGAGTGTCATCTTCATAATCTTAGGATATCTAATTTGTGAGTGGATAATTATCTTTTTATTTGTTCTCAAAGACATTCAACACCTTTTCTTGTGAATTTTTTTCCATTTTTTAAATTATTTAATTACCATAATGTTAAATTCTACATGACAAATTGATTTTCTGATCAGACTTAATGTATTTCTGTTGATATTAAGGATCATAAGACTAAGAATGCATTTATAGTAAGAACTAAGATAATTTATCTATTGGATTGGAGAGTATTTACAATTGATGACATTATTGTGGAGGGAGAGTAGAATATATTGAATTGAGCAGAGAGAGAGTAAAAATATTGAAAAATTTAGTAATTACATATATAAAAATAATTATGCAAAATAAAGAAGTTTTACAAAGAGTTTTTGACTTCTATTGCAAACAATAATATATTTAGGGATAGTTCGCCAGCTTTGAAAGATAATAATATGAGGCATCTATTTTTACTATTGGTAAGTGGATGCATTTCTGTAGAGATTTTTAAGTGAAAATAAATAGTTCAAGGTTACTAGAGCTATTCAAAAAGTAAGCCAAAAATTCGAAGGAACTTGATTTTGATTAGTTTATTTAATTGTTAAATGTCTTAGCAGTTGAGGAAGGACATGATTGTGGATAATACTAAGCAAATTTAGGATTAGACAACTGGAAGGTTTGTGTTTCAAAAATGAAAACCTTCCAAAGGCCCTTTTAAATGAAAGAGTAATCTGAAAGGATTAAAGATATCAAATATCAATTTAAAATATATCACCCAGAAGTCAAAAATGATGAATAAATCAAATAAATTTTATTATAAAGAAAACAATAAAATGAATAATTAAAGCTCATAGAAAGAAAAAAGAAAGCCTTTTATAAGTTGTAATTTGAATTAAAGCATTATACTAAATCTTAACTTTTAATAAAATACCCAACCTTAAAGGAACTTATTGAAAAACTACCAGATCCTTCCAAGACTAAGACTCTTTCAAGTTAAACCAAGGAACATGATTAAAGTGTGAACATATCCCAATAAATGTAATCTGCTCTTACATGGGAAAATCTCAATCATTTCCCACTGGCAACAGACTTTATTAATGATTTAATGGAATAAGAAGGGGAGGATGACGATTAATATTTGAAGGAATATTAGGAGTAGAGAGGACTTGAGAATTCTCAAAAAATAGCTATTTCAAAAAATAGATAACCTAGTAATTTGGATTATCGCAATGAGAGATAACAAAGGTCTGTCTCAGATCATAAATAAATTATCAAGGGTTAACGTTATGATGAACAACTGCACTCAATGGAAAGACAATACGATTAAAATAAGATGTCCAAGCTGAAAACGACAAGCAATACTTCAGAGGGCAATAATTACACATCCTTACAATACATTGATTCTAGTTTAATCAGATAACAAATACTAAAACAATAAAGATAGCAATTGCAGAATCACAACTATTCAGTTGAATTGCCAAGGTAGAACTTATCATAAGGATATCCAGAAATTCTTATTGTGAAAGAGAAGCCTACTACAAGCAAATTGAATATTTCAATGTTAAAGAGAGTGCAATAGCTCTCTGGATTGGAAGCCATTAAGGAGTAGAACTTGCTCAACAAGATTATTTCTTAGTAGAGAGAGAAAACCAAAATTGCCTAGAAATGACTCTAGTAACTTATTTATATATTTTCCATTTTGTTTTATATAATATTATAATAAATCATCATTTGAGAATGATGTTTAACTTCTAATTCTTAAATTCATAATCTGAAAATACTGCCATTATTTTGAGCGTATCTGCAATTGAACACATTGATAGCTGAAGACTATTTACATGGATTTTGATGTCTATAGATATTAATTATTTTTGGATTACCTTTGATTTTGGCAAACATTTTGATTAATTCCGAGATTTCCGTAGGATCTTAGACTCCTGTGATTATGAGATTAGGTGAGAGTGGCATAATTTTCTATGTACAGTTTTCATTGTAGTAAATCATATATTCATCTTGTAAGGAAGTTGGCTATAAAGGTTGTAAGGGTTCAAAGTAGATACGCAACTAGACGATAGATAAGGGATTGTTACTATTGAATCAAAGAATTGAGTGTTATTGAGATATTCTTTAGCTATGGTTGCTTAATTAAAGGTCTAGAATTTGACGTAAGCCTTCTACTATTGTTTCTAGTAGAGAATCTCTTCAATGTTACCAAATTTAGAAAACACATTGTAAATCATCTTAGCAGTTACTTTAGAATCTACTGATGCGATTCTGAGTAGTTTAGATTGCTTCTATCTTAGTAGTGTTTGTATTTCTGGATGCATATCAGTTAAATTAAGTTGAATCTCCTATTTCCAAATATCAAAATCATCATCATCATAATCAAGCAATCGATTGATATCCTCATTTCTGACTGGACTTGAGTTGGCCCTGGAAGATGAACTTTGACTAATATGATTGGTTAAGTTGACTCGGATGTTGTCGTCTGTTTTAGAATGAAGAATAGAATCTGAATTTTGACTATTGCTGCTAGCTTAGGTATAATCCGTTCCTCTTGAATTATCCACGATTTCGAGATTAAGATTTTTAAGTCGAGAGTAATGGATTATCATTCTATATACAAATTAAATTAATACTTGCCTCCTTGGATGTTCAACCCATTCAATTGCTTTCTGGCTGAGATGGCACTCTTTAAATTGTGATATTCCACAAAAGCCTTGTTTGTCTTTCCTCTTTCGAAAATCAGTATTTTCTTAATGTCTCCAAACTCATTAAACTTCTTGTGCAAGAACTCATTCGTCAAGGGAAAGGATGGGGGTAATTAAGTTAGAATGAGTAGAAGAATTTAACTTGGAGGATCTCTGGAATTATTATACATTAAAATTTAATTAAAAATAAACCATAGGAATTTCTAAAGTATGCCAAAATCTTATTATAAGAATGAGCAGTTAAATCTTAACCCTCCTATTCTCCAATTCTTTTTTTATTAATAAACTTATTTAATTTCCAATGACGTAATTATTAAATTTGCTTATATTTCTAAAATATTAATTATCACATTTCCAATATCAAATAACTTTCAACCTCATTATTTAGTGGTTACAAAAACTGTCATCTGTAAAGCACCTCTCAAAACTCATAATCATTCTTGATCTAGAAATTCGAATTAGCTCCATTGATTCAATTGGACATTCGTATAATTTAGCTAATAAATGTGTATGATTTCACTAAGAATAAGCTAAGGTCTAATAATGTATAACGATAGTATTATAAAATAATATAATATTCGTAATCCGTATATAGATATTGTTTCATTCAACTTTATAGTTTGTAAGCATGCCATCGACAAATTCAGCGCAAGATTTAGCATTGTCAACCAAACTTACATTATTAGATTTAAGATATTCATAAGTCTCAGTCCAAATCTTCAATTACACTTCTATCTAGCATTATCTCTACAATAAATCGGCCTTCTCCTCTTCCTTCGCATTCTTTTATTTTAACTTTTCCAATTGCTTAGCATATGATGCAGTACTTATCAATCTAATTTCATTGCTTAGACAGAACATGAGTAAAGTGAAATATTGGTCATCCTTCAAATTGGATGGTTTATGACTACCTAAGAATTTCTCATCAATCTATAATTTTTATAAAGCATATGGTTTATATCTGACAGCTCCATTCTTTCTGATTAATTTGCTGGCTTTGTTCATCATCTCAACGATATTATCCATATAATAAGGTATCAGAAACTTTTAATATAATCCCATACCAACACCACCTAAGAGACCACCGAAAAAGGCACCCCAAAATGCAATTGGAAATAGAATGCTACCAGCAACAGTCATTCCAACACCTATGGTAATGATAAGACCCAAATGGCCAAGATTTTTGGCTGTTTGAGAATCATTAATGACTTTATTGGCCAATATGGATTTAACAGCCAAGGCCAAGATTACTTATTAAATGATAATACCTACAATTGGTAATCTGGAAGCAAGAATACCAAGGACACCAAAAGAAAGAGCTGTAAATCCAGCATTTTTCAATTTATCATCCCAAGGAATATCCTCATCGAGACAATCAACAATAAGAACACCAATACCCATGCCAAGTGCTTTTCCACCTATGACTCTGTTAGATGTTCCATATCTAATTGGTTTTTTTGGTGCACTGATTTTCTTGAATTTAAAGACAGCGTTTTTGAATCCAGATACATCATCAGCAGTTCTATCAATAGATTTTTCACTGGCAACACGCTTTCTGAATTCAGGATGTCCACAATGAAGGTAATCAAATTGTTCGTTTAGAAATTTAACTAAAAGAATGTTTTATTCTTTTTCCTCATCGAAGGATTCCCAACCCTGTTCGTATTTGTGAAACATCAAATAATGATAAGAGAGACTCAAAATAAATTATTGAACTTTATTATTTTTCTCATCTTTGACAACAATTTTTAATCCTTTTAAATCATTTTTTTACACTTTTTATGATTTAATTACTTTGATCTCATGACATAATATCATAAGGGGAATATCATCTGCATCTTAAATGACTTAAATATTTTGAGGGAGAGGTTTAATGATATTAAATTAGGCATTGTTGATCAATTCATCAAAGTTCTTGTGTTGTTTGCCTGTGAATAATTGTTTACACTCATCCATTACGTAATAAAAATGTTTAATTGCCTATTTAACAATTACAGAATGTTTCTCCTGATTCACTTGAAATGATTGCCCTATCAAAGTGAATTCACCATAATTGATGATGTTCTGTGATATTTCTTTCTACATGTATTTGTAATTTTCCTGATTTGCTAGACTCCCATAGATTTTCAATAGTTTATCGAGTTATTGCATTTTATAATTGGCATGACAGGCAACATCAATCAGATAGTTGAAGAAGTCAGTAACCAAATCAATAAACAACTTTTGGAGATTGTTCAAAAATTCATTCGTAAGTTATGTATCGAGATAGGCAAACTCAAATAGATCATATGCAACCCTCTTTAATTGAGATTCCAAAATTTCATTCAACAAGGCATTCAATTGTGCACTATTTAAATAATCATCACACAATTCAGAGATCAGCGTATCACACAATCTAATAGATGATAAACATTTATTACTCAAATGCATTTTCCTAAAAAGTCTTATAATACCCTTTTAATTAAACCTTGATTTCTGGGAGTCGTTATACAAAAAATGCAGGCTCCTTCCATTCTTCGACACTTCTATCGATGAACTCATACACAATATCCTATTTTTAGATTGAAAAATACCTCAATAAATTTAGGAGTGACATTCCACCCAATAAACATATACTTTCGAAGTATTTTAATACACTCATTCATTAGATTGATTGTTCGTCGGTTAACTCCATCAATCAGGTCCTGGTTTAAGAAATAGTCTTCTATTTATAAAAACTGTTATTCGTTAGAAATTTAACTTAGAGCCTCTTTGAGATATCGGCAATCTAAGGTTATAGGAACTAAGATTTGTGTTTTCAGTGCATTAATGAGAGAATCGTGATAAATCTAATTCATCAATTAATAATATATATTTCACTTATTTAATTAACTCATTATTAAATTGGCTTCGTCTCTCTCCGGCCCATTGAAATCATAAAGCCTTTTCGCCATCTGCATCGCCCTTTCATTCTCTCCCCTTCTCAAAAACGCCCTTGCCAAATATAGTAATGACTCCGATAATTCCTTGTCCACTATTTACTCCTCATCTTTTCTCTTCAAACTCTCCTCAAATGCAGACAACGCCTTATCAGTTTTACCCTAAATCCATAGAACACTAAATTATTTACCACTGCATCATACAGTTTCGCCAACTAATGGATAGCAATTCCTTCTTTATCTTTACATTGGTTTGCCCTTTCATAACATTTCATCGATTCATTTTTCTTATCCATCTTATCGTAACACTCTGCCATTGCATTCCACATTCTCGCATCTTTCGGCCTGCTGATAACTGCCCTACTAAAGTAATACAGAGCATATTGATTCATCCCTTGTAATGCATAGGTCTATCCCAAACCATACCAAGCTCTAAAGTCCTTTGGATCTATTTCTACAGCATTTCTATAGGACTGTATCGCAGATGCCACATTCTTCATTTCTAAATACTCATGACCCATCAGAGTCCAAGCTGCCAAACAATCCTTATCTAGTTTTAGAGCCCTTTGGAAATAGTTTATCGCTTTTGCATGTTCATTCATAAGAGAATAATAATTTCCAACTACACAGCAAGTTTCTGGTACATACTTATTATTGGTAAATGATTATAATGCTAAGTTTGCTAGTTCCCCTTAATTTTCCTTTATATACAAAATATTTGAATATGTATCCAAACTCTCAAATCTGTAAGGATCAATACTCAGCAATCTTTCAAACCACTCCAGTGATAATTCAAATTCTTAGTTGTTATAATAGGCATTAGCAATTTGATTTATGATAAAATTAGAATTCCTAAAGTAATATAGTAATGTCTAGAATTATTCAACACAATTGGCATTCTTAAACTTCTCCAAATTAAAATTAGAACTCCAAAATAATTTCATCCAATGATTTGGTAATTCCTCCAAAGTATCTTCTTCTGTTAGCAATTTACACAACTCCAACCAAACACTCCAAAAACAAGGCATTTGATGTAAAACCTAGATGAATACTTCTCTCGCTTCTCTTAGTCTCATTGTATCTTTTAAAATCAATCCATAGAGATAGAGATTTAATTAATTTAATTACTTTTGATTGTACAATTTTGATAATTCTCTTTCCAATAATTTAAGCTCTGGATTCGTGGCTGTTTTTGAGTTCTCATTCTCAAATATCTCCTCTTCCTTTCTCAACTCTCCATACATGTATTATGAATAATAATAGAGGAACATTGCTGATTCATTTTTATGGATTAGATTTTATAATAATGATGCACATTTCTTGAACTCTCTTAAATCAAATAGATTTCTAGCTACTAAAATGATATCATTGTATTCAGGAACAAATTCTCTTATGAATTGATAATTGTAATCTGTATTGCTTTGGATAAAATGCATTGCAAATTATGATTATTATAAATCTTCTTCTTGTGTCAATCCTAATAATAACTCTCCTGTCCATTTGCTAGAATGATAGAGTTTGTTTTCTTGGAAGAATCTAGTATAATATTGCAACTCTTTTTGAATTTCTTGCAATTTAGGCATTAATTCCATTTTTCAAATTTCAAAATTATTACTAATTAAAACATAATGATAATTGGAGCAATTAAAGTGAAGGATGGTCTCTTCATAGGAGATGAATTAGCCTCTAAAGTAAGATATAGTCTTAACTTATAAAGGACCTTGAATTCGTGATACAGAACAAAGTAACTAGAATTGTTAATTGCGCAGCTAAACAACTACCTTGTGTATTTGCAAACTATGGTGTTACCTATCTGAAATTTAACTGGGTAGAGAATGAACAAGTACATCCTATATATCATGAATAAGTAAATACTATTTCCAAATGATACTGTTAATGAAATCTATCAATTTATAGAATAAGCACATAGTAATGGAGAATCTGTTTTGGTTCATTCAGTCAGAGGACAATCTCGTTCATGTTGTGCACTTGCAGCCTACTTTATGAGAAAATATAAGTGGAAACTTTATAAGACCTTGGAGTTTCTCAATTCGAGAAGACCAGATCTTGAAATTAGAGCCAGTTTCTATCATCAGTTAACTCAATTGGAGTCCAAACTAAGTAAGAAGGGAGAAGGAGGTCTATCAAGTTCATGGCAACCACATGAGGAATAAGATTTACCCCTTGAGGAAGATGAAAATCTTCTCAGGAATACGTTTATGAATGCCAAATCCAGTCCAGCTGATTCATGTTGGTTAGATAGAAGACTATTCAATTAATATCTAAACGAAAACAGAGTCAGAACCATCACTTGGGCTGATGAAACCTTAGCTAAAAAGTCCTAAAAAAAGATCAAATAGACTAATCCCAAGAATGCTGTTAAATTGAATAGTTAAAATAATATAAGTGGGAATATCTACCACGTGACAGTTAATAATTATGTAACTCTGAAAGAAGAATTAGAAAAATACAATTCCAGTATGAATTCCAGAGAAAATAATAATACACTTATCAAACCAAATAGTGGAACTATCAAAAGATAGTAAAATGATAGTCTCAAAAAGCATTAAGAATAGAAACTTAAATAAACTGGGAAATCTCAATCCTTAAAGTAATAAAAAAGGGACCCAACAGACAGACCTAGATCTGCCTATGTGTACCAATATTAATTATTCTAGATAGCCTGAAATGCAACCCCCTGTTAATATTCCAAAACCAGCACCCTTTCCTTATCGCCAATTTTCTCCTGTTGTGAAAGGTAGTTAGATTTAATTACTTAAATTTAGGAAACAATGTTCCTAAAGTAACCTAATTGATTCCAACGAATAAAAACAAAGGGTGGAGATATCCATCACCTGGGTAATTGAAGAACGATGAGGATTTCATACAATCTTTTATCAACAGCAAACCTGTATGGAAATGAACAAATTAATACTACATTTTATATTTATTTTTAGTATTAATCCCTTTATATATGCTAAGATTTTAATATAAGCAATCAAAGGTTTTCTTCCAAATGTTCAGATTTATCTATCCTTCTTATTAATTCTTTCTCTGATGTTTAATTTAATTGTCTCTTCATTCTATTTAACTGCTCCAACTGATCATCATTTTCTCTTCTCATTATATTTAGCTGCTCGCTTTTTGCCTACAACAATGTTTAAGCATCTGACAACTCAAAATTCAGTCTTTATATTTCTTTTGTCAACTTCGCCACATCCTCATTGTCTCCTCTTCTTTTATTCAATTATTCAAAAGTTTATTCGAACTCTTATTCTTTCAACTCTAGATCACTCTTCAACTTTTCAACTTATCTTCTCAATGATTATTTCTCACTATTTGATTTTAGCTAACTGCTCTCTAATTCATGAATCTCATTCAATAAATTGATGTTTTTCTATTTCAATTATTCATAGTCTTCAACATGTACATAATTCTAATCAATTTATCTTCTAAGAGAATCATACAATACTTCTTTATCTTAGAGTTGAATTTCTAAATTCGAAAATTATTATTATATTTGATTCAATTTTGACTCTTTTTAATCGAGCTTTTATTATAATATTTCAATCTCATTATTCAAAACAGCCTAAATTATCTATTTAAATATATACCTTTTCATTTTCAACTTAGAATTCCCAATCTTATCTCTAGTTTTCTCCTTCAGCATAATTTTGGATCTTTTAATTCAATTATTCAATTTCCTCAGTTAACTCATTTTTAACTTCAACTAATTTTTCTTTTTGATTTTCTAAACTCTTAATTAAAGAATCCTTCTCTTGAAGCAATTACTCAATTTATTTATTAGATTCCTTATGTTCCTCTTAATATTTAATAAATTAATCTTCATTCGATTACAACTACAAATTTAGATTAGCGATTTGATCTAATAGTTTTTACTCTCTCTTTCTTGATTCCTCGATTTTCTTTTAAGATTCTAACATAGCATGATCAAGCGATTTTTAGGCTTTGTCAATTTAGTTATTTTGATTGTGAATTTCAATTTCGTATTAGTTAATTGCTTACTTATACTATGATATTCTTGTTTCTTAAAAGCCAAATTTTTAGTTAAATTGGCTTCTTTCAAGATCTCTTTGTTGAGTTGATTCTTCTAATTCCTTCAAATAAATATCAGCACTTTATTTTAATTCTACTACTTGGAATTCTGCTTAGGTCAATCTTTCCTTATTTGATTTTAATAAAGATTCAAACTTCTATTTTTCTGAATTAAATTAGCTGATCTACCAGTCTTTTTATTTAATTTGTTCTTAATAATTTTAGATCTATTGAGAGGAACTAAATTCCAATTCAATTTTTGCAGTTTCCAATTCCTTTGCTCTCTATTTTTATTACTTTAATTATTGTTCCATTAATTATTTTTCTTATTGTAACTTGACATTTTATTCCTTTAATTCTTTTTTGAAGTTCTCCAATTCAAATTAATAATCTTCCAATTCCTTTTATTTTTATTTCTCTGTATCGCTCAATTAATGCTTCAAACCATTAATTGAATTATCTAACAACTGTTAATTAAGTTTATATTCATTGATTTATTCATCCTTCTTACGACTTTAGATAATTAATTTTTCATTCTCTAAATTTAGGAATTTAATTTATTCTTCTAAATTTTAGAGTTATTATTGGTTAAAACCTTTCAATTCTTAAATATCAGTTTCCCATTGCTCCCTAATACTGGCTTCAATTTCTTTTGTAACATTCTTTTATAATTCTAATTCGCTCTTGATATCATTAGCAATAACTTATTGTTTACTTAATTCATGTAATTTAGTCTAGTACTTAGAGGACTATTCTAAAAGTTATTGTTTTAACTTCTAAAGATCTTCTTATTGTTATTATATTTCTAAATCTTTGAATTTATTGATTCTTTCTAATTCTTACTATAATATTTTGATCTCTTTCTCTTACTCTTGATCTATAGCATATAATTTTGCATTTTCAGTCTTCATTACTTAATAATTGTTCTCAGATTGTTACAATTATGCTTACAACTCTCTTATTATTTAATCTTATTGCTAATTTTCTGTTGAGTGTTTTAATTCGGTTTCATTTAGTCTTCTTTACAAGTTGTTGATTTATTATTATTCATAATATTATTTGAGTTCCTAGATCTATTTTTGATGTGAGAGTTCTTATTTGGCTTGTTTATCATGAACTAGTTATACTTCCTTATGCAAGCTCATATTTTTTAATCTGAATTCTTCGCACATTTAGTTTTATTGTTGAAGTTATTATTAAATCACTAACTTCTCGTCTTGAAGATCGTCTATCAACAATTACATCTTATTTTTTTCATTTACTAAATTATCAAATTAACCTAAGAGTTTTGAATACTTTTATTATTCCTATATAAGTTAGTCGTTCTTTTTGCTCAAAATTTATTAATGTTATTATTGGATGTCCTTTAATTGTATTTAGCTTTAATGAGAACAATCATTTTCAACTTTTATTTTTGTTTCCTCAATCTATCTTGCACTTTTGAAATGAGTATCTTGAACTTATTATTTCAAATTTTATAATTCATACTCTAAATTTTAGATATAGGCTTTTAAATTCTAATTCTCATCAACACTTTGAACATTCTTGATAATAAATCATAATAATTACATTTTGTGAAATCTAAATAAACTTGGTTTCATTTTTTTTCAATTCATTGACTAATAGTTAAATCTCCTCATTCTTCTTTTATAATAACAATTATTATTGTTTAATATTATGTTATTCAGTTTATAATTTATAAGTTTGATTAGAGAGTTGAATTTCTAATTCATTGATAATTTTATTGTATTTTTATTGATCAGCTTAGATTTAGTTTTAAAGTTAAAGATTTTCAGTACTCAATTTACCATATCTAGCTTCATATGAATCAATAATTTTGATGTTTTCCTTCTTTCTTAAATTCGGAGATTAATCCTACTTTCTTGCAGGAGAAAAAATTCTATCAGCTTATTTTATATAAGTATATATACTCAAATTATAGGATTTCTCTAAATGCTAAGAGGATCTCAAGTGAAAATTCTGAGAATCCTATCTCCTCAGTTAGTTTTTGGGATTCTCCATAACACTTAATTATTAAACAGCCTCATCGTTTCTGACTTATTTTGCCACTTATTAGCTTGGAATAGGATTGTTATCTTGCTCTTTTTGTCTTTTTGGTGTATTGGAAGTTCGCTATCGTTTATGTGACGATCTGTTCATTTAACAGAAATATGATTATAATAAATTTATAAATAGTGCAAAGTGGAATTCTTATAATAAAAAATGTAGGTAAGAATACGTAATGTTAATTATTTATAATTTCAATAGAGTAAATCATTTTTTCATTGTTTTGCTTTTTGGTTTTATTTTTTAGACATATAACTATTAAACTGAGACTTAGGTTTTTTTCTAAGAACTGGCACTCTTCTGAGCACTAGTAATTCTTTGAGTTTCAATGTTAGATTGTGTTTTTTGTTTTGAATTGATTTTTGGACTTTCAAGCATGGCCTTATACTGTTAGAATGGAGTCTTAATATTTAAATTATTCATATTAAGTTGATTGATATTGATGTTGATATTAGCTGACAGAGGAACAGATGATTGGGATGTATAGATTTTGAAGAGTTTTTCAGAAGATTTGGTATGTGTTAATGACTACTTGGCATCTTATCCCATATTAGTGTGCATTTTCATAGAGAGGTGCTTCTAATGCTTATTAGGAGAGTTTATCTCTGTATAATGAGTTTATGTCTGACTTTTCTTATGAGTAGGAATTACTAAATTGGGACTATTGCTTTATTTCAATGGTTATTATGATTATATTAATTTTAATTGCTCTGAAGATATGCTTCTAGTACTAGTGATGTAATGAATGCTGTTTTGTTTAGATTGATAATTCGATATGTGATTAGCTTTTCCTGATTATTTGGAACTGAATAGACATGGATTTGCGTGATTAACAGTTAAAATCTGTTATTTTAAGAACTTTTGTAAATCCGTATCTCCATTGCTGCTATTGATAAGTTTATTGGAAGAAACTAAGGACTTTTGGGAAGTATCTTTACTTAAGGTCTTGAAATGTCCTTTTTGTTGAGGAGACTTTTAGACTGGCCTTTTACTTATTCCTGCAGCATAGATATTTTATTTGTCCTTATAAAATTGAGTATTTTTGGATATTAGTTATTTAAGTAATTTCAAGTTAGGGGGATACTAAGATTTCTATTGCTATTATTGAGTCATAGTCATCCATGTTGCATCAATATTCTAATATGAGGGGAGATATATTTACAATAATTTCATCACTAGCCTTAGACTTTAAGATCTCTCTTAACACTGAAAGACTTGACACTTGAGTCTACTGGGTTATGCTATTTAATACTTTGATGTCTTCTTTGAGCTTCTCATATTCTAATTATTTTGATGTGATTACATGTGCAATTACTAGCATCTTCCACTGGAATACCAAGCATGAATTTTATCTTCCTATACTCTATCTATCTAATGGTTTAATCTAAAAATAATGTACTTCTTTTTCTCATAAAAATAGATTGCCAAATCAGACACTCTTGGCATGAACATTCTTGGAATATCTTTGTGATACTTGTAGTATTCTAACAATTACTCAAACTTCATAGGTTGATCATTTTGTGGGTAAAATCTATGAAGCAACATTAATTATCCTGTATATACCTTTTTAGAAATTCATCATAATCTTCAAGAGTCAATCTATCTTTGAATTTAATAACCCATGATATTGGCTTTGTTGAAAATAAATCCTCGTATTTTCTTCCATTCCATTGCGATTATGAGTATTTCGTGTACAAAGCCTAAATGCCATTTTGATTATCACTTACTCTATTGAGGAGCGGGGCAAAATTTATTTTATCAGTTGTTACTCTACCGTATTTCTAACAAAATAGACAATCCTCCTCCTATGTGTATTTCTTCAATTTTATTAGAGCATCGCCCTTTTTCATAACTGAATATAAATAATATTATGTATAAAAATATCAATAGCAAAAACAAATTCAAAGCTAGAAATGATGATTAAAATAGAATTAGCGTACCATTAAAATATATTATATATTTCATATGAATAACCACATCAAGTAGACACAAAATTATAATCTCGAAGGAAAATTAACTTCTTTATATTGATTTAGCTAAAAATAAGTTCGGATAATTTTTCATTAAATATAATTATATTTTTGATTATGTTAGAATCAATAATTGAATTTATTAAAGTATTAATTGATATTTGATAATTTTCATTTTTATATTAGTGAAATGATGTAGCTTATGTTGTACTCTGGGTAAAAATAGGCATATTCTTTCACACAGTCAAAATCATCAACACTTAAGAGTTCTTGAAATTTATATTGGGAAGAGTTTAAAGGGATACTTTTAAAATCCGGTTGTATTATTTATGCAATTTGCTAACTACTAGTGTAGATAGATGGTTATAGTTGTATGTTTTTATGACTACTCCTTAATTATTCATATAATTTATCGGTAATGTATTCTACATATCCATCCTTTTAAATTGTAGGAATTTATATATTTCCTTTGCTAGTTAAAATAATGTTTTTCTCAGTAACCCTTTGACTTCCACTTCCTTCATCAGCATATACTTCAAACTCATCTTTACTATCACTTGAACTGCTATCACTCTAATCAATGGTTGCACTATCATTTTGCTTGCAAAGTCTCTTAAATATATCAAAATGAAATTTTACATAGGTTTTATAAGCTCTTTAACTTTTACTCTGGAATCTTTTTTTTAAATGACTTCTAACATTATTCTCATTTTAGATAGCAAAGTTCATTTACACTTTTATAACTGAGCATCTTCTTTCTTAATGATACCCATTACAAATCCAACATCTATATTCTATCAGATTTGTTTCACCTTCGAAAATGATTTTATGTTTTATTAGATGAAAGGATTCCTAAAATATTTAATTAGTTTACAAAATCCTAACTTAAAGTAAGACTTTATGAAAAATCTTCAGAACTTATATATAATAATAAAAAGTGATCATCCAATTCTAATTCAACATCGGATATATTCCTCTGAAAACAATTTATCAATCCAAATTAGAATTATTTTGAATCGATTTCTTTTTGGCCTTTAAATTAGTTTCCTAATCTGAGGTACCCCTTTCCTTCCAAAATCAAATATAATCCATATCTATCTAATTTTATTTTTTCCTTGCACTTTCTTATTGATTTTAGTTTTTACGATAAATTTGTTGTAAATTATTTTGAAAAAATATTAAGAACTTTTAAATTGTCCTTTAAAATGGATTAATAAATTTTTTTAATAATTTCTTATTAAGCCAACTTATATTTATAATAAAAATTACCTATTTTTATGTCAATTCTTTATTCGAGATTTATTGATATAATTTTAATTTTTTTAATAATTATCCCTTATGGTTCCAAAAGTAATATTGTAACACATACACATCAAATTATATTTAATTTTCAATGTAACCATTATTTGATCTTATTTGAATTAAAACATCAATTGTATATAACATCAGAAGCAATGCAATTATTTAATTAATTATTACTTCAAAATTCAAGGTTGATTCCTAGACTTGGTAATTTGCTTGGAAAGTTATAAAATTTATGTTGATTATTAAGGAATCCTTATATTTTTATAAATAATCTCCACTTTCTGTTGACTGTTCAAAAAAACATGAGAATAAGTGCAAGAAGTAAATATAATAAATAATGGCTTTGGAAATTGCGAGAGTTTTATAGAACTTTTCTAATAAATAATTTTTATAGCATACTTCTTTTAATAATTAGCAAAATAGTAAATATTTCTATCCTCTAAAACCCCATGAAGAAGTAATAAAATGATATTAATAAAAGAATTTGACTCACATTTTCTATAATGTATATTAATAAAATGGATATGACTGTTAAATTCTTCAAAGTAATTTAATTTAATAAACTAAACTTTTATTCATTATGTGTGTTTGAGGTTTTGAGTATTTGTATATATGAATAAAGATTTTAAATAAAGATAAAGAGTAAATGAAAAAATACTAGAAAGTAAAGTGTATTGCTAATATTTTGATACTCCTCTCTGAGTTAAAGATAAGGAATGTAAATTCCGCAAAAAAGGTTAAATATGGTGTTCAAAAAATCAATCGAATATTTCATAAAGAGCAGTATTTAAATAAGAACAGAAAACTATGATAATTTTTTTCTTATTTATTTTTTCCTGGAATGTGGTATGCATTAAGTTGACTCCGAAGTTTCCACCCATTTCTCACAATTCTCAACCAAGAATTGATTTATTTAATCTTGCTTAGTTTCTTTTAAGTTATCATATGATATGATTGAATTTACTAAGAAAAAGCTTTCACTAAAAGAAGGAGGATTCAAGCATTCCTCAGGGTTGCTCTTTGGTGAGTTTTTTATTATTTTCTTAAACTCAAGTTTGTGCAATACTAACAATAAATAAATTGCTACCATCTTCTTTGTTAGAATTCATATTAAAAACTTAGATAATGAATATAATTTCAAATACTAATTAATGTAAGATGAAAAATACAAAGCAATAGCATTGAGGATTGCTTAATTCTTTTCATATACCCAAAAATAAGTCTGAAAGATTAGCAATTATAATGTAATTGATGATAATTTAAAGTATAAATTCAGTAACTTAGAAACCATCCGCTGAACAAAATACAATAACTCAAAATGAGAATAAATATTTATTGGAAAATGATAAAATAAATGATATTTGAATAAAATCTGATTCAATATTTTTATCAACACTTATTTGAGATTTCGAATAACAATACAAATGGTGAAATATTTACAAAAAATTATTTAAAAAGTTAAAAAAAAAAAATCAGAAATAGTATTCTTTCATTCAGAAACATGAATCAAAATTAAATATTAAAAAAAATCTTCATATATTGCAAAAATTATTATGGGATTATAATAATTTATACTTAATGATTACATTAGGTCCTTCTTTTCTAACTATTTTTGTAATCTTTCATACATCTGGAACTAGGTATTGGAATATAAAAAGACTTTTATTAAAAACTTTTGGCTTCTGGTCCGATTGCATATAAACCTTTATTTAGCTCATTAATCTTTGATTTTCTAAAGAATATCTAAACTTCCCTCTTATTTTTTCTTTTTTATAATTTTATTAAACTTATATCTTCTTCTAGTAAATTATTTCTTTCTAAAAATCTTAATTTATTATTATTTTACTTAAGTATTTCCATTTCACTTGATATTCAATTACTTAAATGGTTAAATATTTCCTCCTACTAAATATATTATATTTTTCTTATAAATATACGGTTCAATTCGATTTCGAATATATTATTTCTAATTATCTAATCTTCGCATTTGGACATGTGATTACTTACAAATTTCTATCAGTTTCATGATATAAGAAGGTAGCTTTAATCTTCAAATTCATATATAATCTTTTCTGTTTTATATTTTGTATACTCAACATGAGTGTATATGAGAACTTCTCTTTTATCTCGATTTAAATATTCTAATTATTCAATTCTAAATTAAATTATTAATTTAATACTTTCCATAAACCTAGCATTTTCTTCAGTTGTAATTTCTAGATGAATTATAGGTCTCCTTCCTGTTCCCTATTTTAATAGTTTATTTTTGACTGCTTCTGTTGATCTACGATTCATTTTATTTCACTTTCCATAGATGAAAAAGATTATTTTCAAATCTTGATGAAGAGGAAAGTGAATGGTCAAATAGCCGCTTGTAGTTTTTGATGTATTAAGATATCAGGAGTATAGGCTGCAGTACAAACAAATTCTTCAAATAATAAGGAATAATAAATATTACTTAAATTGTTGTCAGTAAGAAGTATTTATTAATTGTTGACCCCCAACTTTTACTTCTAAAAATTGAAGGATTAATTCTGACAATACAATCAATAGATTGTCTAAACACTTGGCTTACAAAATTAAGAGATTACATAAATTATTATTATTTTGCTATAATATTAGAGGAGTGAAAATAGAGTATATGCAACTTATAAAATTATTTGATATATTAAAAACAATAGATAGTCTTAGTGCAATCATTTTCTTAGATTCTGTAAATATAGCTATTTTTGTTTAAGTGCTCCGTATCCAGCTTATATAAAAGTATTTGAATTCTGGACTGGATTAACGTTCTTCAAATATCTTGAATAATTTTGAGTTTTAATCATTTGCTAACTCTGGCCTATTAGCGAACTTGCCATGTTATTAATTCCTTTATTCATTATTGGCACATGTGAATGAGTCATTGAATGTTTCTCACCCTCCAAAACCTTTTTTGGAATTGCAACAATTTCATACTCATCTAAATTCAATTTTTGGAAGTCCTTTCTAAATTTATAAGATGGATATTCAGATCTGGTTGAAGGTGTTAAATCAACATCAGTCTCTGATTATAACACCTTCTGAGCATTTCTTTAGAACTTCTGATAATAGTACGATGGAGGATTTTAATTAGCATTCATGTTTGTTGTGATGATTTGCGGTTCACTATTCTTATTGATTGGTTTTGATGTATTTGATACAATTCCTATAACACCATTTTTATCCATAGTAGAAGTTCTCCCTTAGAATCGGGTTTTAAAATCCATTCACTTTTTATTATATTAATTATACGTCAGTCAATTAGTTTCAATTTTCATAACTTCACTGACAGTTCTTATTCCACCTTTTCAATTCATTTCGTAATTATTCCCATGCCTGTTTAAGACTTATGATTTAAAATATTCGTCTGAATTTAAGTAAAAAATTGGAAACGCATACGATTTTAGTTATCTCTCAATAGGCTATATGACATTGAAGGAGTTCAAAAATTACAAGGAGTCTAAAATATACATTGTATAGTAATAATAAATCAATTCAGATTAAGGAAACCAATAGAGATAAATATACTAATTTTCTGGTGAATAAAACAACTATTGAATAGATCTGGAGAGACTCAGATGAAATAAATACATCTAACGATATTTAAAAATAGTAAATATGAATTTAATATGGAGTTAGTTAAAAACTAAGAAATAAAGAAAAAATGAGTTATAATTCAATCACATTGTATTTTCTACTTCTTCATCACATTCTTTCATTCCCAAAAGATCAAGAGTTGAAATAAGTTAATTTTATCTATTGTTTGAACCAGTTTCTTGAATGCTGTCTGTTAAATTGATATCTATACTGCATTCTACCTTCCCACCAATCTAGTTTACAAATTATTAAAGTGGATTTCTCCTCTTTTCCTCAATTTATATATAGTTTCCTGTATTGCCTAGATCGACGCTGGATTATATATTACAAAGATCTCCAAAACAATCTTATACCTAATTTTCAGCAGATACTTATTATATAGGTAAATATTTACATATACTCTACGAAGACCCTATCCCTAAATTGCATTTTCCATTACTATTGTTTGCTTCAATTTAGTTATTACCAGAACTATTACCAAGAGAATTGATTAATTATATTAGACCTGGATAATTTTCTCCATTCCTCTTTTAGACTACATGAATATTACCAAGTTCGTATATTAAATCTTCAATTACTATGTCTTAATATTCTAATCCAAGATGCAAAGTTTTTAATGCTCGATGCAAATTCTATTTTTAATTAATAGATAAACTGGTCTATAATGATTTGCACTTATTTGCTAATCCTTCATCTTCTTCAATTATCTTTGTTGACGAAAGCATTGCAATAGTAGTATATATTTGATTTTTTTCTATAAAAGGATGAGCTAATGCCTCCATTGGAGTAATTCTTTTTTTTGGATCAGCTGACAAAAGTCTAGATAATAGATTTTAAGCACTAAGGGATTCTTCCTTAACTCTGTTCTTGAAATTCCATTATTCAGGCTTCTTTAACAAATCAATTTAGTCATTAATAGAATTCGAATGTAAAGGCAATTCACCTGTCATACATTAAAACATAATGACTCCTACGCTCCATACGTCTACTTCTTTAGAGTAATGTGGCTAATGGTAAATTTCAGGTGCGCAGTAATATATGTTGCCTGTTTTAGTGAGCATTTCAAGGTGCTAACTTTTTTATATAAACCTTCTTGAAACACCGAAATCAAGCAATTTTAATTCACAATCGCCCTCAATATTGACCAAAATATTATCCGGCTTTATATCTCTGTGGCTTATTCCTTTATTATGGATGTGTTGGATTGCAGTCAATAACTGTTTGATGACTTATCTAGTTTCTTCTTCTCTTAAAATTTTCCTCTATACTAATATTGATTCCAAAGTAGGATAAGGACAATATTCCATAACCAAACACGCACTGCAATACTTTTCATTTATAAACAATTCTATCTCCTAAATTATGTTTTGATGTCGCAAACAACGAGCATTATAAAATGTTCTCTTAACATTATTATATATTTCCTCATTATTCATTCTCGTTACTTTTACTGCATATAATTCATTAGTTTCTTTTCTCCTTGCCAATTTTACTACTGCATGTGCTCCCTATCCTACAAATCACTAAAATTCTTACCCAGCACTTACAATGCCTCATATCTATCTTCAAATTTTATAGCATCATCAACCACACTCAAACTAATTATTTCTGGCTTCTCTTCGTCTTCACCAAATTCTATTTTGCATTTCAGTCTCTCTTTTAAAGATTTATCTTACAACATAATAATTATATAAATTTATGATAAAAATACTTGTAATATCATATCTCATTCAATTAAGACAATTTTTTATTAAATTATACTGATTCAATTTCGTGTTGATTGCTTAAGATAATATTTCAATTATTATCACTTTAATTTATTTTTAGATCAATTTTATTTCATAATTCTACTATGTAAAATTCTTATCATCCTAACAATCATTTAACTATTAACATGCATACTATAGACAAATTGATAGATTCATCCCTTTCTAAATTTGAATTTTGTTTTTTAAATTATTATAACCGCTTTAAACAAAAATTAATTTATGTTCCCTTTAATAAATTGAAAATCCCAATGAATTGCTGGGATCAAGCTATTACAATTAAAATGACTTATTAAAATTCTATTAATATCTTCATTACTTAAAATCTCTTCAGCAATATTATAATAATGTCTTTCCAAAGTATCTAATTTTTTGATACTTCTTAATTTACAATATATGTACTTGGCAATTATCATTATGCTAATTTAATTATTTTTCGAATTCCATAAGACGATTAATAAATTTAAAAGATTTAATTTTTTCCTTTAATATCCAAGAAATAATAATAATATCTAAAGGCTATTTTTATACTTAATTAGCCCTTAATAAAATTATTATATTATATCAGATCTATTTTTATTTTTATATTTTGTTTTTAAAACTCTTCAATTAATTATAAATTATTTTAATCATGTTAATGCTAAATCAATTCTTCTACTACTTTTAGTGTATATGTATACAACTAGTGTTTGCCAAAAATTATATACTGTCAAATATATTTTTAATTTATTATATTCTTAATTCATTTGGTGAGTTTTTCTCGAAAAAATTATATTCACAATATTTCAGCCAATCAGAATCAAAATTACAAATGTCTCAAAGATTCTTTCATTCAATTCTTATGCTAAACAATTAATTCTTGTGTTAACCAATTCATTCAATGTTTACTTATTTGTAATCCTAAAATATCTGAAAAATTAATCTTAATTAGAGAATAAAAGCTATTAAATTATTATATTTGAATACTAATTTTTTTCAATAAAAATGAATTTTTGACCATTAATTACTAATGAAGAAGTTTGGAATCATTAACATTACTTATAAGTATATATTAATTTAATTTAATTCCTTTCAAAATTAAATACAAAAATTTTAATTTAAATTTTCATTTTCCTTTTTTTTTTCATTTTTTTTTTCATTTTTTTTTTCATGCAATAAGAGTCTATATGGTCTCACATCTTCTGAATTATTAACAACGAAAAATTGTTTTGATTTCATCATTTTACTTTATTTAATTTTCTTGGGATTTACTCTTGACATAAAAATAGGTGCAAATTATTTTTCACCAACCTAAGTGTATTTAGCATATTAATTATCAATACAGACCTTAATATCATTTGAAAAATAAATTCCTTTTCCAACTTTAACTTTCTCTCCAAGCTCATTAATACATTCATCATTTTAATGATGTTATTTCTCACCACTTATTAAATTGTTTTTTATAATTGAATTAACAGCACCTTAATTGGTACCATGATACATAATTCTCCATTCTTTTGGATTACCATCCATTTTTAACCAATCATTTCCATGTTCTTTTACCTACTTTTCTACATTTAACCCAAATCCATAGCAACCTATTGGAAAATAATAATCATATCTATGATAAGGAGGCCCTCTCTATTTTTTT